TCAGAGGATGATGTTCTTATGGAACAGTAACTTGCTGTATGTTCTGAGATAGTAGACTGTGTTCATATTGTAGCACCGTCATCGCGTAAAACGGCACCTTTGAAAGATTTCAGTGAACACCGTCCTCCTTAGGAACATCCGCCAGCACTTAAATTGTACTTCACTTTCACTTTGACGTTTGTTGTTTGTGAATCTTGTGCACAATTTAAAGTGAGTCGTTTAAACAGCACAGGATCGGGTGGTGCGGGGCATGGAGCAACTAGGGAGGAAAGCTGAGACTTGAACCTGCTGGAGTCTAGTTGGTCTGCGTTTTTATGTTGGAGAACCATCCTGGTTCCAGCTTATTTTGTTATTGTAAATATGATGCATTTTTTAAATGCTTTCATCTGATACGGACTATCTGGACTGTAAGATTGAGTCTTGCTATGCGTGGAATGTGTTTACTTCTGTTTTGTAGAAGATTTAGCCCATGGTATACTATTTGTAGGATTCATTTCAGACATTTTGTGTTTACCACATACAGTCCCACTGGGAGGACTTTTAAAAAAGTGACCTGTGTTGTCTTTTATTGTTTATGACAACTCCAATTTTGACACGTGTTTGAAACTAGTGATCTTTATATAAAACCAACTTCACTCTTTCTCCCTGTTCAAACCTACAAACTCTGGTTACTTTTAGGCTTACTGCCCCCTTGTTAATTATTTATAGTGAACTATGGAGCTATGGGCTTGCTTTAGTGTGTTAACCATTATTTGTGTCTTGTTTCAGGCATTTGCATATTTTCTCCTCTGGAGAGTGATCTGCACTGTTTTCCTTCAGTGGTGTTTAGAAGAGCTTTAGGAGACCAGGAACATGTTCTTTTTGCATTGCCCAATATGGTAGCACTAGCCACATATAGCTTTTGAGCACGTGAATGGGGCTAGAGCGGTGGAAGAACTGAAATTTTAATTTTTTAAAATTTTCTTTTCTTTTTTTCTTTTCCTTTTTTTTTTTTTTTTTTTTGGGAGACAGAGTCTCACTCTGTTGCCCAGGCTGGAGTGCAGTGGCCTGATCTCGGCTCACTGCACCCTCTGTCTCCCAGATTCAAGCAATTCTCCTGCCTGAGTCTCCCAATCGGCTGGGATTACAGGCACCTGCCACCACACCCTGTTAATTTTTGCTGTGGGGTTTCACCATATTGGCCAGGGTGGTCTCAAACTCCTGACCTGAGGTGATCTGCCCATCTTGGCCTCCCAAAGTGTTGGGATTACAGGCGTGAGCCACTGCACCTGGCCAATTTTTAAATTAATTTAAATAGTCACATGTGGCTAGTAGTTAGCTGGTCAGATGCCACAGCTTTAACTTATTAGTCTCCAGGAGGCCTTCATTGACCGTCTTGAATCTGTGCTCTCATAGGACTCGGCTCTCCTTGGTCATAGCACTTACTACTTTCAGCTTTCTGGTAGGAATCAGCACTAGGCTGTAATCTACATGAAGGCAAGGACAGATCTGGTTTCCTTACCGTTGCATTGCTTAGAACTTAGTAAGAAAAACTGAATAAATATTTGTTGAATGCATAAATAGCTTTTTCAGGGCAGGTATTTCAATTTTGAATTATCTCTAGGGCCAGCTCTAAGTGTCCAATACTGTAAATACCTGTTTAGTAGGTTGTACAGATGTTATGTAGGTAGCAAATAAAAGGATCATGAGAGTTATGCTTTAAATACTTACGTGATGAGATTGGAATCTCAGGAGAATGATGACTCATAACAAAGTATTAGAGGAAATTGAATGAAAGGGCCTCATGATTCCAGCTAATGTAGACACAGCTTCAGTCTCCTATTAGTTGAACAACTCAAGGATGCTTTTGAACCATATCTCAAATCTGAAGTCTCCTGGCTTCAGTAAGCTTCTTTCATGGGGTCCAGACAGTCCTGAACCAGCTTGAAGATGCTAGTGGGCATCCCCATTTATTACTGCTGTGTGTTAAAGCATGGACCAAGGAATCTTGAAAAAAAAATCACAAGGTGTTTGAGCCATGTCATATAAGATGCTTTTGCTAACAGCTAACTTGGAGTGATGAGTAGGATGAAATTCCTGTAGAAATCAGAGTTTGGGGAATTTGATTCTAGCTATTGTTAGTATCAGAGGCACCTGTTTTGTAGACAGTTGATTAGGGCCAATTTTTTTTTTTTTTTTTTTGAGATGGAGTTTTGCTCTTCTTGCCCAGGCTGGACTGCAGTGGCACAATCTTGGCTTACTGCAATCTCCGCCTCCCGGGTTCAAGCAATTCTCCTGCCTCAGCCTCCTGAGTATGGGATTACAGGCGCCCACCACCACACCTGGCTAATTTTTTGTATTTTTAGTAGAGATGACATTTTGCCATGTTGGTCAGGCTGGTCTCAAACTCCTGACCTTGGGTGATCCACCTGCCCTGGCCTCCCAAAGTGCTGGGGTTACAGATGTGAGCCACCGTGCCTGGCAGGGCCTTTTTTTTTTTTTTTTAGGCTTACTTTATAATCAGTTATCACCAGTTAACCATAGTCGGATTTGGAATGAAAGTATGTACTCAGTCCAGATCAGTATACTTAGACATTTGACCAAGAGTCCAAGTGTCATAGGTCTTCAGATCCAGGAATTGCTTTTAGGAAATGAATCTGAGACTATAGGAAGTTTATAGGGATACATAGTTTCCTTTGGTAGTACAAAAGGTAGAATGTTAAGTTTTTCATGAAGATAAGGAAATGTAACTAGGGAAAAATGCAACAAAGACAAAATACAAAGAATGTTCACTGCATTGGTCAGGTAATATTGTAGCTTCTCTGGACTTCAAGTATCTAATATGTGAAAGAATGAAGCTGGTTACATCTGATTGCATGAATGTTCTTTGCACTTTGAATCTAAGCTTTGAATATTAAATATGTGTAACACACTATTCTAGCCCCTGTGGTAACCGATAGTTGTGTAAGATACAGTTCATATCTTTGAGGATCTCAACAGTTTACAAGGAAATGAAAGGTGCTCTGGGGATTACTTAAAACATTTTTTTTTTGAATGAGAAACTCCACCCTTTGAAAGGGAAGTCATGTGGTGACTCCTCTTAACTGATTCAGACAGATATTCACTGAGTCACTTTGCTGAAGAATTAAGAGTATAAAAACATGTCTGAGTCCCAAACTGTAATTATAGTCAGATTAATTTTCCTAAAACAGCTTTAATCATGCTATTCTCTTTTAAAAAAAATCAGTTGTTTCCCAGTGCTCATGAAAGTAAGTGGTTTGGTCTGTGATTAGGCATTTGCTCCTCAGTATAGCCCTAAAAAGCCCTTACAACCTCACCTCTGACTGTTTTCCTAGCCATATCCCAAGTTCCAGCCCTACTGTTCCTTTAATGGGATCCCCTTTTACATTACCTATTCATCATTCCAGACTCATCGCAGATGATACTTTCTTCACCATTTATGATTCTTAGAAGCTCCCATTGCAAATGTTCCTGGTACTTATGTGATGGAGCAGATCCCATTCTGCCTCATAATCTATGGTTATTAGTGGTATTTTATTCACCTTAATAGATTGTAAGCTACCTAACAAGCACGAACCATCTGTTAACTCATTTTCATATTCGCTGAAACATCTAGAATAGTGCCCTGTATGTAGTGGTTCCTTAATAAATACTTACTACTGTTTGGAATTGATAGCATTTGAGGAAGATCACCGTTGCTTTATAACACTAATTCTGTGAACTTGTAGTTTTCCTATTTATATGGCAAGGTTAATGTCAAAATGCTTCTGAGTATTCGGTGGTAAGTAATTTTAGCATCCAAGAAAATGTGAATATCTTAAAATAGTGACAACTGGATTAGGTTACCTAAGATCTATGTCCATATAAGCATATGATTTTTGAGGAAAAAGTAGGCCTCCTACTTTTTACCAGTTCCTGCCAGTATTAAGAAAACATGAATCAAGTTGAAAGACAACAGTGAGCTCAATGAAATGACTGTTTTATTGTACTGGGGCACTGATGGTGAGGATAGTTATGTTCGACACAGGATTGGTTAAGTAGAACAGAGCACACATTAAGTAATAGCTAGTATGGTGTTATCTATTACCACATCAAGCTATTGATTTCCTATTTTTATTCTATGCTTTCTACTGAAACAATCTAAACTCATTTTTAATTTAGTTTTATATTTTTTTGCTTACATTTTAAAAACAGGGATTCATGATACTTCAGATTGTAAAGATCTGATACAAAAGGAACTGGAAGGCTTTTAGTTTCATAAGTTTGGTTTTATTAGCAGTTTCTCTGCTTTCTACATCATTTCTGAGATGTAGGCTAGGATGCAGTACAAAGTCTAATTTAGAACAAATTTATTCTAAGCATTCATGTTTTCTGGGAAAAAGGTAATATAAACCCCGTGCTTTAAAAGTCATGGCTTCCGTCTTCAGCCAGGATAGAACTCACAGACCCTCGGACCTTGTTAAGTCGAAAAATCTTAGTAAACTCTTAGATTTGTAAGAGTGATGTGATTAATTTTCAGTCAAGTTTTCTGGGATAGAAAATAATGGAAACATTTTAAGGTAGATTATTTTCATGTGATGAGCACATGGCATGAGCTGTTGGATGACAAATGATGTGACTTGTGCCAGCATCGTGGGAAGTTAAAGATTCATCTACAAGGGTTAATATGCCCTTGTTTGTTACATGAGTAGGAGGATTTCACCCATTTAGATTAGCTCAGCATTTAAAAAGTGTTTTCACCTATTATAGCTTATTCCTCTTGAGCTTTGTCTAGAAAGATTACATGCGCTGCCGACTGTATAAGAGGCGATGTGAAGCAATGTATGCTTTTAACAACAGTTTTGCCAAAAGGAATTTTTTCCCTTTCATAAAAGATCCTTGCTGAAAATGTCAGCAGATTTGACATCAAAGAACTTTTAGGCTTTTTGTGATTGAAGGCAGTCATTCTAGGTTGCATACAAATAAAGTAGAAACACTTTTTTTTTTCTTTTGTGTTATAGGTGGCTGTCTAGAAGATGACCATAGAGGACCTTCCAGATTTTCCATTAGAAGGAAATCCTTTGTTTGGAAGATACCCATTTATATTTTCTGCTTCTGATACCCCAGTTATCTTCTCCATTTCTGCAGCACCAATGCCTTCAGACTGTGGTATGTGAAGTAGCTGTGCTTATTTTCTGAGAACTGGTAACTTCTCTGTTATGCCTTTTTTGTACTCATAGTTTTTCTTAGAACCATTTTTTTGGTTCTCATAAAATTGCTAAAGTTTTCCTTTTTCAAAAATACAATTGCTTATTGCTTTTTCTGCTTCTTAAGCTAAATGCTTTATTTCTGCTGTCAGCATTTATATTATGTTAAAATGTTCATTTTAAGCATCATGATGGATTTAGAGGACTTTATTTTTAGAATGCAATGGTGCTTAGCCATCTAGCATTCTTCTGTTATTGATGTATTTATTTTGGTTAAATATACTGACGTGCTAAAAAATCCATGTACTTAGGCAAAGAGGGTAAGAGACCCTTCCCTGGAATGTGAAATGAGATTGGTTAACGTTTAAATTGGTCCATATACATCTCCTCTGTAAAACGTTAATTTAGAAGCATTCCACTTTTCATCTATTTAGGCTTATTTCTCCAGAACCATAATAAAAGAGAACCAGGAGATAAATTTGATAGAATTGTTAAATTTCCAATTTAGAGTTTTTCAAGTAAAATATTGGTTCACCATTTCAAATTGTCTTTGGAGGTAGAGATAATACAAATTTTAAATATTAGTAGATATAAAGTTATTGGATTGAGAATTTGTCCTTTTAGTCATACTCACTGTAGTATAGTAATTCCTCATCTCCAAGTATCTGTTGTTGTTGTTGTATTCAGATTCTATCCCAGCTTACCTAGACCAGTTATCAGAAGTATCATATAAAACCTGTACCTTGATCCTGGGAGTTATTTGCAGGTTTTGTAATAATTGACTGGGCTTATTTTCAGATACAACAAAATCAGTTATGCAGGGGAAACCTTGAACCTTGTGCATTGTCCCTTATGTATGATACTTGTCTCACTCCATCTTGACTTCTAATTGTCTTATTTTCGTTCCTATATTGTAGCGCTTTGGGATGGAGAACAATCATACTTTATTTTTGTTTATCTCAAAAAGGCTAATATAGTCATTTGTTATTAGTTGCTCAATGATTGTTGAATAAATACATTGAATGAAAGGTGATAATGGATATTGACCCTTTGTGTAACTGAAATTAAACATTGAAACCCCATCTCTACTAAAAATACAAAAATTAGCCAGGCATGATGATGTGCACCTATAATGTCAGCTACTCAGGAAGCTGAGGCAGGAGAATCACTTGAACCAGGAGGCAGAGTTTGCAGTGTGCTGAGATTGCACCACTGCACTCCAGCCTGGGCCACAGAGCGAGACTTTGTCTCCAAAAAAAAAAAAAAAGCGTTGTAATCTTAGAATTACAGGTTCATAGACTCTTATGAACCTTTCCCTACTCACCTTCCTGTGTAGAAATTGTATTTTCAGGATCTCTGTCAGATAACCATTTAACCTCTTGCGTGTCTTCAATAGTGGGAAACTAACAAAATAGTCGATTTTATTGTTAAAAAGCTTTAGTTGTAATAAAACTGTTTTTGTATATTGACTCGGAATTGGTCTCCCTGAAATTTTGGCCAATTCTAGTTTGATACATGGCACAAATTCTTTTATAGGATAGCCTCTAAGTATTTGCAAATAGTTTGAACATTTTAAGTTAGTCTGAACCTCCTTAGGCTACACATTTTTGGTTCTTCCACCAGTTTCTCATTGTCAGGATTTCTAGACCCTTTTCTTCGTAGTTGCTTTGTTGGTACACTGTGGTCAGCGTCCTCTTGAAAAGCAGCATACATAATTGCATTTATTGAGCAAGTATTTATTGAGGGCCTCTTGTGTGCTAGGGACTCTCCTGGATGCTGGAAGTATCAGTGACCAAGACAGGTCTTCTGGTAGGGAACACAGTGAACAAACAAATGAATAGACAAAGCACAAATAGATCATAATGAATTCTGTGGAAGAAAGAAACAGGGTGCTGTGATAGAGAACAATGGGGCCAAGGCAGCTGCTTTAGATGGGGTGGTCATTTGGAGAATCAGAAGAGGCTGGCTGTGAGAAGAGCCTGGAAAGAAGTGTTCCAGGAAAAAAAACAGAAAAGTAAAGGCACAGTGTTGGGGGAAGATCTTGGTGTATCCTAAGAATTCATGGAAGGCCTCTGTGGCTGAGGGGCAAAGTGATTGATGGCAGAGTGGAGGGAGACAGAATTGGAGAGTAAGGCACTGGCCAGGTCATGCGGGATCATGTAGGCCCCCATAAGGAATTTTTATGTGATACCAACTAATGAGCGTAAAACCAAGAAACAAAAAGAAACCAGTCCACAGAAATCAGAGTTGAGACATGTGACACGGTGTTGACTCTCAAGGTGATTACCCTGTAAAACTATGTACTGTTCTTGCGCAACCGTTTTTGGAATCTTTTGCCTTGAAATGCCTTCAGAATCAGTTTATGCAGAACACACATTATATACATTATAAATATCACAATACCTTATATTTTGCTTAAAAATTGAATTATCTGTTAAATTTAAATAATATAAAAAGTCTCATTTACCCGTGTAGTTACTGTTTCTAGTGCTCTTCATTCCTTTGTATAGGTCCAGATTTCCATCTGGTACCATTTCCTTCTGCCTGAGGCACTTCCTTTAATGTTTCTTACGGTGCTGGTCTGCCAGTGATGAATTCTTTCAGCTGTTTTATGTCTGAAAACATCTTATTTACCTTCTTTTTTTGAAAAATATGTTTGCTGGGTTTAGAATTATAGGTTGGTAGTTTTCTTTCAGTACTTGAAAAATCTTGCTCTGCTGTCTTCCCGTTTGCATTGTTTCTGCTGTCATTTTTGTTTCTGTAGATGTAACATGTCTTTTTTTTTGGCTGCTTTAAAGAGTTTCTCTTTATTTTGAGCAATTTTACTATTATGCACTTAGGTATTATTTTCTGTGTGTTCTTGTTCTTGGAATTGGTTGAACTGCTTGGATCTGTGGGTTTCAGTTTCCATTAAGTTTGGGAAATCATTAAAAAAATTTTTTTTCTGCTTCTCTGCCTTTTCAGATATTGTAATTGCATGTATGTTATAGACTGCTTGAAGTTGTCCCACAACTCACTGATTTTTTTTATATTTAAACATTTTTTTCTCTTTATTTTGGTTAGTTTCTATTACTGTATCTTCAAGTTCATTCGTCTTTCCTTCTGCAGTGTCTAATTAGCTGCTGATTTTATCCAGTGCAGTTTTCATTTCAGATGAAGTTTTCATCTCTAAAGTTTACTTTGGCTTTTTTTTATGCCCAGGTCTCTTCTCCACCTTTGGACATTTGGAATAGAGTTATAATGACTGTTTTAATGTCCTTCTCTATGAATTATAATATCCGTATCAACTCTAGGTCTGTTTCATTATTCCCCTGATGATGGGTCATGTTTTCCTGTTTCTTTGCATGCCTGATAATCTTTAATTGGATGCCAGATATTGTGAATTTTACTTTGTTGGATGCTGGATATTTTTGTACTCATGTAAGTATTCTTGCATTCGTTCCGGGATACAGTTTAGTTACTTGGAAATAGTTGGACCCTTTGAGGTCCTGCTTTTCTGATTTGTTAGGTGGGTCTGAAGCCATTCTTGGTCTGGAGCTAATTATTCCCTACTGCTGAAAATTCTACTCCAGGGGTCTCCAACCCCCTGGCTACAGACTGGTACTGGTCCCCCTGCCCTGGCCCCTAGTGCCAGAAAGGTTGGGGACTGCTGTTCTACTCAATGCTGTGTGAATTATGAGGATTCTTTTTCAGTCTTCCTGCTGAGAATGGGTACTAATCCCTGTAGTCATTATGGATGGTTCTTTCCCTTACCTCAAGTATTTCCTCACAAGCATATGATGAATAGTTGAGGAGGACCCTCTGCAGGTCTCCGGGGTTCTCTTGCAGTGCGTGCATCCGTCTCTGCTGTATTCTGCCCTGTGACCTCTGGCCACCTCAAGTTCCCCAGACTCTCAGCTCTGTCTCCTCAACTCAGGGAGTTTGCTGGGCTTTTTCTTGGTCCCCCCCGCCCCACCCCTGAACTGTGCTCCTGGAGACTCCCTCAAGGCAGTTAGCTGGGGCATGTGTAGAACTTTTCTCGTTTGTATTCCATTCCTCAGGGACCACTGTCTTTCATTGTCTAATGTCCAGTGTCTTGAAAACTACTGTTCCCTCCCTCTGGTGTTTTGGTTGTTTCAGTTGGAAGGGCAAATTTGGCCCTCATCATTCCATCTTGACTTAAAGCAGACGTCACCTCCATTTTCTCCCCCCACCCCACTTTGTTTTGATAAAAGCTATTTTTTAGGCCGGGCGTGGTGGCTCACACCTGTAATCCCCGCCCTTTGGGAGGCTGAGGCGGGTGGATCACCTGAGGTTAGGAGTTCAAGACCAGCCTAACATGGTGAAACCCCATCTCTACTAAAAATATAAAAATTAGCCATGTGTGGTGGCGGGCGCCTGTGGTCTCAGCTACTTGGGAGGCTGAGGCAGGAGAATCGCTTGAACCAGGGAGGCAGAGGTTGCAGTGAGCTGAGATCACTGAGATCGGCCACTGCACTCCAGCCTGGGTGAAAGAGTGAGACTCCATCCCCCCAAAAAATAGAAACATAAAACTTTTTTTTTTTTAATCTCAAAAGCTTGCAACAACATAAAAAATACTTTATTTTCCTGCATGGAAGTTGAAAATTCAAATGTAGTTAGATATGTTAATATTTTGCATTGTAGCTTAGAGGTTATGGTCTCATTCTGGCATGAATCCTGACTCAATCACTTTCCAGTTGTGTGATTTTGGGCAAATTGTTTATTTTTTCTATCCCTTTGTTTCTTCTTTAAAATGGGAATAACAATAGTGCCTACTTCATGTGGTAGTTATGAGGATTAAATAAATTAATATACACAAAGTTCATAGAACAGTCCCTAGTATCTACAAGACACTTAATAAATCTAACATTGTTATTTAAATGAGCCATCTGGAGGGCAGCACGTTAAGAAGATTTCCAGATTTGCTCTTGGAGCATCTTGAGGTGTGAAATGAGGATGGCAGTTTCTGCTGACAGACTTCCCTGGTTTGCAGTTTGAATGTCTTGGTTGATGTCATCAGATGTTTTGGTGAATTCTCTGGGTGACCCCCACAGAAACAGGCACAGAAGTTCCTTACATGAGCCATGGTGGTGATTTGTCTAAAGTTTACATCAAATCATCCAGTAGGGGTTGGGGAAAAAGACAGTTTTAATAAATTGGAAATATTAGTTTGGAGAGTTGTAACCAGATATTGGAGGAAACTGGAGGAATTGAGGATCCAGTCCAGTTTGTAGGTGGATGACAACGCCCCAAAGACAATAAACAGGACTAGAATCTGATAATGGGTGTACTCTGAGTTTTCTGCGGAAACACAATTTTTCTCTCTACAGTTCCCCATTTCTACCAAAGATAATCACAGGCTAATTTGTTTGCAAATAAGTTTTGTCTCATTAAGCTGGCCTGATTATATACTTAAGTGCAGCAAGAATAGTGAATATGTGCACATTCTCAAATATGCCATTCCAGTCAGAGGTTTGGTAATATCTTAGGGGCTTTACTGATTCTGTAAAGTCAATCTGAATTCTTTATAACTGTCTGGTAATAAGGAATCTGAAATGAGACTTTAAAAAGCCTTTTCAGTCTAAGAAACCAAGCAGAGGCCTTGCCCAATTGTGTCCTGTTAGAAGGGAAAACAAACTTTTATTGAACTTACGTAAATGCTTATATTGCCATGAAAAAATACTCAATAAGAATTTCTGAATTTTGGAGGGGTTGGGGTTGGGAGAAAAGAAAATGTGTTGCCTTTTTGTTTACAAAAGTATTCTTCACCAAATTGCTGTAAGTTGTAGGTCTTAAGGGAAAAGAGAAAAGGCGTTCTTTAAATCTGGAAAACAAACATTAAAGAACCCACAGTATTTCAAAGACATAAAAATTATCACCCTCATCAGTTCATTCAGTCCCCTGTAATTCTTGTCCTGCTTGATTTTGGGTTAGCAGCCTCATGAATCCATTGGTTTGGTTTTCCGTTACAGTTCTGGAAATTCTAATCCAGTCCAATGCCGTGATCTTAAAGTTATCAGAAACCTATACTTGTCAGAGTCTTTTCTGTAAATCTTCCTGCAATTTTGTATCACAGATGCTTGCAAAAGCTTTCAGGAAAATATCAAAGTAAAAAATCACTGTCTGTAGATGGCAAAAGATTTAAAATGTCCATAGTTACAGATTTGATGAGAGTTCATTTTAATGCAGTTGACAAGGAAATTTGTTATTTGTTTTATAACATTTGAAGATAATAACTGGAATTATGACTGATAAATTTACACCAGAACATATCCAATTTCTAGGAATTTCATACAATTTCTAGAACACTTGCATTAATAATATAGTCATACAAAAATAACATAAGGAAGGTTAAGCGTCACCTTTGACAATGCTTCTCATGCAATGTAATATATCAAGCCTAGTTTCACATTTATTTGACAAGGCTTCCCATGCAAAGATGCTTAATTACTTTAATGTCTGTGTGTGTGTGTGTGTGTGTGTGTGTGTGTGTGTGTGTTTATTAATAAGGAAATAGAACAAGATTTTCTAGGGGCCTCTGAAAAATCCCAGAATTAGTCTAAGGTCAGAAAAGACTTCATTCAGAATTTGATTTTTGGGAAGTTTATAAAAAATAACCCAAAAGATTCAAAACACTTGATTAAATAGATTACAGGTATTTAGTTATCCATTTAACCAAAGTGACAAAGATTTCAAAGGCAAATACAGAAAGCCATGTAGTTGTTTAAAAAAAAAAAAAAAAGACCAAAACCCCTTGACTTTTTGAGAGAGAAACTTAAATAATCAAAGACAACATGAAGCAATTATCTTGACAAAACACAGAATCTTTGTTTTCTAGGCAGACCATTCAAAAGTTAAAGAAAAACCTTTCACAGTCTCCCATCAAGAGCAGGCCCATACTCCAAGAAAGTTTAGTCATTTTAACAGGAGCTCAAATGCTAGTTATGCCTTATTTTGATTTGAATGATAATAGATTCATTCAATTTTAGCCAGCTTAATCACACAAGATTCTCCTTCTCCCTCTTTTCAACTTCTTCTAGCCATTTTGTTTTTTTCCTTTATTTTCTTTTTCAAAAAACATATCTTCGTACCTCATCTTTTCTTGACTGTCATGCTGGCATTCTGTAGGTTTAGAAATCTATGAATATACCATAATTTCTGGAAGCACATGTTTCCTTAAATTTTTCAGTGTAGCACAGGACATGTTTACTAACACACCCAGGTATCTTTAGTTTCTCTCTCCAAAAGTAGGTAACATTATGTTCAGCAATTAATGTTTCAGTATTTATCTTATGTGGACTTACATTGATTTAATTCACTTGTTTTGAACAATTATGCTTGGATTACTTAAGAAAATTTCATGAGACATTAAATCACTAAGCATCATCTTGTTTTTCTTGCTGAGAAATTTTGTAACATGGAGATGGCAGAGGCTTATTTATAATTCTCTAGTCTTGAACATGAGCTTATTCGACTAGTAAACCTACATAGAATCAAAGTTGTACATCTGCCTTATGTCTAATGCTGACAACTCTGAAGGCATATTGGTTTTTTAAACTAAACCAACAATGTTTTTGTTTATTGAAAATCACCCGAGTCACATGAACTTAAAAAGCATTTGAATTAGTTCCTATTTTTCTGAGAGTTTTCAGGAATACTTAATTTATATAAACACTTGTTTTTACTTATATCTATTGAACATACATAGCTATAAGATCTCTGTCTGTATGTTTGTGTATACAGACAGACACAGATCTTACAGCTTTCATTTCCAAATTTTAGCCATGTGTCAGTTAAAATAATACAAAGCTTATTAGTTTATGAAAGAAGCTAGATCCAAATTGTACCTCTGAGAGATGGAACAAGTCAAGGTTACCTGCTCAGATGGCTACAGCTTTTTAGTGAAGCTTTTTTTTTTTTTTTTATTTGAATGCTGTAGGGATGCTTTTAGAGAAACTACTTTTGAGTCATTTTGTGTCCAGAAGTTTCGCATACAAATCAAAGAATGCATTCCATTGTCTCTGAAAGGCTCAGGATACTCTTTCTTCAAGGGCACTCCCAAAGGCAGACTGACTATCTTATCTAAAATTAAACGTTCTCCGAAGTGGTCACTGAAATTGCAAATTATTCTTTGTAAAGTTCACCCATTTTTCCAAAAAGGCACAAGATTCTGATCCACAGTTGTTTCTGGACCCCATGTTTGCATTAGATTCTCTGGAAAGTCTTAACTGTTAAGGATTCTTTTTTCAGCAGCTGCTCTGGAACACAGGGAATCATGCATTTCACCCTTCCCCCTTTTGAACAGAATAGGGTGACTTCCTGAGAAGTTTCAGCAAAGGTTGCTCAGCATAATTGGAGAGTTCTACACAGAAGGAGGAGAGCTCAGATTCAAAAGAGACTTACTCTAGAACTCCATGGCCGGGTGAGAGAGCAGCCAGGGCCACGGCCCTGGGTACCAGCACCTAGTTACTCACTGGCTTTGGGGCTTTGCAGGGGTCTTCTTCTGATCCTGCTTTGGACACCAAAAACTGTCAAGAAAATCCAGGGTGCTTTTCTTAATATAAATATTAAGTGAGTAAAAAAACCGCAAACAGGGAGACTTTCCAAACCAAGGTAAGAAGCTTGTCCCACAAAGGTCATAGTAAGCTTTATAAAGCCTAGAAGAGGAAATTCATATAGCTTAATTCTCACTGGTTAGAATGAGTGGGTTAGTTTGGTCGTTACTGATTTGCTACAATGTGCTGAGTCTTGCTGACCAAGCTTCATGTACAGTTTAAGTAGGTGTTTTGGAGAATAGGTCCTTATAGGTTTTCCTGAGCTGGATGTGGGACATTGGCTCAGAGGCCAAGGTTTGTCTTGGCTTCTATTTTGATTTTTGGCTAACAGGACCATTTTGTTATCTAAGATTATGAATGTTGTTTCAGTTTTAGTCTTTCTGATTCTCTTCTGATGGACTGCTGCTCTGCTTCTATATGTGTCTTTAGTTTGTTGCCTTTCCTTTCATCTTTTAGTTGTCCTGACTCTAAAAGTAAGAACCGTGTGTACATGGAATAATTTTGGAAAATATATAAATGCAAAGAAGAAAGCAAAAACAAAAAAACCCCATGAGTCCCACTAGTTATGCATGCTGTTACAATCTGAGCTTAATGGCGAGTTACCTCAGCAAGTAGAATAATAGAGGAAAGAAGATAGACTTTGGAGACAGACCTGGTTTTCTACCCCAGATTTGCCACTTGCTAGCTGTGCAACGTTGAGCTGGTATTATTTAGTCTGAGCTTTGCTTTCCTCATGTGCAAAATGAGAATATACCTGCCAGGTAAGGTATTGGTGAGGATTTTTAAAGTGTTTAGTAAGTGCTCAGCAAATGTTCGTAATATTTTCCTTCTTTAGATACTTCTGCTTTTTTTTTTAGCATCTAAAATATTTGTATCATTTGAACCTTGGTTTTATGGTTTATTATTTTCAATATATTTATTTGAAACTTTTAGTAAATTTAATTTACATCTTTTTTTTTTAAATTTCAGAATTTTCTTTCTTTGATCCTAATGATGCATCATGCCAGGAAATTCTTTTTGATCCCAAAACTTCGGTTTCAGAATTATTTGCCATTTTAAGACAATGGGTTCCTCAGGTCCAACAAAACATTGACATTATTGGAAATGAGGTAAGGAATTCTTACAGTTTAAGTTTTGTATTGTTAGGATTATTAATGGTATAGATTTTTCCCCCATCTGAAAGGAAGATGATATTGAAGGAGAAACCCTTTAAATGTTCTGATATTTATTTGTATTTCCAGGATTTTCATGGGGCAGTGAGTTAATACTATATATTCTTCGGATTATTTCTTCATGCTCTGTCCTTCTAACATTTATAGACTCTTGGTGGGTGCAGGGAGGGGCATTTTTCGTATTTCCTTCTTTGTAAAAATTAATTTTGTAAACTTTTATGCATTTCATGAAGGGATTTGATTACCATCATGTTCTATTTACACTTTTGGGTGTTTTGGTAAAGATATAGGCTTGAATGTAGTCTTTAAGAATATTAGATTTTTTGAGAGAGGGTTCTTTGACCAGTATGTTGCTGTGTTGTAGGAAGAGAGTGCTTATACTTTTTTTCAAATATCATTACACCCGTAGAAATAAAATTTTGCTCATTTTTGAGAGGAACATATTTGGAGTGCCAGATTACCCTTGGAATAATCTTCAAGAATTTCCTTCAGCCTGCTGACAAGTTCAGTTTTCATTCTTGTTGTTGAATGCAGATTAAAAATTTACCCTTTAGAGATGCCGATACTGTCTATACATTTTACTGAGAAGTAGTTCAGATTTGATAGACTAACTTGGTTCCTCAGCATTGGTTTGAAAGCAATAGGTACCTCAGTAGTTTGGTTGTAACCATATTTTCCTTGACTGCTTCAGATTCTTAAGAGAGGTTGCAATGTGAATGATAGAGATGGACTGACAGATATGACTCTTTTACATTATACCTGCAAATCTGGAGCTCATGGTATTGGTAAGTGTGTGGTAAATCTATCAGTTGCTTATATCATCTGCATTTGTGCTTAGATAATCTATATTTATGCCCATATATTGTCCATGGGAAGGCACCCAGCTGCTGATGATAATATTGCCCGAAGAGTTGAGGATTCAGTTAGGTCCTTCCAAAAATCATATTCCCTTTTCTCAAGGAGTTCTTTATACCCTCCTGATACCTCCGAGCTTTTCTGGATCAGGCCTCATGCCTGATTGCGTATTAGATGAGAGTAACTGCTTACACCCTAAAATCTTTCTGAGGGTTTGTAACAAGGTTTGACAGTCCAAGGCCAGTCTTTACATACTGATTCCTAATCTCAAGACCCCAGTCTGGAGACCTAAGGTCTGTTCCTATGTATGTAACATATGTGCATATTTTCCAAAGTTATTACTCTCTTGTGCTTTGTCATTTTATAAACCTGCATCTCTTACCTAACTATATACTGTGATTGTCTCTCCTTGTTTCAGTAGTCTGATGCAGTGGTGCTGAAACTTCTGGTGGTGACGGATTCCCTTTTTCCCCTCACAACCCATCATGGACTGATACTTTCACGAAATAAAATAAAAATGAATTTATAATACAAAATAAAATAAAACCATAAAATATAAGCCCAAATATTTTTCAAAAGGCATGAAACTGGCCAGGCATGATGATTTACACCTGTAATCCCAACACTTTGGGAGGCCAAGGCAGGAGGATTGCTTGAGGCCAGGAGTTTGAGACCAGCCTGGGCAACATAGTGAGACCTTGTGTCTACAAAAGAGTTAAACAATTAGCCAACCATGGTGGTGCCTGCCTAGAGTTTCAGCTACTTACGAGGCTGAGGCAGGAGGATTGTGTAAGCCCAGTAGTTTAGGGTTGGCGTGGGCTGTGATTGCATCACTACACTCCAATCTGGGTGACAGCAAGACCCTGTCTTTAAAAAAGAAGAAAGAATAAAAGACATAAGACTACATTTTATTTAATATAATGAGAAGACGTATTAAACAGGGGGAAAAGCTATAAAAAGTACACACAGATTGCAATTCGGGACTGCCAGTGGTCCACAGAACGTGTTTGGAGTAGCACTGATCTGCTGTGTTGTTGATGGCTTCATAGCATTCTATGTGTGTCTCTATTTAACCAATTTCTTATTACACTTTTTGGATTTTTTAGAATTAATAACAGTGCATAGATGAGCATCTTTACAGCCATGTGTATCCCATTTATCGCATCCCTGTGTATAATTATTTTCTTAGGATAAATTCTTGCAAGTGAAATTTTCGAGGTGTGTTTATACAGTGCACTGTTTGCTTTGGCTTTTTAAATGAGGCAATTGATAGCCATCCGTTGGAACTTAAAATTTGTACTAAAGGAAAGTAATTTGGAAAATCTTCTTTAGGTGATGTGGAAACAGCTGTAAAATTTGCAACTCAACTTATTGACCTGGGAGCAGACATTAGTTTGCGGAGTCGCTGGACAAACATGAATGCTTTGCATTATGCTGCTTATTTTGATGTCCCAGAACTTATAAGAGTGATTTTGAAAACATCGAAACCAAAAGGCAAGTGTTATAAGATCACCTTTAGATATTATTAACTGAACACTTTAGTGGTGGCATAAAAATTATAATTCAAGGATTTTTAAAACTTCTAATCCGTCTTGTTTCATATGCCTTTCTACTCCGTTTTATTTCTGAGATAGTTTAAAATTTCTTTATTGAGTATTACTATCTTTTCTACAAAAGGATTAGTACAGAGAGATACAAAATGAAAGAATGTTCTCTGGGCTTTCATATCTCTGTAAGTTCTCTAGTATAACATGGATGTTTTATATAATTGATTCTACATGCTTTATGATTCTTTTGCCTTGCTTGGGTAGCCAGAAATAGAACAATAAGGTCTTCAGAGATTGGCATTGGAATAATAAATACTATTTATTTTAGATGGCATTTGGTTCTGAAATTATATAATTCAACTTAAGGGATAATATTTCCGTTTTTTCCCCCCTGTTTTGATGGTGATATCCTGAAATTGAAGATCTGAATGTCTAAGTCACAGTCCTGGTATTTTGATTTTTCTCTCTGGTTCTCTTTGGGGCCAATTTTCTTTTCTTTATTTTTTAGAAAAATATGAGAGCAAGCAAATAGTATTAACATTAAATTAAAGAAAGTGTATTTTCCCCATTGTAGGAACATGCTTTAGAGATTCAGTAAATTTCCCAGAATGTTCATTTCTAACCTCCAATCTGCATAATTGTCCATTTTTTTTCTTTAAAATTCTACCTTTTCACTTTGTGAATGATGTTAGGAAGAAAGCCTCTGTCGACACTTCTGTGTTTTTAAAAATTCAAGAGTGTGTGTCTTGAGTATATCTGGGTCGTTTGCAGTTGTAGGAAGGATATGTGGGTGTGGTGTCATTTAGTTGAGGGTAGGATTTGCAGAACCAGAGGTATATTTAAACCCTTGTTATGGAAAATATTCAAGATGGGATTCCCAAATCTGGAGGATTTCCTGTATTTAAATATAACATATGATGCTATATTAAAAGTTATTAAAATGTCCTTAGAGTTGCAAGATTACTTTTCTCATTATGAAATTCAAATTCATTTGTTCAGTGGAGTATTATGAATCAATTTATAGGTGAGCGTTTCTATGCTTAATTAGACTTTAGCTGCTTTGAAAATTCTGCTTTGTTTTACCTACCAGGTATTGGCCGTTTTGTTTCTGTAAAGGGCCAGCTAGTAAATATTTTAGACTTTTTGGACTACATGGTCTCTGATGAAACTACTCAGTTCCATAGTTGTAGCACGGAAGTAGTCACAGAGGATATGTAAATGAGTGAGTGTGCCTGTGTTCTAATAAAACTTTATAAAACCAGGTGGGCTGGATTTGGCCTTTGGGTCATAGGTTGCTGACCCCTGACCTAAACTCTACTACTCTACCTCACTGTAGTTGTCATGGCAAATATGCCACAGACTTAATGGGAAATTGTGATACGCTGTTACTTTTACAAATATGAATTATTGCCATTAATTGTTTTAAAATGTGTTTAGTTTGAAAACCCAGGATAATATCACTCCATCTTATAATGAATTTTATTGTACTAGGAAAATAATCAACTGTTTAACTAAATTGTAATATAAACATTTTGTTCTTTTGTGAAATCATTCTTCTAGTGGGTTGATTTAAGTCTTATAAATGATAAAAGTCCCTCCTCCCAAAACCCTGTCTTCTTTTAAATTATAATAGCTAAGTTTAAAATTTTAGTTAATATACTTGTGATGTTTAATTGCAGATGTGGATGCCACTTGCAGTGATTTTAATTTTGGAACAGCTTTGCATATTGCAGCATACAACTTGTGTGCAGGTGCTGTGAAGTGCCTCTTGGAGCAGGGAGCAAATCCTGCATTTAGGGTAAGAGGTTAAATTAAAAATGAAAAATATTAAAAGAATTAAGAAGTCTTATCCTACTTTCTGGTAAAGTGTTGGCTCTGAATGTTGTTATTAATAGAAGAACTCTTACATGAGCAAGTAATTTATATCTTTGTTCCACATGTAAAGAGTGATGATGATCTTTATTGTAAATAAATTTAAGGCATAATGATAAATTTCCTTTTATATTGATAAGTCCCATTCAGGAAAGTAAAGTCTTCCTTTAAGTGTCATAATCTTTAAGTATCTTTCATTTAGGGGTTTGATGTATTTATGGAAAGTTAGCTGTTAAATACAAATACATATATTAAAGTTATATTTTTCTGTTAAGTCATATTCTAAATTTTTTTAGAAATAAAATTCATTTCAGAAAGTTAAAATAAATACCCATTTAAGGATGAAGTAAGCCTTTGAAAATGAAACATTTAAAGGAAAAGTGTATTTTTTTAATAGTAAAATGTCACTAATTTACGGAGTTACACAGGATTGAATATCATAGTCTTCAGATCCTTTTTTTTTTTTTTCCTCCAGAAAGTGGCTCTCAGTTTTCACTTTCTTTATATTGATAACAATAACTCGCTCTGGCAGGTATTCTTAATCGTGTTATACTTTCCCTTGAAGGGGTGGGTGTGAACGGCGGATAGAGTGCAGTATTTGAAAACACTTGTTTTCCCTTCCCTTTCCCATTTTTCCCATTTTCCCTACTTCTTTGCCAGTTTTCTTTCTGTTTAACTGCCTTGATTACCCCCCAACTTTTAATTTCTTCCCTTCCTCCCTCCCTCCCTTCTGACTATATTGGTTATTAGGCACTGGGAGAATACTACAGTAGTGTAGATAAAGCCCTTGCCCTCAAAAAGAATGTATTGCAGAGGGGAGGTGGGACAAGGAAGCAATCAGTTTTACTGTAGTGTGCGAATTCAGTGCGACACGATGGGGCAGGGGTGGCAGAGGGCCGTGGGTCATCTTCCCAAAGCTTCAATAGGGGGTGACATCTAAATCAAGTGCTTACATAGGCAAGAATTAACCAGGTACTGGAGGGAGGTGAGGAATGCATTTTAGACAGAGAGAGTAGCATGCAAGAAACCTAGAGGTGATCATTCAGTCCAGCTGGAACACGAAGGGGATGCGTTTGCTTTTGTTGGTACAGCTGTTGATAAAGCCCCATTAGTGGGGATGATGTTCTGAATTTGTTAGGATGCCATGAGATATGTTATTGAGCTAAATTACCAATTTAGGCCAGAAACAGATGAATAGGTTGCCGTATTTTAGAAATACTTAAAAAACAGTGGTAAACTTGTGGGTCAGCAGTAGCCCTCAGACCATAGTGTGATAGCCACCATCTTAATTTTTAATTTTTATTTTAAATATTAGATTCAGGGAGTATATGTACAGGTTTGTGAAATAGGTTATATTGCGTGGTGCTGAGGTTTGGGCTTCTGTTGATGCCGTCACCCAAACAGTGAACATAGTACCCAATAGGTAGTTTTTCCACCCTTGCCCTAGCCCTTCCCCACCTCCTTCCCTCCCACACTCCCTCCTATCTTTAGGGGTCCCAGTGTCTGTTGTTCCCATCTTTATGTCTGTGTGTATCCAGTGTTCAGCTCCCACTAATAAGTGAGAACACGCATTATTTGGTTTTCTGTTTCTGCATTAATTTTCTTAGGATAATGGCCTCCAGTTGCATCCTTGTTGTTGCAAAGGGCACGGTTTCATTTTTTAAATGACTATGTAGTATGCTGTATTTGTACCGCATTTTCTTTATCCAGTCCACTATTGATGAGCACCGAGGTTGATTCCATGTCTTTGCTGTTATGAATTGTGCTGTGAAAAACTTATGAGTGCAGTGTCTTTTTGGTAAAATAATTTATTTTCCTTTGAGTGTGTACCCAGTGGTGGGATCTAGGTCAAATGGTAATTCTGTTTTTAGTTTTTTGAGAAATCTCCACATTGCTTTCCACAGGGGCTGAACCAATTTACACTTCCACTAACAGTGTATAAATGTTCCTTTTCTCCACAACCTCACCAACATGTTATTTTGTGACTTTTTACTAATGGCCATTCTGACTGGTGTGAGATAGTCTCTCATTGTGGTGTTGATTAGCATTTCTCTGATGATTAGTGATGTTGAGCATTTTTTATATTTGTTGGTTGCTTGTATGTCTTCTTTTGAGAAGTGTCTGTTCATGTTCTTTGCCACTTTTTAATGGGATATTTTTTCTTTTTGATTTGTTTACATTCCTTATAGATTCTGGATATTAATCTTTTGTTGGATGCATAGTTTGTATTTTTACCTATTCTGTAGTTTGTCTGTTTACTCTGTTGATAGTTTCATTTGCTGTGCAGAAGCTCTAGTTTAATGAGGTCCTGTTTGACAATTTTTGTTTTTGTTGCCTTTGCCTTTGAGGACTTAGTTGCAAATTCTTTGCCTAAGCCAATGCCTAGAGGAGTATTTCCTAGATTTTTGTCTAGGATTTTTGTAGTTTGATTTCTTATACTTAAGTTTTTAAAATCTATCTTGAGTTAATTTTTGCATATCGTGAGTAGTGGGGGCCCAGTTTCATGCATATGGTTAGCTAGTTTTCCCAGCACCATTTATGAGTAGAGTGTCCTTTCCCTCGTGTTTATTTTTGTTACCTTTGTCAAAAATCGGTTGGTTGGTTGTAAGTGTATGGCTTTATTTCAGGGTTCTCTACTCTGTTTCATTGGTCTATATGTCTGTTTTTTGTAGCAATATCATGCTGTTTTGATTACTGTGGTCTTGTAGTATAATTTTAAGTCAGGTAATGTGATACCTCTGGCTTTTGTTCTTTCTGCTTGGGATTGGTTTGGCTATTTGGGCTCCTTTTTTGGCTCTGTATGAATTTTAGAACAGTTTTTTCTAATCCTGTGAAAACCGATGTTGGAAATTTGATAGGAAGAGTGTTGAATCTGTCAATTGCTCTGGCCAATGTGGACGTTCTAGTGATACTGATTCTTCCAGTCCTTGAGCATGTAGTGTTTTTCCATTTGTTTGTGTTGTCTATGATTTCTCTCAGCAACGTTTTATAGTTATTGTAGAGATCTTCCATCCCCTTGGTTAGATGTATTCCTTGGTATTTTAATTATTATTTTGTGGCTATTGTAAATGGAATTGTGTTCTTGATTTTGTTCTCAGCCTGAGTGTTACTGGTGTATAGAAATGCTACTGATTTTCATATATTGATTTTGTGTCCTGACACTTTACTGAAGTTGTTTATCAGGTCTAGGAGTTTTTTTTTGGCAGAACCTTTAGAATTTTCTACATATAGAACCATATTATTGGTGAAGGGAGATAATTTGACTTCCCCTTTTCCTATTTGAATGCCTTTTATTTCTTTCTCTTGTCTGATTACTCTGGTTGGAACTTCTAGTACTGTGTTGAATAGGCGTAGTGAGAGTGAACATTCTTGTCTTGTTCTCAGGAGGAATGTTTCCAACTTGCCCATTCGGTATGATGTTGGCTGTGGGTTTGTCATAGATGGCTCTTATTATTTCGAGGTATGTTCCTTCGATGCCTAATTTGTTGAAGGTTTTTTGTCATGAAGTCGTGTTGGAATTTATCGATTGCTTTTTCTGTGTCCGTTGAGATGATCATACGGTTTTTAATTTTGTTATGTGGTGAATCACATTTATTGACTTGCATATGTTGAACCTCCTTGCATGAATTGGTCACGGTGAATTCTCTTTTTGGTATGCTGCTGAATTTGGTTTGCTAGTAACTTGAGGATTTCTGTGTCTGTGTTTACCAGGGATGTTGGTCTGTAGTTTTCTTTTTTGTTGTGTCTTTGCCAGATTTTGGTATAAAGATGTTACTGCTTTCGTAGAATGAATTAGGGAGAAATCCCTCCTCCTTGGTTTTTTCATATTGTTTTGGTAGGATTGTTACCAGCTCCTCCTCATACGTTTGGTAGAATTTGGCTGTGAATCCATTTGGGCTTTTTCTGGATGGTAGGTTTTTTATTACTGATTCAATTTTGTAACTCATTATTGGTATGTTCAGGGTTTCACTTTCTTCCTGGTTCTTGGAAGGTTGTGTGTTTCTAGGAATTTAGATTCCTAGATTTTCTAGATTTCCTTTAGATTTTCTAGTTTGTATGAATAGAGGTATTCACATTAGTTGCTGAGGATCTTTTGCATCTCTGTGGGATTGTTGTAATGTCATATTTATAATTGCTAGTTGTGCTTATTTGGATCTTCCCTTTCTTTTTCTTTGTTAACCTAGCTATCAGTCTATCAATCTTATTGTTTCAAAGAACTGCCTTTTCATTTTGCTGATCCTTTGAATGCCTTTTTTGGTTTCAGTTTCATTTAGTTGTACTCCAATTTTAGTTATTTCTTTGACTAGGTTTGGGTTTAGTTTGTTCTTATTTTTCTAGTTCCCTTAGGTGCAATGTTAGGTTGTTAATTTGAGATCTCCCTGTCTTCTTGATTCAGGCATTTTGTACTTTCCTCTTAAAACTGGTTTTGCTACATCCCAGAGGTTTTGGTATATTGTGTCTCTATTTTCATTTGTTTCAAAGAATTTTTTGAATTCTGCCTTAATTTCATTGTTTATTATTTAATAATATAATTTTATGAATATTAATTATTAACATAACAATATTAAATCATATTTTAATATATAATTTATTATATTATTATTTTTCTTTGTAGTAATATTCATATTATTATTCATTCCAAAAGTCATTCTGGAGCAAGTTTTCTAGTTTGCATGTATTTGTGTGGTTTTGAGAGCTCTTCTTGGTATTGATTTCTATTTTTATTCCACTGTGGTCCAAGAGATTCTTGGTGTGATTTTGATTTTTTGAATTTGTTGAGACTTGCTTTATGACCGTGGTCAATCTTTGAGTATGTTCCATGTGCCAGTGAGAATAGCATTTATATTCTGTGATTGTTGGGTGGAGTATTCTTTAGATGCCCATTAAGTCTAATTGGTCAAGTGCTGTATTTAAGTCCAAAATTTCTTTGTTAGTTTTCTGCCTTGATGATCTAATGCCTTCAGTGAAGTGTTGAAGTCACCCACTGTTATTGTGTGACTATGTTCATCTTTTTGTAAGTCTAGTCATAATGTTTTATAAATTTGGGTGCTCCAATGTTGGGTGTATGTATATTTAGGATAGTTAAGTCTTCTTGTTGAATTGAACCCTTTATCATTATGTAATGCCCTACTTTGTCCCTCTTGACTGTTGTTGGCTTAAAGTATGTTTAACTGATGTAAGAATAATGATCCTCTGCTCCTTTTTATTTTCCATTTGCATGGTAGATCTTTCTCCAGCCTTTTACTTTGAGCCTATGGGTGTCATTACATGTGCAATAGGTATCTTGAAGACAGCAGAAGGATGGGTCTTTTTTTTTTTTTTAAAACCCAATTTGCCACTGTATGTCTTTTGAGTGCTGTGTTTAGGCTGTTTATGTTCAGGGTTAATATTGATATGTGAAGTTGGGCTCCTATTGTCGTGTTGTTAGCTAGTTGCTTTGTAGTCTTGATTGTGTAGTTGCTTTTATGGAGTCTATAGACTATGTGCTTATGTATGCTTTTGTGACAGCAAGTATTATTTTCTTGTTTCCATGTTTAGAACTCTGTTAGTCATCTTTTATTAACCTTCCTCAGGGTTAATATTGATATGTGAAGTTTTGTTCCTGTTGTCGTGATGTTAGCTAGTTGCTTCCTAGTCTCAACTGTATAGTTGCTTTATGGAGAACATAGTCTATGTGCTTATGTATGCTTTTGTGGTAGCAAGTTTTGTTCTTTTGTTTCCATGTGTAGAGCTCCCTTAATCATCTTTTATAGGGCCAGTCTGGTGGTATGCCACCACTTTAGAAGAAAGTGGAATTCCACAATCGATCATGCATAAGCCTTATTATGTTAGGAAGATATCATCATTGTTACTGTATTATTCTTACTATTATTTTGTTGTTGTTGTTTTTTTTTTTTTTTTACAGGAGTTTTGATTGTTGAATTGTATGGTAATTGACAACAAAGTGTGTGACAGGCTCCAAAAAGTGGGGATATAACAAAAGTCCAAAGTAAAATATTCACCGTAAGCATAGCTTACAACTTATCAGCCTCCTGTATTTTTAAAATTGTTATGTTTCCCTATTTTTCTCTCTCTGTTTTTTAGAGTATACATTAGTGTAACACATATCTTTATTGTATTTTGTATGTTTTCTTGAAATCTGGGATTAAAAGAGTCCATTACCATCCCAGAAATCTAATAACATACCTTCTTGCCATGTTTTTACTAAGGACCAACCTGACTTGAATTTTACAACAAAAAAATGTGAAGCAATTGCAAACTAAGTGTGTTCTAAAAGCCTCATTCATTTTTCCACGTGGTTCATTTGAAGAACATTATCATCAGTGAAGAAAGGGAAAAAAGTTTCTCAGTTAACAAAAGTATCTTTATTCTTTATATTAAGAGAAAATTACAATCTAGATTATTTCTCATGAAGTCTAAAGTTTTTGGTTAGGGAATGTAAGGTGACAGATAATTCATATGATAGGGCTTTGATGATACATATACCATGCAAATGACTGTGGGGTTGTCTCTGGCCATTTTATCTGGTCACAGGATAAATCCCAGGATACCAGTCTTTCCGTTGTGGTGAAGACAGAGCTTTTTTCTTGATTATAGCCCGGGTTTTAGAAGTATCAAAACCATAGTTTCTAGTTTTGAAATCTGAGTTACCCCATGAATGGGCAGGGGGCTGAGATCACAGAGCCAAGAGGGCAGCTCTGGAACCGTGGATTTGGGTCCGGGAAGCCAGTCAGTCTTGTGACTTTTGTTTCCAAGCTTGCTTTCTCAAATGCCTGTGAGGGCAGGATGCTCTCCGCTTAGGACCTGAGCACTGCTCCCCACGATAGATGCAGTGCTTTTCCCTGCCAGAGAACCTGCACGGCTCCTCCCTGGTCTGCTTTGGATCTCTGTGGAGATGCCTCTCATCAGTGAGGTCTCCCTGACCACTTAAAGAGTTTCCCCTACAACCATCTCTGTCTCCGCATTTCCTATTTCCCTTCCCTGCTTTTTTTTTTTTTTTTTCCCACCTCCAGGCCACTTATTACTGTTTATTATGCCACATATAATTTACTTGTTTAATGTTGTGTGGTCTGTCTCTCCCACCAGAATGTAATGTTCCTTGAGGGCAGGGCTTGTGTTTTTTTCACTGTAGGATCTTTAGCACCTAGAATGGTGCCTGCATATTGTAGGTGTTCAGGAAATGTTTTTGAATAAACAAATGACGAATGAATTTAACATAAAATTCCGCCAACAGAAATTTTATATGACTTTCTAGTGCTCTAAGTAAATAAGAGTTGAACATTTTTCTCTTATCTTTATTTGTAGAATGACAAAGGACAGATCCCTGCTGATGTTGTTCCAGACCCAGTAGATATGCCGTTAGAGATGGCTGACGCCGCAGCCACTGCTAAGGAAATCAAGCAGATGCTCCTAGATGCGGTGCCTCTGTCATGTAACATCTCAAAGGCCATGCTCCCAAATTATGATCATGTCACTGGCAAGGCAATGCTTACGTCACTTGGCCTGAAGTTGGGGGATCGTGTCGTTATTGCAGGACAGAAGGTACAGTAAGTAGCTGCAGTCTCTGAAGCCAAGGTTGTTATGTCCATGACCTATGTTTAGGGGCACAGAGAATAAGGTCAGAGTTTCGAGTTTTTTAAAAAAGGTTCAACATGTAGGTAGAAAGATGCTTAATGGAAAATGTAAAACTTGGATACGAATTTACTGTTAAGTTATGCTTTAAGAATATGAACTACTTGAACTTAATAATGAAGACATCTTTATTTGAATAAAGAGTAGAGTGGAGTAGAACTTCTGAGTGAATTTAGAGGCATGAGCTGAGGGATGATCTAGGGTGGAGGATTTTCTTTGCAGTCCCCTCTTCCCCCAGTGGTGCTTCTCCGACTGCTGCTACTCCATAGAAATGGAGCACAGGAGACCCTTGCTGTTCGTGGCTGTTTGTCTTTGGGTTCCCACAAATAGGGCAGTCTGAGATACTGTGTAGCGTGGTGATAAGGATTTATGTGGAAAAGAGGACTACTCCCATCATCCAGACACCTTTTTTCCTCCCAAGCTTTCGTTTCCAAATTGCATTCGTTTATTACCAGTTGCTTTTAAAAAATATCTCATATGGGAGGTTTTCTTGTTTTTTCTTTTTTTAATTAATTATTTTATTATACTTTAAGTTCTGGAATACGTGTGCAGAACATGCAAGTTTGTTACGTAGGCATACATGTGCCATGGTGGTTTGCTGCACCCATCAGCTTGTCGTCTGTATTAGGTATTTCTCCTAATGCTATCCCTCCCCAGCCCCCCACCCTCAGTTTTTTCTTAATATTGAGGTTAATAGGGAGCTTGGTACGGAGAATGGCATAGGGAATTCCTGCTTGGATATTGAATTTCCCAACATAGTTGCATCCCAATTTATTTATTTTATTTTTTTGAGAAGAGTCTTACTTTGCTGCCCAGGCCTGGAGTGCAGTGGCACAGTCATAGGTCACTGTAGCCGTGAACTCCTGGGCTCAAGTGACCCTTCTGCCTCAGCCCCTGGGGTAGCTGGAACTACAGGCATGTGCTACTATCCAGCTAATTAGGATTCTTATGTCTTCTTGGAAATTGACTCCCTTATTATTATTTAATGTTCCTTTTTATCCTTGGTAATGTTCCTTGCTCTGAAGTGAGAGCAAGGAACATTACCAAGGATAAAAAGATAATGTTGAGAAAGTGAATTTTTAAAAACTTTCATGGTGAAGTAAAGTTGCAAGAGTAGGACCGTTGGAATTACTAATAATTCCCAAAAGTTATTCTGATTTATATCTTCTTTAGGTTGGTACATTAAGATTTTGTGGAACAACTGAATTTGCAAGTGGGCAGTGGGCCGGCATTGAACTGGATGAGCCAGAAGGAAAAAATAATGGAAGTGTTGGAAAAGTCCAATACTTTAAATGTGCCCCCAAGTATGGTAAGGTTGATATTATTTAACTCAGTAAGAATTAATTAAAAATAATCAAGTTTTACTCTGTTACAGTTGTTAAATAAAACTTTTCTTCTGATTACTTATGTGATAAATGAGGGGCATGTGGATGTAGGGAGGACTTTTTAAAGGTAGGAGATAGTTATGTTTATTTACCCTGATGAGAGGTGATGTGAGAGCGAGAAATGGTAGTTGCAGGAGAGAAAGGGGACACTTATAGGAGGAAAGGCCTGAAAAACGTGGAAATGGAATTGAGTTAGCCTTGCTTTAGATCAGGTGCAGCTTTCCACTATTTTATTTTATTTTATTTTATTTTATTTATTTATTTTTTGAGACGGAGTCTCGCTCTGTCACCCAGGCTGGAGTACAGTGGCACAATCTCAGCTCACTGCAACCTCTGCCTCCCAGGTTCAAGTGATTCTCCTGCCTCAGCCTCCTGAGTAGCTGGGATTACAGGCACTTGCCACCATGCCTGGATAATTGTTGTATTTTCGGTAGACACAGGGTTTCCCCACGTTGGCCAGGCTGGTCTCAACCTCCTGACCTCAAGTGATCTGCCCACCTTGGCCTACCAAAGTGCTGGGATTACAGGCATGAGCCACCGTGCCTGGCCAACCATGAGTTTCAGAGGCCATGATGGAAAGGTTTAGGAGAGTGTCTGGTAGTGACTGGTGAAGAGCACGTCTGATGGGATTGTCTCAATGATGTTTTTGGGAAAGTGTCTTTCTTGGGACTGGTCTCTTGGGTGGATTTTAGTGGAGAGACAGTGATGAGAGGGGTGTTTTCATTAGTAGGCTGTGAGCTGTTGGACTGCCCTTGATTCTTGCTGCCAGCAGTATAGTGATTGGGAGAAGGCCTCTGACCAGGGGCACCCCCAGCTCTGCAGACCTCCCTTAAATCCTGCTCCTGGTGGTGTCGTGGCCAAGGGAGGGACTTGGTTATCAAGGAAGTACAGAGCTCTGGAGGTCATGAAGAACCTGGAAAACTGGAAAAATCAAGCAAGGCCAACTTTACGACCACACTCCTGAGGTTTCTTTGAAACTCGGCGAGATTTCTTTCTCTTTCCAACAAATGTTTCAGTAAATTCTGACAAATGTTTAAATAGATTCTGTCGGACATGTTCAGGTGAATTTATTCTTCCTCTCTCACACGCACCTATCCTGCCTGTTGATTTCAATTTGATTTTGTAGTTACTTACTATGTTGTGAATATTTTTCCTTGAAATGAAATACTCTTCTAGAACATCATTTCCACGATTGTGTAGTATTCATCTTGTGGCCTGATGGTGAGGTGGTGTGGTGTGATGATGATGAAGGGTATGGACTTTGGAGTCTGACTGCTTGTGTGTGAATCGATTTCTTTACTTACCAGCTATGTGACTCTCTTTCTCTTCTTGTGCCTCAGTTTGTCTTCTGTGAAATAGGGATGACACTATCATAAGGACTAGTGCAAGAATGAAATGCGTTGGTGAAAGTATAAAGCACCTAGAACAGTGCTTGATTCCCTGTAAGCACTCAGCAGATGAGAGCTGCTGGCTATCACGCATTTATCAAAATTACTAGTTTCCTTTCATCACACACTTAGGATGGAATCTCATTTTTTTGGTCTATTAAAACTTTTTTTTGTTTGTTTATAAAAATGCTTATTGTGTAAGATTAGAAAATGAGGAAAATAAAAATTCTGCATTTTTATTTGATATCCTAATATAATTTCCCCAAGTCTTTACATATTGTTTGAAAATGTGATTTTGAATAGCTCCATTTCCTTTCATTTTTCCAGTTTGATGCATGAAAATTCTATATTTTAATTTGTATTTATCTTATTGTGGTGAAATAGAGCACTTATTAAAGTGTTTTGTTGTAGTATAGGTATTTTTTATGTTCCTTGGCAATTGCCTGTTCGTATTATTTTCCCAGTAAAAATTGGGATATTAGTATGTCTTTTTAAAAAAAGGATGAGTTTTAAAATACATACTTACGATATTAAGCTTTATTTATTATGGATATTTTGTCCAGCTTGTCATTTGCCTTTGACCCTCATTTGCAATGTTTTGTGGACATGTAGTTTCATGGCCTAAAGACTTTTCTTTTATAAATTCTTATATTGCTTTTATGCTTTGATAATTCTTCCTAATCTAAGGATTAGTTATACATTTTATATTTCTTTAAATGTTTATATTTTTCCTTTTATTTTTAGTTGACATGTTGTATCTATTTATTATTATTATGTATCTATTGGGTACAGAGTGATATTTCTGTGTAATGTAAGGTGTAATGATTAAATCAGGGTAATTTGGATATCCATCACCCCAAACATTTATCATTTGTGTTGAGAACATTCAAAATCCTCTCTTTTAGCTTTTTGAACATATACAATAAATTGTTGTTGACCATCTTCACCTTGCAGTGCTGTGGAACACTAGAACTTATTCCTCCTGTTTAGCAGTAATGTAAATGTTTTAATTTTTATACTTAATTATGTAATCTATTTGGAATTTATTTGGTTAGTAGTCTGAGGTTAAGAATTTAATTTTAATTTTCCTCCAGTAGATTACTTTGCCACCTGTCAAGCAGACTAAGGGCAGGATCAAAAGCCTTTAGCAACACATGGGGCAGAGGTAAATCAGAATTACGGGAATAATTTAGATTGCCAGCAGAACACGTTGGGACTCCCAAACTCTCATTGTCCCGAGGGGAGGTGTGCTTGATTAGCACAAAGCTGGATACTCCCAGGACCTGCCTCCATCCTCTTATATGTACTTAAAGGCAAGTTGTGGGCCAGGGGTCATGTGTTGGATTGTGTGAAAATGGGTGTAACCCTTGACAGTCCTGGGAGCCCCAGATCATGGCTAAGCTACTTAGGTGGAGGTGAGGGGAGTTGGGGAATCCCCTGGCTAATCAGAAGCCAAGGAATTTCTCAACAACGGTTTTCTCTCTTTCTAAATCTATCATCTTTTCCCTTTGGCTTGTTGTGCTGCTTTTATTATAGATTAAGTTCTTATCAATGCTATGGTATATTTCAGGATTGTTTTGTTCTATTGATCTGTTAATTCTCATACGTATTAGATTTTTTAACTCTAGAAAATGGTAAGTTTTAATACTTGGGTGGTATTACTATTTTTATGTCTTTTAATAATTATCAAAGTAAATACATATACTTAGTTTACTAAAGTCAGATTGTATGGCAGGGCTTATTACAAAACTCTCTCTTAGCTTGTTTTTCTCTGCCCTCGAATCCTGCTCCTTAGAAGCAAGAACTTTTTCAACTCTTTTAGCTGTATCATCTGATATTAATATCTGTATTTGTAAATCATGTATTTACAGGAATCTTTCTTGATTTTTCCATTTCGAGACATCTAGTGAGTTCGTACTCTGAAGAGAAAGATTTAGTGTGCTACGTAAGACAATAGAGTATTACCTTAAATATACAGAGAGAATGTGAAACCCATTGTAACAGTTTCTTGGTTGACTTGTTTTTGGTATAGGATGGCCTTCAGTAGCTTTCTGACAAAGGACTCATGAGAAGTAAATGTGTTGAGTCCTTCTATTCTAAACACACGTTGATTTCTCCCCTCATACTTCATGCGATAATTTGGGATAAGGAATGTTAGGTCGGATTTCATATTCTCTGAGTATATTTAAGGAGATACTCTAGTGTCTCAGGTAGAGTTTGACAGGCTTTTTCTGTGAGGGGCCACATAGTAAATGTTTTAGGCCTTGTGGGCTCTGCACTTTCTGGTGCACCTGCTACTCAGCTCTGCTGTCGTAGTAAACAGGCAGCCATAGGCAGTGTGTAAGCAAATGGATGTGGCTACATTTCAATAAAACTAGACCAATAAACAGGCAGTAGCCAGGATATGGCTGTTGGGCCATAGTTTACCAACCATCCTGAGCTTCCAGTGTTGCCGTTCAGAAGTTTTGAAGTGTTGTTGTACAAATTATTTAGTATAAAATGAAAAAGAAGAAACAAAAAGTAGGTAGAGGTTTTTCCATCTTCTATTTTTGACCCTTTCTTCCTTCTAGGAAGCTTTTAGCATTTTTTCTCCTTTTCTTTTTTTTTTCCTTCAGAGTTCATACCATTTTTATTCCTTACCGATATTTTAGTGGGGGTTGGAGAAGAAGAATTGGAGTTAAAGCTGTGTTCAGTGGGCCATGTTTATCTGGAAATTTGTTATTTTTGTCTTTCCAAATAATTCTTCATCATGTGTTTGTTTTTAGTTAAGCCTTACAGTTACATGTCGAGATTTGAGAAAAATCCTATCAATAATTCAGTTAGCCTGAGTAACTGAGTAATAGAGGCTGCCCGTATACTATGCATCCAGTCATTGCTTTACATTTAGTTTTGGTTCTCTGAAATGCTTTGGTTAATAAAAAAAAAAAAAAAAAAGAAAAATGCAAACTATATAGATGAGGTTTTATATACTGCAGAAATCTTTCTAAGCCATAGAATTAAATGTTTAATTTAATACACAGATATACTTTAGCTTACAGAAATTTCCTGGTGAGATTTTTTTTTTGTTAGAAAATATATTATTTATAGTGAAGTAGAGGTGTCAGTATTCATGATAGAGGTTATATCAGCCAAGGTTGCCTTCATATTGATAAAAATACTTTATTCACTTGTAATCATAAACATTATTCCAGTAAAAGAGGTACATTTTCTCTCCTTTTTGTCTTTTTGCCTGTGTTATCGCCATAATAAGTTAAAATGAAATAGCTCTTACATAATGAAAGGAGAAAAGAAAAAAGAGAAAGCCAACATACCACAGCCTAGACAATTCCACCCAGCACTGCGGCCTCCAGCAGTCTCTCCTCTCCCCACTCCAATTAATTTAGCCCTCTACCCCATCCCACTTTGTTAGCGGGGAGGTTCACCAAATGATGGGGCTTGCTCAGAAGAGAAACATGTTATGGTCAGTGGAAGTTGAAGAGAAAGTACAAAAAGATGGAGAGGGCTGCCCTTCTCTTTTAATAATTGTGAGAGGATTTACTAATCCTGAAAAGTGTCCTTCAGTGACTGATCCCCGATCTAGACTTTGGCCCTTCAACTTGCTGCTGTCCAAAAAATCACACATTTTCCCTGAGATGAAGAAAAACATAATTTATTGAACATGGTTATGACATTAATGACACAAATCAAACAAATTAGAAAAATACTCCATAGCCTGACTTCTCTTATAAATGTTTATTTTAGGTTTCTTCCAATCCTGCCTGCTGCCTGTATTCCCACATGCAATTTTTCACAAATGTTACAGTGTAATCAAATATATAACTTAATTTTTTTGATTTCCTTTTGAGACAGTCTCTTGCTCTGTCGCCCAGGCTGGAGTGCAGTGGCCTCCCAGGTTCAAGCGATTCTCCTGCCTCAGCCTCCTGAGTGGGATTACAGGCACACACCACTGTGCCTGGCTAATTTTTGTATTTTTAGTAGAGATGGGGTTTCGCCATGTTGGTCAGGCTGATCTTGAACACCTGGTCTCAGGTGATCTGCCTGCCTCGGCCTCCTAAAGGGCTGGGATTACAGGTGTGAGCCACTGTGCCTGGCCTGATTTACTTTTCATATTTTTATATATTTCTACATAATCTTTATTGTCTTATAATGTTACAATGATATAGTGGTTTATGGATATAGTTAATTCATCATATTGGCAGACAATTATGTTTTCTCCTACTTATGAATAATATTACAGTGATGACATATTCAGATATAAAACCTTTTCCTCGTATTTAGAGTATTTTCTCATGATTCATTTCCAGAAGTGTGATTGGGTCATTGTAGTAAACTAGAAATTGTGGCAGCTCTTGAAATTCTTTTTTTTTCTTTTAGTATACAGATGAAACCTTGTAACCTTTGTCAGTACCATTAAATATAATTATTTCTTTAAAATTCTATAAAGTGGATTAGGTCAAGATGTTTGTTTTCTAAAAAGATCATACAAATTTACATTCCCAGGGTATAAAATAATTTCTTTCATCAAACCCTTGCCAACACTGGTTGTAATCATCATCATCATCATCGTCATCATTATCACCAAGCTTGAGAGAGAGAGAGAGAGAGAGGGTGTGTGTATGTGTGTGTGTGTTAGAGAAGGCAAATAATTTAGAGAAAGAATAGAAAGTCATGGAAAATCTCATAGATAGGAGACAGAACAGAGAACATTGTGAATAAGTTAAAGATAGGAAAATCAGGATGAAGTAGTATGGACTCTGAGGTGGGAGAGAATTTTAAGATTAGCAGAAAAGTAGTGGAGTTGGTACTTTTTAGTTATTAACAAAGCACTCACTTGTTAGAGAGTCTCGAGCATTTCTACCCTGCTTTAAAACAAGTTGTTTTTAATATATTCCGTTTTAGTCATAATGTATATTTGCTAGATGGTAAACATTCAATGAAAGAGTGTAATACACATATTATGGCTTTATTTTCACTTTTTAAATATCTTAGCCAGATTATCTTGGTATTTATAGTCTATATTCACTATCTTTAATGTCAGTGCATTCTTCTTATACTAGTTATTTTATTGTGTGGATAAACTCCTTTTTGATGGAATTTTGTACTCCCAACTGCTGCAGATAGGCAACCCCCTGCCGCTGCCGCTACCCTCCCCAGTGCACACTGTATTGTTTCCGATTGTCAAGACCTGAGGGCCAGGCCTTTTAGGAAGATTATATTTTATAGTCAGAAAGCTTTATTTTATGCCTGCTATGTGTAACACACTATAATTAGGTACGGGGGGAGTGCAGAGTTAAGTAACATTTAAATTTTGTCTTTAAAGGTGTTAGTCTGGAAGAGAGACAAGACATGGGGATAAAAAGCTACCAAAGGAGATATAAGTTGGCATGGAAGAATAGGTTTTTATGCTCTATAGCTCACTATTATTTGCCAATTGCTTAGAAATAATAGAAAACTATTAATATTACCTTTACTCGTTTCTCTTTCTCCTGAATTTCACTTAACAACTGAAATGTGGTTCTTACATTATTGATGTGTGGTTAGTCTCGAAAACTACACTATAAGCTCTTTGAGGGTAAGTACTGTGTTTTACATTTTTTTTCCCTCTCATCATAGGACATACAGTGGGCATTAAAGGTTTATATTAAAGATTTATATTACTAATTAGTTGTAGTTGTTCCTTCATTTGAAATGTTTTAATTGTTTAAAATTCTGCATTCTCCCTTAGGTATTTTTGCACCTCTTTCAAAGATAAGTAAAGCAAAAGATCGAAGAAAGAATATAGCACACACTCCTTCTACAAAAGCTGCTGTCCCTCTCATCAGGTCCCAGAAAATTGACATAGCTCATGTAACGTCCAAAGTAAATACTGGTAGGTCAAACCACAAAGTTATTTGGTATTTTAGTTCTGCTTCAGTATTTTAATTTTATTTGTAGAATTCCTGCTATTTAGATTGCTTCACTTTTTTTTGTTAGCCAACTATGAAACCTGAATTTAATAAAACCTGCATCTTACGTGTTTTTAAACCTCAATTTTAATGACTTCAGTCCCTAACAAATGTATTTCAGATTTGTTCCTTCCTTTTTTCCCCTTACCGTCTCCGTACTTTTATCACACATAATCTATCCTCAAAGCTAGATTTCATACTTTCGTCAAACTTTTATGGAACAAAACTAGCTTTAGGCTCCTCGCCTATTGAAGGATGTTTAGTGACTTCTCTTTTACCAGAAAAAAGTTTTGACTCCTGAAACTAGCAGTTGCGGCTCTCTTTCTTTATTGATAGAGTCTTGCATGGCTTCCATAGGTGAACTACAGTTTATCATATCTCTTCCTGTCTTTTACGTACGTTTTCTCACTCCTCCCTTCATACTTTGTCTCATGCTATTTATCTGGGTGCAGTAATTTGACTTCTGCCTTTTGAGGTCCTCACCATTTTTTTGACTTCTTATTCCTATCCTGTTTTTCCATGAACGCTTTCTTGATAACTCCAGTGCACTTTCATCTCCTCATTCCCTAACTTTGTATGTACTTTTTATGCATACTACCCAATTGTTATTTGTTATCTTGGGTTTTGTCCTCTGATTGCTTTATTTGTGCAAGTGTCCTATTCTCTCAGCAAAATTTCAGACTTGAACTGAACCATGAGAGCAAATTGTAGTGTTGTTTTCACTGTAGCAGTGCACAAAATAGGTGCTGAATAAATACTTGCTAATTTGTAAATACTTGAGGTGGAAAGCTTTCTACCAGGATTAAAGGAATTTATCCAAGGATTTGGCTGGCCTGTATATTCTGTTCCTCTGGGTTATTTGAATATCCCTGTGTCAATACTGCACTCCATAATAAGTAGTTTTTAAAAATAAGTCCTGATGTCCAGTAGTGGAGAGCCTCTTATCTCGTTCTTGATCATTGTTTTGCCTGTTTTGGGCTTTTATAAATCATACTTCCATATATAGTTTACAATGAACTGTTAAGTTTCCTTTTAAAAATTCTGTTGAGGTTTTAACTGATGTTTTAGTTAAAGCTTAAATCAGTGTGGAAAGAACTGACATCTTTACAATAGTCAGCTTTTAAATTATGAGTTTGGAATATCTTTCCATTTAATTAGGCCCTTTGAAAATATCCCAACAAAATTGTGTAATTTTTTTTCTACAGATATTTTGTATCTGCCTTGTTAGGTCTATTGGTAGGTACTCCATACTTTTTGATGCTATTATAAGTAGCATCCTTTTAACCTGAAGCCCAGAAGTATACAGTAAGTATAGACAGACAGCTCCAAGAGAAGCCCTCTCTATTTCTGGTCTGAGGAGCAGAAAAGGGGTCTCCTATTAGATAGAATGTGGATGAAATTGCCTGTTGTTTTTCTTGTTTGCCTTTTCTTTCCCTTGTTTTTCTCCCGTCCAGTCCCCAGGCAATCCTCCATGGTGTGGATGGGCAGGCACCTGAAACCCCAAGGAAGGGAAATCCATGTCTCTGACCAGAGAAACTTAGGTCCAAGGACATAGATGGAATCCCCACTGGTTTTTCTTCTGTTTTCTCACTGCTTGGCCCCAGAGGCACAATCAATCTCAGGATCGTATGACAGAGCAAGGAAACTAAAGCTTAGACATTCTACTCAGAATACCAACAAGGGATGCCCAGGAGCAAGAAGTATCAGGGAAATCATGGAGAAGAGGGAGCTCAAGAAAGAGGCCTCACAATTTTGGCTGTGAACTCCTAGGTGTTCTTGCAAGTGGTGTATGCATGGATCTGACCAAAGCCTTTGGCCTCCTTGGTAGACCACTGCTCGGGTCCCAGCCTGACTACTGGGCTGCACAGCACATGAGACAAATTCAAACAGCACTGTAGAGGCTGCGGAAACAGAACCCACATCGGAACCACAGTGCGCAGAGGGTGGTCAGGAGCTTCCACCTGGAGCCTACATGGGTGGACTGCCTGCTAAAATGCAACAGTCAACGTCCTCCATAGGATTTAAACACGACCTATTCCAGTGTCCATACATAATATTCAGAAGACACAAGATACAATTTTAAATTACCCAAAATATGAAAAACCAGGAAAGTCAACACCTCTTACAAGGAAAAAGACGGTCCAAGCATAGCAGCTTCGAGACTACATGGCCATTGCAATGAACACGTAAAGATTTTAAGTAATATAACCACACTCTAAGAATTAAGGGTGTAGCTGGGCATTGTGGTGCACACCTGTAGTCCCAGCTACTCCAGAGACTGAGGCAGGAGGATCGCTTGAGTCCAGGAGTTTAGGCTGCAATGGGCTATGATTGTACCACTGCACTACAGCCTGGCTAACAGAACAAGACACTATTTCTTTAAAAAAAAAAAAAAAGAAAAATCATACGTGAACACTATTGAAACAAATGAAAAGAAAGTTTCAGCCAAGAAATAGAAGATATAAAAAGCAAAGATACACTCGTGTGTGTATACACACACACACACACACACACACACACACGCAAATAAGTACAAGCAGAATTGTGGAAATCTAAGACTGGTGAATTGTATCACTGCCAATATCCTGGTTGACATACTTATTATGCCATAATTTTGCAAAATATTACCTTTGGAGGAAACCCAAAGTGTACAAGGAATCTCCTTGTATTATTTGTATAAAAACTTTAAAGAAAATATTTTATAACTGAAAAATATAATGAAAAATAAAAATGTCCTCTTCAGGTTGCCTTCATAAAATGTCTCCTCTCCACCCTCTTCATTCAGTTTCTGCTGTTGGAGTTCAGGCTCTAATGGCTGGACTATGCTAATAACGTCTGACTGGTCCCTGCTTCCAGCCTCTCCTGCTGTGGTTTCATTGCAGCCCTGCTGTCAGGAGAGTGTTATTTAACTAGACTCTGTTCATGCCAGTGTTCCTTTTCAAAGCCCAGCAGAGGCTCCTTCTTTGCAGAAGAGTTCTCAGTCCTTAGAGGGGCACTGTCACCCCCTCTGAGGTGTTACTGTGACCTGTCTGTCTAGTCTGGCTTCTCCTACATTCCGGAAGTACTCTAGTCCAGCCAAGCTGCTCACCATTTTCTGTGTCTTTCCTTAAGATTTTCTTTTTGTCCATCCAGAATGCCTGCCCTCAGCTCTTCCTCACCATGTGGCCAGTATTCTCAGGAAGAAATCTGACCTGTCCCTCAGGACCCATCTCAGAATGTGATCATCTTGATGAGACATGAATTTATCTTTGTAGCCACTGTTATTGTCTCCTTCTCATATGCTAGTACTTATACTAAACCATGTCCTCATATGTCTGTGCAGTTGTTATCCAGTATGTTTTCAGAAGTAAGACTTAGATAATGAGGGATGCATGTACTTTAAAAAATACATTTTATGTTTAATGTTAAAATTCTTAATGTTAAAATTTTAATGTTAAAATTCTTGCTGAAAGTGTTTCATTTTTGCGTCCAAGGATTAATGACATCAAAAAAAGATAGTGCTTCTGAGTCAACACTTTCATTACCTCCTGGGGAAGAACTGAAAACTGTGACAGAGAAAGACGGTAATATACCTTGTAACCTCTGTTTCTCAAAATTGAACTTTTGATGGAACTTTAAATTAATAGTCGGAAAACAGTTTATATGGAGGTTAAGTTTTAAAGTTGGTAAGGGAGAAATTATAGTAAAAACTAAACTTGGAAATCACTGAAGCAGCTCATACCAAGCTATATACATTATATTTTTTGTGTGTAAAACACTGTACTATGATTCTTTTGTCTTACTTAAATTAGATAACTACTGGACTAGATTTAAGAAAATAAAAGGAAATTCCATAATATAGATAGCTCCACACAAACGTTTCATTTGCCTTTAGCTATCAAATCATTAGATGAATTGAGCATGAGTATTCCTACTTGCCTCCTGGTTTAACTCAAAACATGTTAATATTAAGCTTTTGTTGCCTTAAAACATACTAATATCATGTTTAATTTTTGTATAAATAAGATGGAACTCTGTCATCTAAGGTGAGAGGTGAGTGATGGTCATTAGATTAAGTAGTCAGTTTACATCAATTGATGTGGTGACACCTCTTATATAAGATTGTGATCTTACCGTGGGAATCCTTAAAATATTATTGCTTGTGTTATAAAATCTTTTATAAATAAACTACAGTTGCTATTTGGATGAAATCAGGCATTTAATTTGACACTAGATAATCCATAATTGAGGAAGTTAAATGAAGAGTTTCAGAAAGATTTGCCTCGACGAGCTGCTTCTTGGTCCACATCTTATTTTCCGCAGTTTGACACGTTCTTTTTCTTTATCTGTTGCAGTCGCCCTGCTTGGATCTGTCAGCAGCTGCTCCTCTACATCTTCTTTGGAACACAGACAGAGCTACCCCAAGAAACAGAATGCAATCAGCAGTAACAAGAAGACAATGAGCAAAAGCCCTTCCCTTTCATCCAGAGCCAGTGCTGGTATCTATGGCTTTTTCAACCAGGCTTTCTTGGTGTTTTTTATCTTGGTTTGTTTGTAAGTAGATTTGCTCTTTTTAAATGTGTAGAAGGAACCCTTTACTTCAATCAGATTGAACTACTTTTACTCTTCCCCCGCCTCCCCCTGAGCCTTAAGCCTTAAGGTCTCTTCATTTTGCTGTGTCAGATATAAGACTTTGCATTTATTTTCATGTAATTCATTCTTAGTGGTTTCACCTCATCTGAATTTAGCCTCTTCATAGGCCTTTGTGTCATCTTCATATTTAAAAAGCATGTGTTCTCTATTTTTATTCAAGTGGTTGTTTTAAAACTATGTTTGCTTAAAACCTAGGAGAAGGTCAGAGGGTCCTCTCCCAGGATGGCAATACCAGCCAGTTCTGAGACGGCTTTTTAACTAGCTGTGAACCTACATAATCTCACTCAGTCCACATTTCTTCAGTTATTTGTAAAGATATGTAAAACACTTTATCAGACTTCCTTTTGAAATGACATAGATTTTGTCTGTTGCAGTTCACTTATTTGCTGCCTATACAGTGAACTTGTCCGGAAAGGCAAAAGCCATCTTGGCAAAAATTGTTCTTCATGAACCTCTTTATTACCAGATTCTTTTTTTAGTACTTCTATTAATAGTACTTGTACTGAACCAACATTTTATTATGGAAAATGTTCATGACAGATTTTTAAAAAAATACTTGATGGGAAAAAACCTCCAAAACTCTCAACAATAACATTGACATAATAAGCCTAAACATTGGGACCCTAAAAGTAGAGAACCTGAAAGTTTTGCCTGAAATTGTTTGCCTGGAGTATTTATTCTCTAAAGGGCTTCCTCTCTCCATACCCCCACCGTTTGTCTTTATGTTGTGAGGAGCAGAGGTGAGAAGGTACAGTGCTGACACAGCCGTCCTGTTTGTCCGAATTTCATTCACGTTTTAAGCCCTCTTTCATTTGGCATTTGCACTTTTGACATTTACTTGATTTTAAAATTTACATGTGGGTATGGAATTACTCTTTTTTAACCTTCTAAACAAAGTAGTCTAGCATGCCTATATATTTACCTTTCAAAAAATAAATTTGAGGGTTATGTTGACTTAATAGTGAAGATGAAGAGTGTTATCAGAGTGAGAAAGAGGACCTTTCAAAGAGGGAGATGGGCAGAGAATGGGAGATACGGGAAAGTCTGTGTTGGGAACCCCAGAGACATTTACTTAAAACATGTTTCTCGAGTGAGTAGATATTCCACTTTTTTCTGTAGATTTGCATTTGAGGGAGATGTAGACTGCAGAGAACGAACAATAATGGAAAGTTAGGTTAAAAAATTAGAGAAAGAAGAGTAGAAATAAAGGATTTGGGAAATGGGAAAGGTAGGGACCTCAGCCTCATCATATCCCATTGTTTTTTACTTTTTTTTTTTTTCTTTTATTAAAGACAAGGTCTTGCTCTGTCACCCGGGTGGAGTGCAGTGTTGCAATCATAGCTACTGCAGCCTTCTACTCCTGGACCCACGTGATCCTCCCACCTTGGCCTCCCAAAGTGCTAGGATTTACAGGTGTGAGCCATCATGCCTAGTGTGTGTCCCACTGTTGAACTTTGCCATCTTTGGTTCATTGTCTACAGGCAACAAGGGGACGGGCCTGAGGATTTCTGGTCACTGAATCTTGGTTTTAATCTAGGTGTACCACTTACTGGCTGTTGACAGTGTGTCTTAGTTAATTCCTGAGTTTGTATCTTATTTTTCAGTATAATTTTTAGGAAAAGCACTTTATAAACTATGAAGTGCTGTAGAATAATAGTTATGATGAGGGCCTAGGACTTACTGGTATAATCCAGACGTTCTCCATGGGTTTATGTTCCTTGTTTAGTTGCTGTGTTTTTGGTCTCTTCTTTTTTCACAATATGACTTATCCTCCATCCCATGCCCTCCTCCAGAGTTCTCTACTCCCTCTCAGATGGCAGCTCTTCAAATCTCTGTTTATGTAGTGACGGGACAAGGCTCAAGCGCCCACCTCTTCTCTTTCAGCTGTTATATTTGAACAGCTTTCTAGATCATATTTCTCTAGGACTTCTATGTTTAATCGTGGGCATTTCTAGGTTTAGTTTTGAATGAATCAAGTTGAGAGAGCAGTGGTTTTGTTCTTAATAACAAAATCAGTTTAGGATAATTGGGACCGTATAGCAATTTAACCTTCAAATCGTGCTACCTTTGGCTGGTCACAGTGGCTCATGCCTGTTATCCTAGAACTTTGGGAAGCTGAGGTGGGAGGATCGCTTGAGCCCAGGAGTTTGAGACCAGCTTGGTCAACACAGCGAGACCCTGTTTCTTAAAAAAAAGAAAAAGTCAAATCACATGACTTTTAATATAATTTACACTGAGTCTAAGTGAACTATTAATAATATAATTCTAGTATTTTAGTAGAATAGAAATTGGCAAACTATGGCCCATGGACCAAATCTGACCTACCACTTGTTTTTGTAAAGTTCTTTGGAATCCAGCCATGCACATTAAAAAAAAATGTATTGTTTGTATTTACTTCCATGCTGCAACGGCAGAGTTCAATAGTTGTGGCAGAGGTATGGCTAGCAAATCCTAACATACTTACTGTCCAGCTCTTTGCAGAAACAGTTTGCTGTGACCCTTCTTCTAGTAGAAATGCTGCAGGCAATATTGGCAGAGTTGGTACTTTACCAGGGATAAGGTTTTGTGAATTTCCCATGGCAGTAATTTTCCCAGGAAACTCTTCACATTTCCTTTGAGTAACTTGACCTCACACGTGAGAAACACGACTGTAGATGACTTATGTGATGAAAGGCATCAGATATCAAAATCACCAACTAACTAGACTAGTTAGAATACCTAGTGTGATTTTTTTGGCTAATGTGCTTTTTGAGTTTTTCTCCCTTTGTTTTTTCTCCTGTTTTCCTGCCCTGCCCCTGTGTCCCTCCCCGACTTGAACAGGTTTGAATTCCTCAGCAACATCTACAGCAAATAATAGCCGTTGTGAGGGGGAGCTCCGCCTCGGAGAGAGAGTGCTAGTGGTAGGACAGAGACTGGGCACCATTAGGTTCTTTGGGACAACAAACTTCGCTCCAGGTAACTCATCTGCGTATTTGCTTACCTTGAATTCTTTAGAATACAAAAGGTTTAAAATTTTACATGTAAATAGAATTTAATTGTAGAGAAATCTTGATGAACAGTTTTTATGGATGGCAGCTATAGCACAGAAAATGTAAAACGATGATGAACACTCAGACTGTGTTTACTCGGGTGGGTGGTTACCCATACATTTTTTTCTTGCCACTTGTGTTTTTAAATGGTCAGTGTTAAAAATTAGTTGTCATTCTCCAGTTTTACTCATACTGATTGCTGGGTGTGCTAAGTGACAGGCAAACATTTTAGGATTAGATTTTTGCTAAGGATAGTCTTTAAAATAAGTAGTAAATAATGAGTTAACTGTATACCTTTTTATCAGAGTGGCTTGCAGAGAAAAGCACACAAAAGGGCTCAAAATACATTTTTTTGGGGGGCTCTTAAAAATACATGTTTGTATATTTATATATTCATTCCAATCTATACTTAACATTGTGTTTCCAAAAGTAAAGATTACTTTCTATTTTTTTTTTTTTTTTTTTTTTGAGATGGAGCTTTGCTCTCATTGCCCAGGCTGGAGTGCAATGGCATGATTTCGGCTCACTGCAACCTCTATCTCCTGGGTTCAAGTGATTCTCCTGCCTCAGCCTCCTGAGTAGCTGGGATTACAGGCATGTGCCACCATGCCCAACTAATTTTGTATTTTTAGTAGAGATGGGATTTCTCCATGTTGGCCAGGCTGGTCTCGAACTCCCAAACTCAGGTGATCTGCCCGCCTTGGCCTCCCAAAGTGCTGGATTACAGGTGTGAGCCACCGTGCCCAGCCGGATTACTTTGTTTTGTATTGTCAGTGATTAATAATTTTAAACAGAAGTCGGTTGAACGAAAACAAGTTTGTATATTTTAAATAGCAATATGCTATTTTAACACATGGTGGCATTGCAGTATTTTAGGAAAAGGTTATCTAGAACATTGATTTTTTTAAAAAAGTTTGTAGCATTTAGCCAAGAACTATGAGGGATCTGAGATTTTACCCTACTTGCAAGCTAACAAATTCGCCTGCCACAGTTTCATAGATGTTGGTGGAAGATATTGTGAGTACTAGAGTCATCACAAGTTTGAGACAAAGCACTCTAGTACTCACAGTCATAGCAGTAGCCAGAGTATCGGCATTTTCTTGAACTATTCCCTTAGTACCAGTTCTCACAGGGTGAGAGCGAGTGAGCCAGGTGTCACCTGCACAGCCACTGTTTTTTTGTTCCAGGAGAGGACCCCAGAACTTAGGGAAACTGAATCTTTAAACTGAACTTATTGTACACATGCCTGCCATTTGCTCTGGTGGGAGATGCTATCTCTATCCTCCAGGGCTGTCCCCTACACAGACGTTTATGAAAAGGTAGTCTAGAACAAAAGTAGTCACTGCCTCTACCAGTAAGACATGCGGAAACATGACAGGACCGTAGGTGACTGTCTCCCAACACAGTCTTGTTTCACTAATACCACTTACAATTAATTGCAAGCCAGCTGCTTGATTTGAGTTAGGTGTTTTATAATTCATGACTTTCTTAGGTCTCCAGGTAGTAATTGAGATTAGTTAGGATATACTTAATATGGGATTCAAATAAAAACTTAATCCCACAGGTAGGTTATTTTTTTACAATTACCATATGTCTTTTGAGTTCCCTTTCTCTGATGATATTAAACCAAGGTAGAATGGTTTGATTCTCTGGGTATAATTCTTCATTTTAGGTTGATTTCCATTTTTAAATTCGTAATGTAAAGCATTTAGAAATTTGGGAAGTAGTAAGCAAATATTATAAAAGGTGGAAACTTTTTTGTTAAAAACGTTCTGTCCTGTAAGGAAGTAGTTGCATCAGAAATTAATCACTGCTGCAGAACAGTGGCAATATCTTCCGTATTTGGAGGTTATAAGATCTAGATTTGAGAGAGGTCGTATTTAGTCTCATCAGCATTTTCTATCAGCGACACCTTGGAAAGAAAATTAACATTTAATTGGGAAGATATCCATACCACACCACTGCCAAGCTGTAGTCTTTGTTGTGAACACTTGCCATATGTATTTCTACTGTATGTTTGTTACACGTTTCCAAGAGTTACATGGTTAACATTAGTAATTATATGGTAAATTAAAATGGGAAAATGCAAAAATTATATAGGAAAGCATAAAAGGCCGAAGCATGTAAAACTTGGAAAATTGTAACTGTAGCACTGAGAAGTAACAGTGGCAACCAGACTAACCTGGTTTAGGACATTTGGAAATGTGATGACCTATTTTCAGAGTGTTAGTGCCGCATAACAATAGTTTTGTAGACATTACTTGTATTACATAATAGGAAATGGACTCAGGTATCATCTTTTTTATACACAGAGGAAAAAAATTAAGAACTTGTGAATTGGTTTTGTTAGAAGGCATTAAGAACTTGTGAGTTGGTTTTTTAGAAGGCATATAATTAACTCTTTGAACTAGTAATCTGGAAGAAACACTATTTTTGTAATTTGTAATAAGTTTCTTGATATCTATCCCTATTTTTTACTCGATACTGATTATAAGAGACCAAATACAATTACTACTGTATGCTCCTTTTAAATCACAAATAAATGGACTATTAGATACTTTTAATTGGTCTTGAGGCACCCTCAATTCGAAAATCCTTATTTTAGGATTATGTGTCCATTTACCTTATATTGGGTAAAACCACGTTTAAAGCAACCTTGCTACTTTAATTTTAGGCTCTCTAGAAAAGGAAATCCTGTTATTTCCTTCAGAGTAGTAGGTCCTTTTAAATACAAAAAGTCTTTAAAATAATTCTCTCTATTAGCTAACCTAAACCTTTTCATTTAGGTAAAAAAAGATTTTTCTTTTTATCTTGGGTAGAAAAAAGAAAAGGAAAAGCACTCACCATAATGTCTAGTGGTATTTTCTATAATATTTTTGTCCTTTAATTATTTGAGCGCTGTTTGTGGTGTTCTAATGTTAGGTGAGTAAGATGAAAAGATTGCATGTTCATTTTATGATTTTTAAATCTCAATATTATGTTTCACTTCTTTCACTGAAACACACTATATTACCAAGTCAAGAACAGTTTTTCATTGCAGCTTTTAGATATATTTTGGTCATATACTGTTTGCACAGTTGCCAATTCTTGCCAAATTTGTGTTTGTGCATTTTATTTTCCTCCTTTAATGTACTACTCTGCAATTATACTTGTAAAATGTTTTGCCTGTTCACTTTTCGAATTTTCAGAGTTTACAATTTTATCATTTGAAATCTTAATGAGTATCATGATCTTCCCTCATTTTGGTCATTTATGGAAATGTTAAACCACCTAGACTTTGGTTTTATATAGTAGCATAACAGTTTTGGATAAAGTACAGATGCTTTTAAAATGCAATATTCATGTTCTAGGATATTGGTATGGTATAGAGCTTGAAAAACCCCATGGCAAGAATGATGGTTCAGTTGGAGGTGTGCAGTATTTTAGTTGTTCTCCAAGATATGGAATATTTGCTCCCCCATCCAGGGTGCAAAGGTGAGAGAATGAAATTTATGTTTATTTACAGAAACTTTTTGTAATTTGCAGTGGTTAATAGAGACACGAATTTTATATTAAAGACATGCTCTGATTGTAGCTCATGTCTTCTTTCAAGGGGTTAACCAACCACCTTCAGAGAGAAGGCTCATGGAAAGCTAAATTTGCTTTGCTGAGGATTTGCAATTTTAAAAACCTCCTTTATTCCTCATTTGCAAACCGTATGAGTATGTGTGGGCTATTAGAAGTGGCGTTTGGAGCTAAGAACAGTGAGAGCAGCAAGCTTAATCTGTCATGCAAACAAAAGTAAAAATGCTCTCTGATTGCTTCAGTCACATCCTAACTACATTAAATTTCCTGCCAGCAGGCACCCCATTCATTCTCCTACAAACCTAATGGAACCAAAATGGCTTTTTCCTCTGATTTCTTTAGTTTTCAAAAATAGATAGGCAGTAGATCTTTGGGGGAAGTGAAGCTTCAAGGATTTTTATATAATATACCTCCTTGGTGTTTCTTCTTAAGATAGTATCTTTCATACCACCTCATCTGGTTTTAAAAAATAAGTTGAGCAGAAACAAAGTCCTCATAAAATTCCAGATATCATTATGTGAAATGGCTTCTCTTATGCTCTGGAAGAAGTCGCTTGGTGTGCCTTTGAGTGGATGGGAAATGGGACTAATCTTTAAATGAGAGATAACATATATGGCATCATCACATTCATGAGACTAGACTACGATCGCAATCTGGGAGTCTTGTTTAGTTTTCCCTCACAACTAGACTGTTGTGACTATCTCCTGGCAAATTGAAGTTTTTACATCCACTTCTCCCTCGGTTTCTTTTTCTTAGTGAATCATTACATATTTGTTTAGTATTAATTTCCTTCTGTGATATACTTGATGTAATTTTCTTCTTATTTATGGTGATACAGAATTTAACATACAGTGTTTTGTCGTTTATAAAGTATCTTCACTTAAATGTTGTTTCATTTGATCCTAATAAATACTGATCAGGTAAGCTGGAGAATAATAACTATCACAAATATTTGTTGAGCATTTAGTAAGTGGGTAGGCTCTGTACAGTGTACTTTAGACGCATACCTCATTAATTCCCCCAGACCCTGTGAGCTGTAAGCTATTAGGATCATTCCCATTTTGCAAGTGAAGAAACAGGTTTCAAAGAGATAAGTGATTTAGCTGAAGTCATACAACTAATTAGACGAGGAGCTGGACTTAGCCTGGGTGTGTTATTTTGTAATTTTTTTTTTGTAAGCCCTTGCTTTTAGATGGTTTGTTCTTTTTTTTTTTGGTATATATTTTATAAATGAAGAAAAGGAAGTAGTAACTACGAATAGTGCTTATACATGCTGGGGTCTGTTTGCAGGGCTCTTCATATATTAACCTGTTTACCGCTCTCCAGTAACCCTGTGGTGCAGGCACTATGTTCCATAGATGAGGAAAGTAAGTCACAAGAGGTGACGTGTGCTGTGCTCCCAGCTGGGGATTGGAACCCATGCAGTCTGGTATCAGCATGCATGCCCTTAACCATAACCCTATAATGGTTAGAAGAGCTTCAGGGACCTTCTTCAGGGCATATATCTTGTAAATAATTGGTTTGGGAGTAAAATCCATGCTGAGTCACCAGTCAGTCTTCTGTGTTCTCATGTTACTTTGGGCATATCTTCATCAAAACATTGCAGCAGTCTCTTAGAAATTTTGTTTGTCTCCTAGTCATGAGGACTGGGATTCTGCTTGTCGTGTTTGATTACCCAGAGTACATAGTTTGGCATATTTTAGGCACAGTAAATATTGATCCAATCTGATTCCTGGTTCAGTGGTTTTATGCTGTAACAGCTTTTTCCTCCTCCTTTACATTGTAAAGCCACTTTCTCATGGTTTCATCTTTTCTTTCTTGCTTTGTTTCTGCAGCACACGTTTTTTACTTTTTTTTTTTTTTTGATTGCCTTCTATTTGGTTTTCTTTAAGGTGGTGCATTTAAAAGCAGCCCCCTCTGCTTAAAAAAAAATAGGGCTGTCTCTAAATGAACTGCTATCTCAATCCAGCTGTCTTCCTGTCATCTTCTGATTGTCTCATTCATCATCATCAAATACTATTAAGTGTCTTTTAGCACTTATGCTGTGCTAGGCATTCTATAAGCAAATAAAACAGACATGGTCCCTGATTTTGAGGAGTTTCTAATCTGAACCAGCTTTGGAACTCTTGAAAGATACCACTGATCTTCAAAATGGAAGAATTTTAAGCCAGGGACTATCCCAGAATGTTTGCACACATTATTTTTTTCTGCTTGGATGGCTTTCTACACCCACCTACTATTGCCCAACTTTCACCTAGTTAATACCTTTTCTTTGGCTAATATATGACTCAGTCAAAACTTCTTTAGAGAAACTCTGAGAAAACTCACGAGGTTAATCACACATACACACAGACACACACACACACACACACACACACAGACACATTGCTCAAGTGATCTTCATTGGCATAGTGTTCACTTTCTTAGTTCTTACTATTATTAGGCACTTACTACTAATGAACTGATTACTTCTAGGATTCACTCCCTCTCAACTGTCTGTTACTGCTTCATTCAAATATCCATCCTCTTCATAAAATCATATTCTTTGTGTCCATCAGTCTCTCATTGTGGTATGTTGTATATCATGTAAAAATGATGCCTGTGAATTGTAATGTGAAATTGCAAATATTGCAAGAGTTGCAGGATTTCTTGATGGTAATAAGATATGCTGGAGGAAGTGATTGACAAATGACGGCTTTCCAGATTTAGGTCACTAAACAGTTGAAAGAAAATGAGCCTGTCAGGATTGACTTTTTAAAAATAAAGAATGATTTGAATATCAAAAAATGAAGGAAACCCCATCGGGAAAGTGACCTTTATGATTGTGGCTTAGAGTCAAATATAAAGTAAAAGATGTTGAATTGTATTAGTCATGTAGTTTTACCAGAAAAACCACTCACACAAACTCAGCCAATGTATTTTTCTTTCAATTTAAGAATTAGTGCCTTTTTCACAGTATTAATCTAACATTTGTTAAGTTTAATATAAAATAAACATATTTTCATATTTTTAGTTTCATCTTTGAAGATGAAGTTACAAAGAAATAAATTCAGGTCCATATTTTAGGTGAATTCACTTGAATTTTTTTCTACACTAATTATCTTTGGATAGTGAGAACCTCTTCTATTTAATTATTGTTTTTCTTCCATGCCAGATGGAAGCTCATTCCTGGCTTATAATGGACACTCAATAAGTATTTGTTTAATGAATGACTACAATTGGGGTGAAAAACTTAGTTGATAGCCAGTCTTAAACCTGAAAACCAGCTACTTCTAACGAGGTGTACTTTGTTTTATTCATAGAGTAACAGATTCCCTGGATACCCTTTCAGAAATTTCTTCAAATAAACAGAATCATTCTTATCCTGGTAAGACTACACAGTTTTGTGGTCCTAATCATTATTTCTTTGCTTTCATTTATTGAAAAATTTTTATTGTGAGGTATATATGTATACAAAAGGGTCTATCAACTGTATTTGTATAGTTTGTGTAATAATAGAGCAGACATCTGTTACCTATCCTGTGGCTGAAGAAGAAGATGACCTGATCTGTAGAAACGCCTGAGTACCTCATCATCTCATCTGCCTCCCTCTTCATATACCCCATCCTCAGGTGGAGGAGTCTTGAATTGCACATTAATTATTCCCTTGATTCTCTTTATTTTTATCACCCATATATAGATATATCAATAAATAATATGTGTTTAGTTTTGGTTGTTTGCTATTTTGTTATTTAGCATTCCATTGAAATATTCATTCCATAATTGATGGTTATTTGGGTTATATCCTGTTTCTTTTCTATTACAAACTATGTTCTTGTGCACACTTGAAGTTTCTCTAGCATTGCCAGGCATGGGATACCTATGCCTCCACCTTCCTAGGTAATGCCTGTCTGTCTGTATTGCATACTGTATCTGCGATGAACCAGAGCCTCTGCTGCTCCTCACCTCATTAGTACTTACCTTGTTTGATTTAGAACTCTTTGCCTATCTGAAGGGCTTAAATGGTATTTCATTATGGTTTTAATTTGCGTTTTCTAGATTACAAATAAGGATGAGCCTATTTTCATGCTTATAGGCCATATGCCTTTCCTGTATTATGAAGTACCTGTTCAAGTTTCTTGCCCATTTTCAGGGGGTGGTTTGTCTTTATCTTATTAATTTGTAGGCTTCTTTGTGTATTTTGGGGACAAACATTTTGTCAATTTCATGTGTGGCAAATCTCTTGCCCAGGTTGTTACTTGTATTTTAATCTTTTTATTTATTATTTTTGGTGTCTTTAGGTTAGCAGAACTCCTTAATTTTTTGTAGTCAAAATAGCAAAACATCTTATGGCTTGCCCTTTTTGTTTTAAGAAATCTTTTCTTAAAATTGAAATTATGAAGATATTTTCTTATGTTGTTTTCTAAAAGATTTATATTTTTGTGTTTCCCATTTGTCAGTTTACTCAGAATTGATTTTGTGTGTGGTAAGGATCTAATTTCTTTTTTTCTTTTGCACGGATAACCATCTGTGAAAGAGTGATTTGTATAATACCAATCCTTGAATAATTGTTGAGGTTAATTTTATGGTCCACTCTAATAGGTATGTTGTTTTAATTTGAAATTCCCTCGTGTTTTAATTTGGGATTTTCTAAAGATGTTTGATGATGTGTTGGTTGCTAGGGATGCTGTGACAAAGTACCACAGACTGGGTGGTTGAAACACAAAAATTTATTTTCTCAAAATTCTGGAGGCTCTACAAGTCTGAGATCAAGGTGTTGGCAGGTTTGGTTTATTCTGAGGCCTTTCTCCATGCCTTGTAGATGGCCTTCTATCTCTGGTGTCTTCATGTGGTCTTTTTCATTGTGTGTGTGTGTGTGTGTCCCACTCTCCTCATCATAAAGACACTAGTCACGTTGGATTAGAGCCCATCCATATGACCTCATTTAACTTAATTACCTCCAATTACATATGACCTCATTTTACCATAATTATCTTCAAATATAGTCACATTCTGAAATGGCAGGAGGTTAGGACTTCAGCATATGAGTTTTTGGGGGACACAATTCAGTCTGTAACAGATGCTGACTATCTTTTCATATGTTTATGTGCCATCTCTTTTTTTGTGTTTTTTATTGACATATCATAGTTGTACATATTTTTGGGGTACATGTGATAGTTTTATGCACATATACAATGTGTAATCATTAAGTCAGGGTATTTGGGATATCTATCACCTCAAACATTGATCTTTTCTTTGTGTTGGGAATGTTATAATTCTTCTCTCCTAGCTATTTTGAAATATGCAATAAGTTATTAACTATAATTTTCCCCCTGTGCTATTGAATACTAGAACTTATCCCTTCTATTTAACTGCATGTTTGTGCCCATTAGCCAACCTCTCTTTATCCCTCTTCCCACCCACACACCCCTCCCAGCCTTTGATGTTAATCATTCCACTCTACCTTCATAAGATCCACTGCTTTAGCTCCTGCACCTGAGTGAGAACGTGTGATATTTGTCTTTCTGTGCCTGGCTTATTTCACTTAACCTCCAGTTCCATCCATGTTGCTGCAAGTGACAGGATTTCATTCTTTTTATGGTGGAATACTCTTCCACTGTGTACATATACTATATTTTCTTTCTCCATTCATCCACTGGTGGACACTTAGGTTGATTCCATATCTTGGCTGTTGGGAATCGTGCTGCAATAAACATAAGAGTGCGGCTATCTCTTCAATGTACTGATTTCCTTTCTTTTAGATATATACCAGCAGTGGAATTGCTGGATTCTATGATAGTTCTATTTTTAGTTTTTTGAAGAACCTCCATCCTGTTTTTCCATGATGGCTGTAGTACTGCTTATTCCCAACAGCGTACAACAATGTCCCAACAATGGTATGCTATATCTTTTTTGATGAAGTGCCCGTTCACATCTTTTGCTCATTTTTAAATTCTGTTTGCTATTTTCTTATTGTTCTTTGTATATTTTGAATACCAAACATGTATCAGACATGTGTTTTGCAAATATTTTCCCCCAGTCTGTGGCTTGTCTTTTCATTCTCATAACAGTGTATTTCACAGAGCAGAAGCTTTTAGTTTTAATGAAGTCCAAGTTATCAGTTTTTCATTTCATGAATTGTGCTTTGGTGTTTTATCTAAAAGTCATCATCAAACCCAAGATCACTCTGATTTTTGTCCTGTGTTATCTTCTAGGAGTTTTATAGTTTTGTGTCTTACACTTAGATCTATGATCCATTTTGAGTTAATTTTGGGGTAAGATGTGAGGTCTGTATCTAGATTTTTTTTTTTTCCGCATGAGAATGTCCAGTTGTTGGAGTATTATGTGTTGAAAAGACTGTCTTTTTTTCCATTGAATTGCCTTTGCTCGTTTTTCAAAGATCAGTTGGCTAATTTATATGGGGCTGTTTCTGGGCTCTCTGTTCTGTTTCATTGATCTATTCGTCTAATCTTTTGCCAATACCACACTGTCTTGATTACTGTAGCTTAATAGTAATTCTTCAGGTTGAGTAGTGTCAGTCCTCTGGTTTTGATCTGCTTCAATGTTGTGTTGGCTATTCTGGGCCTTTCACCTGTGTATATACACTTCATAATCAGTTTGTTAATATCCATAAAATAACTTGCTGGGATTTTAACTGGGATTGCATTGACTATATCGATCAAGTCGGGAAGAACTGACATGTTAATATTTAGTCTTTTTACCTATGAACATGGACTGTCTCCCTATTTATATCTTCTTTGACTTCTTCCATCAGAGTTTTATAGTTTTCCTTATATAGACTTTGTACATATTTTGTTAGATTTATACCTATGTATTTAATTGTTTGGCATTAATGTAAATGGTATTGCTTTTGTAATAATATATTTTTTTATCTTAAACCAGCGTTCTTTTGGTTAAGTATTTGCCTAATATATCTTTTTCTGTCCATTGACTTGTAACCTTTCTATGTTCTTGTGTTTTTAGAATATTTCTACATGGAATATAGTTAGGTTTTTCTTTTATTATTATTACTATTATACTTTAAGTTCTAGGGTACATGTGCACAACGTGCAGGTTTGTTACATATGTATACATGTGCCATGTTGGTGTGTTGCACCCATTAACTCGTCATTTACATTAGGTATATCTCCTAATGCTATCCCTCCCTGTTACCCCTACCCTACAACAGGCCCCGGTGTGTGATGTTCCCTTTCCTGTGTCCAGGTGATCTCATTGTTCAGTTCCCACCTATGAGTGAGAACATGCGGTGTTTGGTTTTCTGTTCTTGCAATAGGTTGCTGAGAATGATGGTTTCCAGCTGCATCCATGTCCCTACAGGTTTTACTTTTTTTAAAAAGTCTGACAATCTTTCTTTTAACCTGAAAGTCTTACTCATTTGCATTTATTGTAATTACTGATATACACTGATGATATTTTTGTTATTTGTTTTCTATTCACTTTTTTGTACTTAATAAGTGATTTTTATTTCTCGACTTTATTCTGGCTATATATCCCACCCTCTGTTTTTTTTTTTTTTTTCCATTCTGTTTACTCCCTCTACTTATGTAGAAGTTATAGTCTATGAAGATGCTTCTTAGTAATTACTGTAGATAATTTAGCATTAATACTTGGTAAAGTCTGAAGTTAATTTTTATCCTTTCTCAAATAATAGAAAAATAATTAGAAACTGAGTTGTCCAGTTTATATTTTATTTCTCCTATAAATTTGACATTATTGTAGTAGTTTTATATTGTAACATTACTTTCATATTTCCCAGTATCTTTACTCATTAACCTTCAAAATTTCTACTTGGGATCATTTTTAAAATTTCATGTATATTCTTTAAAATTTCTTTTAGAAAGGGTCTGTTGGGTAACAAACTCTTTGTTTTTTGTCTTTTCCAATGATAATTTTACTCAGTGTAGAATTTTAGGTTGAAAGATATTTTCCCCTTGCATATTGACAGTATTGTGCTGTTTTTTGGCTTCTGTCATTGTTGATGAGATGTCATCTGTGAGTCTAACTAATTCATATTAGTCGTTTCACTATGATATGTCTAGGTAGAGATTCCTTTTTGTTTATCCTTTTTGTTTGGCATTATGGATTTTTCTGTGTCTGGGAGTTGATCAATTATTTACAATTCTTATAATTTTAAAATAGTTCCTCCTTTATTATCTTTCTTAGCTCCTTCTGAAACTCTGTTTAGTAGTATGTTGGACCTTCTCATTTTCTTTCCCATGCTGTCTCATATTTCTCACAACTTGTCACTCTAGACTATATTTTGGATATCTTCAGACCCATCATTCTGTTTCCTGATTCTCTCTTCAGCTATGTTTATTCTGCTGCTTAATCCAGCCATAAAGTTTTAAAATTATAAAGATTATCTTTTGTTTTCTTTTTTCAAATCTGCTTGCGACTTACCATTGCAATTCTTTCCCCATATTTTCAAATTTTTCTTTTATGTCTTTAAATATTTAAAGTATTTTATTTTGTGTTAAATAATTCAGTATCTAAAGCCTTTGTGAGTCGGATTCTGCCATCTGTTTCTGTTGAGACTAACTTATGGTTTGCCTTCTTTCCTTGTGAGTTTTGTAATTTATTCTTGTGAGATGCTTGTTTTACCCAGAATTTTATATATAAAAATTCTTTGAGGCCTGCGTTGATGCCTCCAGACAAGATTATATCTACCTGTGCCAGTTGCCTGGAGGCACTGCCAACCTGGGACACTTTAATTTATAGTCTCTGCAACATATTTTTGCAGATAACATGAATTTCATTCATGGTAACAAATTCTGAGGGGAGAAAATTTTGTCTCTTACTGAGGATTAAGGTTGACATAAGTGACTTTCCTTTGTCTTAATCTGAACGGTGTTTCGTTTTGTTTCTCATTTCACCTTGCACTGAGAGTGAGCTGTTTGGGATCCTCACTTTAACCAAGAATTTTTTGTGAGACTCCATTTGGAGGCCCTAGGCTTTATTTCCTTCCCTGTCTCCTGTGTAGCCAGTAAGGTGAAAGCCCAGGTCCTCTGGAATTCAGTGGAAAGCCTGCTGGTATAAGATGGTCAATTACTTTGGTGCTTGGGGGACTCTGATGGTTTCTCTTTTTTGTTTTTAGCCTCTTTGAAATTGTGCCTTTTGTGTCAGCTCGATAGTATTTTTTAACAATTATAGTTTTAAACTAAAATTGTGTCAATCAAAAGATTCATTTAGCACATCTGGTCTGCCGTAACTGGCCAGGCTGGAAATCTTGTTTCTTTTTAAAAACATCTTTTTAAAAATTTACCTCTTGTGAAGTGTTTTTGTTTCTGTTGTATTATTTGGAGATGCCAGCAATCAAAAGCCCTGAAGTTAATTGTTCAATGTTTTATGAATGATTGTATCTTTAAACCATTTTATCTTTTTCTTTTTTGTATGATTATCAAGATTGTCATATTTGATAGTAAAAATAATCAGCTTTATAAATGTGTAATTCAATTTTATTTGATTTTTAAGAAATCTTATAATGAAATTCTCCAAATGTAATGTCATGCTCTTCACTTATTCATCTATGCGTATAGTTTGATCATGAAGGTAAAGATGAAAATTTGTTAAGAAATCTAAACTACCATTATATTCTGTATACTTACCTTCTCTGTTTTCTTTTCTTTTTTAATGAGATAGGATCTCACTCTATTGCCCAGGCTGGTCTTGAACTCCTGAGTTCAAGCAGTCTTCCCACTTGGCTTCCCAAAGTGCTGGGATTACAGGTGTGAGCCACCGTGCCGGCCTGCTTTCTGTTTTGAAAGAAACATTTAATATAATAGAACATCTATAGAAGAAGTGATAAAATATCATTTTAAATAAGAACTGAAAGCTTATATTTTTCTTCTTCTAACCCCAACTTTCATATTTAGGTTTTAGGAGAAGTTTCAGCACAACTTCTGCTTCTTCCCAAAAGGAGATTAACAGAAGAAATGCTTTTGCCAAGTAAGTATTAAGAAGATTTAGAAAAACGCCTTTCAAGATGAACATGATGGGATTCTGTGAAGAAAGAAAAGTGGAGTGCTGTATCTTTTGCATCGCTTGGTAGAGTTTTAACACGTAGGAGAAAAGGTGTGATGAGTGTATTGAGAAGAGTTCTTCCTCCCTCCTTTGCAAGCACAATTAAAAATGTCATCAGTGACTAAAACTAGTGCACTGCATATATTTTATCTTCATAGAGGTTAGAACTGTTAATAAAAGTTAGAGGAATTTACATATTGTCTTTTCATTAAGTAGGGCAGATTGCTTTTAAACTCTCCTTAAGTAATCAGAGATTTGATTTAATATTGCCAGTGATACATGAAAGAAATCTGAAAAATGCTCCCAATTCCTCTTAAGAGTATATTGCTCACAAAAGCCTTTTGTTGTTTTGTTTTGTTGTAGAGAGAATGCCCGTTGCTCTTTTTCATTTTTGTTTGTCTCCCCCAGACCCACTTTAGTACTCTCCAGTGGTTTTCTGAAGCTTTTTCACTTTAGAGCAATATGAGGCTCTTCCAGACCGATTGGGTTTAGAGGTTCTTTTTTTAAAATGCTGCCGGTTAATCTATGAATAATACCCTGGGGGAAAAGGCTTAGCTGCTTAGGGAAGTACACATGCTTGCTTAAGTAGTGGGACCCTAGCAGCCACCAGAAATTAGAGCCCAAAGGCTAGAACTTGATGTCCCACCGGGGACAGGCAGGTCATTTGTTTACCTTCTGGCATGAAGGTATTGGCAAGCTTCACAGAGATCTGAAATTTCACGGGAGAAGCCTGGCTGGTCCTAAGGACTGTTAGGTACTGTTGAGAGGGTTGGGTGGGGCTGTTTTTCTCCCTTCCTCAAAACCATCACCAATTTTGAGAATTTTGAAATTGGTCTTCTTGCTTGAGTAGCTGAAAGAGTTTAAGGGCAGTCAGTTTATGCTCCAGTTTATTGAAGATATTCAAGAGTTCCTAGGCAGAATGGAAGAAGCTGCTAAGAAGAAACAACCAGGAAATAAAGGATTCTAAAGGGAGAGAGGTATCCAAATCAGTGTCGAGATGCTGGTGAGTGGAAGAACATGATACAGAGAAGCAAGGGAAGGAGAAAACAATCTGAGCCCTGGGAATTATACAGCAGGTATGGTTATACACAAGATGCTCTGCAGACGTGAGGTGGAAATATCAGTACTTCCCCGTTTTCTCTAAAACTAAAAAAGCTTTGGTAATATTTATACAGGTTAACACTAGCACCTTAAAAATATACTTTTATTGAGGATAGAGAATAAACTTTTTTTTTTTTTTTTGAGACGGAGTCTCACTCTGTTGCCCAGACTGGAGTGTGGTGGCACGATCTTGGCTCACTGCAAGCTCCACCTCCCAGGTTCACACCATTCTCCTGCCTCAGCCTCCCGAGTAGCTAGGACTACAGGTGGCTGCCACCATGCCCGGCTAATTTTTGTTTTTTTTTAAGTGGAGACGAGGTTTCACCGTGTTAGCCAGGATGGTCTCGATCTCCTGACCTGGTGATCGACCCACCTTGGCCTCCCAAAGTGCTGGGATTACAGGCATGAGCCACCACGCCTGGCCGAGAGTAAACTTTTTACGTTATTTATTTATCTGTTTTTACTCATAAAGTGTGCAACCAAAATGTTTGGTGATCATTGTTCTCAGGAACAAAAGAAAGGGTTTCAGGTGCTGGCAGACACTAGGACATTGTCCCTGCTCTCAGGGGTGAGGGAAACAGGACAGTGCTCGATGGCCTTCTGCTAAGGTGCCAGAGTTGATGGCGTGTTGTGCTGTTGTTAACCTGGAGATGTGGTGCGTTCTGAGGCACATGTGTTGAGAAAGTGCGTTTCTTGAGATTCATCCAACTCTGCTCCATTTCCTTGCTTATTTGTATGGAAATAAATGATACTTTGAGAAGAAATGTGGAGAATTGAGTCAGAGATGATGGACATTCTTGGGTAGAAACTTGAAGGCCTTGGAGGACACATTTGGCCCCTACGAGTGAAAGCAAGCTGGGAGAGGGGAAGGAACAGTCCCCCCATGCCCTTTCTGTGAGAAAACAAGATTGGTCTAGATCACGTACAGAAATGGTAGTGAGGAATACATTTCATCCCGAGGAAGACATGGCAGAAAGGGGGAGGGAAGCAGCTCTGTCTTCAGAACACTGTATGTCCAGTGCCAAGAATTAGCTTGAGATTTTACCACACGGGTAAAATCAGGTCACAGGGACCTGATAGGCATGAGGCATCCATTCTCCTTCACTCTGCGGATGTCTCCATCCTGCCTGGGATCTGTCTCCTGTCCCGTCGTTACTAACTCGCTTCAGCTCTTCTCCATGTTATCAGCAGGGCTTGCTCAGAAATCCTCACTGGGTCGTGTCTGTGGAATCTGGCTCACTGGCATGGTTTGGTCAGCCCAAATTTGATTGTCTTTAGGCGGAACTCGTACGATCCTGTCTGCCACAGGTCTGGCCTCTCACATCATGTATGTGCTTGGGTTTGTTTTCTGCCTGTCCCTTAAAGCCTTCGAATTCTCAAACACAGAATGAAGTCCAGTTTCATTGGCCCAGCATACAAAGACCTACATGATTGGCTCCTGTGTTTCCCTGACTTTTGTTTCATGGTAATATCCTCACAGGTGATTGCAGTTCTCTAAACTGTATGCTTTTCAGGAATATAAAAAGTAACACATATTTTGGCCAGGCACAGTGGCTCATGCCTATAATCTCAACACTTTGGGAGGCCAAGGCGGGAGGATCACTTGAGGTCAGGAGATCGAGATAATCTTGGCCAACATGGTGAAAGCCCATGTCTGTTAAACTACAAAAAATTAGCTGGGTGTGGTGGCAGGCACCTGTAGTCCCAGTTGCTTGGGAGGCTGAGGCAGGGGAATCGCTTGAACCCGGGAGGCGGGGGTTTCAGTGAGCCAAGATCACACCACTGCCCTCTATCCTGGCAACAGAGCAAGACTCCATCTCAAAAAAAAAAAGAAAAGAAAAGAAAAGAAAAAAATACAAAAATTAGCTGGGCATGGTGGCAGGCACCTGTAGTCCCAGCTACTTGGGATGCTGAGGCAGGAGGATCACTTGAACCTGGGGGGTGGAGGTTGCAGTGAGCCGAGATTGCTCCACTGCACTCCAGCCTGGGTGACAGAGCAAGACTCTGTTTCAAAAAACAAAAAAAAGTAATATATATATTTTTCTCAGATGACGATCTCTGCATTTCTTTTTCTTTGTGCTTATCTTTCAAGCTGGCAGAAATGTCATTTCCCCACTAACGTGTCTTTCCTGAGGCTTTAAGGGAGAAGAGACGTCTTCCTCTTCTGTGCTCATTCGGCACTGTATACAGTCTTTATTATAGTATTTATAACATTTTACTGACTATTATGTACAAATACCTAGAATGTACCCCCATGCCTGCCATTTCATAGGTGGCCCATAAATGTTTTTGAACGAGTAAACAGAGCTCTCAAACATACCGCAATTCTAAGTGTCTCAATTCTCTGGCTTTTGAGCTTTGACATACCTTGAATCAGATAAATCATTCTTATTAGAATGTTAAGTGTTTACCCAAGCCATTAATTTTTGGTTTAGATGTTGAATCCATTATTTACTTGTTTCTTTAAAAGCTTTTTTGATTATGAAAGTTGTATAATATTTGAAAAATTAAGAAAAAATGTAAAAAGGTCATCTGTAATGTTGATATCTAGATGAGATTATCACTGTTAGCATTTGGTATATACTTTTCCAATTGTTTTCCTAATGCATGTGTCTGATTTTTATTTTTTATTTTTTTTTTGAGAGGGAGTTTCACTTTTGTCGCCCCGGCTGGAGTGTAATGGTGTGATCTTGGTCACTGCAACCTCCACCTCCTGGGTTCAAGTGATTCTCCTGCCTCAGCCTCCCGAGTAGCTGGGATTACAGGCCTGTGCCACCATGCCCAACTAATTTTTTGTATTTTTAGTAGAAATGGGGTTTCACCATGTTAGCCAGGCTGGTCTCGAATTCCTGACCTCAGGTGATCCACCTGCCTCGGCCTCCCAAAATTCTAGGATTACAGGTGTATACCACCGTGCCCGGCCATGTGTCTGAATTTTTAAGCAAAGGGAGATGAATCATAGTCCATATACCCATTTCAAAGCTTTCCCCTGTATGTCGTGCTCATATTTCCATATTCTTTAATAGCTTCCTTCCGTGTTACTTTTGCAATGTTTTTAAAGACTGTGCCGTGATATGAAAACATTTTTATGGCACAATAATAAATGAAAAAAATCAGAATTTAACTCATAATAGGTGCCAGACTTCTAAAACATGTATTGAACTCTCCCCTTCCTTGTTCCTTCCCCAATACTTCCTATCTCTTTCTCTACATATATGTGTATGAGGGTGTTTTTCAGTATTTATATATTTATTTGATGAGTCTTACTCTGTCGCCCAGGCTGGAGAGCAGTGGCACTATATCAGCTCACTGAAACCTCCACCTCCTGAGTTGAAGTGATTCTCATGCCTCAGCCTCTCGAGTAGCTGGGATTACAGGCGCCTGCCACTGTGCCCCTCTAAGTTTTATATTTTTTTGTACAGTCAGGGTTTCACCATGCTGGCCAGGCTGGTCTGAAACTCCTGGCCTTAAGTGATCTGCCTGCCTCAGCCTCCCACAATGCTGGGATTATAGGCGTGAGCTGCTGTGCCCGGCTCTTTTTTCAGTTCATGCATTAAAGGTCTTTATTTGCAGTTAATTTTAATATGGAGGAGTGGTGAGAATCATAGCCTTTGTCTCAGCTAATTTTTACAGCACTTGTAATTCCATGTTCACTGCTTTTTCACTGCTTTGAAGTTTTACTTTTTAATCACATGTAAAATAATTATGTGTATTTTTCATTTTTCTAAAATATGTTTTCTGTGTCATTTAAAACTACATTGTTATGCCAGAGCCACATTGTTTTAACTGTTTTAACTTTATAATTTAACCTAATGGCAGCGTAAACCTCGCCTCATTATTTTTCAACCTTTTCTTAATTACCAGTACCCATTCTGTTTGTGACGAGAGCCTGGTCTTTGTGCTTATGCAGCCATGGATCTGAGCCTCGTCTTTGCTCTTTTCATCTCTCTGACCTTAGGCACATAGCTTAATTTTTTTGAGCCTCAGATTCTTCTTCTGTTATAAGGAGGTAATAATCCCATCTTCACTGGTTTGGGTGAGATCAAAAGAGATAACGTATGTGAAGTGTTAGGTACCTACTAAGTGTTCAGGAAATGATGGCTATTGTCATTATTCCTGTGAAAATTACAGTAATTTTGTCAGGTTACAAAAAATATCCATTTGGGGAGAATTAACCTGTATACATTTCTGTTTAGTAACAGAGCTCCTCCATGTGTGTTCTTCAGTAAAGATTTATGCTTTTTCTTACAGGTATTACATGTTTCATCAGTAAATTTATTATTTGTGCATTTGACATGTAAATAATTTAAGACTATTTTCTAATTAGAATTCTATCACGTACTTGCAGATGTGGCTTAGAATAAATCTCTGAGCCTCAGTTTTCCTATCCATTAAAATTAGTCATCTTCCTTTGTTGCAGGGTGGTTAATAGGAGCAAATGAGACATTGTATGTGACAAGTGTATTAAAAATATAGAAAGTGAAATGAAATATGAAATAAGACCCAGATTCTGTTCACAACGAGATCCTGTGTAGTTTTAGTAACAGGTTCTGTGTTGAATCTCCTGTGGGGTAGGGAGAGGGGTTTCTTTTGGAGGGGGGTGGCATGGGATAGAGGATGGAAGGCTCCAGGTAGTTTTGGTGGTTTCTTGCCGTTTTGGAAGGTCTCAGCCCAGGGGGCAACAAGACTCTGGTCATGTTTCTGTTGTGGATGAATATCAGGGTCAGTTACTTCCAGTGGACAGTGCAGGCAGCTCTGGGGCAGTATGGCCTTGAGGCCTTGGGTGAGTGCACTGGGGAGTCCCATGCCTCATTATCAGGTTGTGGTGGTGGTGAGTGCTAGGAGACATTCTAGCACATTGTAAGGAATGTTATGTTGTAGGGAGAAGGAGAGGCAGCTGCTCAAGGCACCTCAGACTCTCATTAGTGTTAGTGGCTGGGAGGGTGCTAACCCTTTAACCGTAACTGGAGTTTATACATAGAACATATATGCATATATGTATAGATATTTCCAGAGTTGTAGATTTACAGTTTTTGAAATTTGTTTTCACATGAAAAAATATTTTTTTTGAGTGAACAAAAAATAAATTTACTACACGGTCAAAATACTAGATTCTTTTCTTTTTGCTTTATTTGATAATACTGGTAGAAATTAATTAGGTATAAGTGTATTTTTTCTAATTGCTATTTTACTGAAAGCATATGTATGTGTACACACACACACACATATATATATGGCAAATGAAATCTTAAATCCAGAATAGGGTAGTCTTAAAATAGCGCAAAGACAAAAACTTTTAAAATGTTAAACAAAAGTACAGTTGAACTTTGAGTAATGAGTGCGGGCATTTAGGAGTGCCATCCCCTGCTTGCCTGCACAGTTGAAAATCAGTGTATATCTTTTGACTCTCCCAGAACTTAACTACTGATAGCCCACTGTTGACTAGAAGCCTTACCTATAACATAAACAGCTGATTAATACATATTTTGTATGTTACATGTAGTATGTACTGTATTCTTACAATAAAGTAAGAAAAAAATGTTAAAGTCATAAGGAAAATATATTTACTATACCTTAAGTAGAAGCAGATCATCATAAAGATCTTCATCTTCATTGTCCTCACTTTGTGCAGCCTGAGGAGGAGGAGGAAGAGAAGGGGTTGGTCTTGCTGTCCTGGGTGGCGGAGGCAGAAGAAACTCTGTGTATACGTGGACCCACATACTTAAAACCTGTGTAGTTCATGGGTCAACTGCATATTCTAAAACTGCTATTTAAAATTTGAAAATCAAGTTGTGACCATAAAGTATTCTCTTTTGGGAACTGAATGAATGAATTCTGCATCTGGCAGTGGAAATGATATCAGGAAATGATGGCTGTCGTCATTCTTTATGTGAAAATCACAGTAATCTTCAGCACTAAAGAATTTTCCCCACTTTTCCCTTCCGCACAGATCGAAAGCTGCTTTACGTCGCAGTTGGAGCAGCACTCCCCCTGCAGGCGGCATTGAAGGGAGCGTGAAGCTGCACGAGGGGTCTCAGGTCCTGCTCACGAGCTCTAACGAGATGGGTACTGTTAGGTACGTGGGCCCCACTGACTTTGCTTCAGGTATCTGGCTTGGACTTGAGCTCCGAAGCGCTAAGGGAAAAAATGATGGGTCAGTGGGCGACAAGCGCTATTTCACCTGTAAGCCAAACCATGGAGTCTTAGTTCGACCGAGTAGAGTGACCTATCGGGGAATTAATGGGTCCAAGCTTGTGGATGAGAATTGTTGAGTTAAGCTTCTAAAATATTAAATAAACTCGAATATATATATATATAAAATTTGGTGTAAATAAGGAGTCCATGGTAAATGGTTTACTTTATTTAGCCATATTTAAAATTTGAAAATAGAGTTATCTTCTTAAAAACCATTATAACAATTCAGAGAGAGTTCTTTACAAAGCCATGAATATGAACTCTGGGGAGTCATGGTTCTTTTAAAGCAATTTTCAAAATAAGTACCGATTAAAGCTTTAGGTCCCAAGAAAATTCTGGGACTCAGGAAGAAAAAGTGCCATCAGGTGACCAGCTGTTGCATTTCTTTGCTTATTCTGTTTTCGTTTCGCACAAACCTATTGGATTTTTCTTAGCGCCATAATTGCGAAGGGTTTCTCTAGCTTTGGTTACGAGTAATGTTCACATGACCTTTTTTTTCGTCAAGCATTTTTGGAATTTTTCTTTCTTTCTGTGCTTTATTACTAATAAGTCCAATAAGTGAATAGTAGCTAGATGACTAGTATGTATTTTTATATTTTGGTAAAATTATTTGCCCTTTCAGAAATGCCTCGTCTAAAGATACATGATAATTTTGGAGTTGGAAGGGGCCTTAGAGCCTCTCCAGCTCTGCTTCTTGTCCATTGCCAAATACCGAAGTGGAAGCCTGTCTTACCTGGGGTCACTAACTGGTTGGTTAACTGAGCTAAGAGTAGAATGTGGGTCTCCTCACTTGTGGCCCAGTGCTCTTTCCTCTATACAAAATGTCTAATCTCAGATTTTTCTTCTGCTGCTTGACTGCTTCATCTGGATGAACTACAAAAACCCATGATTAAGGTTTATGAATTCAAGTGATAATTAGATTTTTTTGCACAAACTTACTTAACTTCCTTATTGGATATGTTTGTAACACATAAACACGAAGCACTTTTAAAACGATGCACTTTTATCTTTGTGAAGAATTTACCGTCCTTTCCTCCTGAGATATGAGAAACATTTTAAAAAATGTATTTAACAGAAGAGAGCAAATAAAGATATATTAGGAGGGATGTATTAGTTATTTACTTAAATGTTTATAATATCTGGATTTTTTTTTTTTATTACTCATAGAACTGGTGTTGGGTTTGCTGTTTTTATTTCTCGAATTGTTGCAGAGTTCAGCCTGTTACAAAGCTACAGAACTGTACTGTTTTTATTTTTCTTCTTGAGCATATGTTAACAAACTAAGCTTCATATTAGAGTGATGTCATAATGTAAAATGTTTGCATTGTGGTTACATATTGAAGTTTATGTCCTGTCTGTGTAAAGATTCATCTTTTATTGTGAATATTTAGACTTTACCACAGAAATACTGGAACAGTTTGCTTTATAAGATTAAAAAGTATCCTTCAGAATGGAGCTTGCCTTGTGCTTAGAAATAATATGTTGAACTATTTTGCAATATACTATTTTAAATCTAAATTCTGTCACTTCGCTGCCTTTTTAAAATAGTGTGGTGTTTCAAATATTGCTAGAGCTATTTTCCTGAAATACATTTGCAAAATAAGGCTGCTTTGTAATCAAGGAATATTTTTATTGATTGAAGGAAATGACTGTACTGCAATTCAAAAGTAAACTTATTTTATTATACAGATTATTTCTTAAAAACTCTATTTATACCTTAACATGAAATCCATGACCACACTAAACTTGGTTATTTATAATTTTTCCTGTTAAATATAAAACACTATAAATTAAAAACAGTGATGCCAACATTGAATTTATTTTTGAGGTCAAAGAACCAGTTGTTCTCTTTATATTTAGATGAGGATTATTAAGTCCATATAACATGTATGTTTACATATATTATACATGCAAATTAGGTGTTTTCATTTGTGTTTTGCTTATGAAATGTCATTTAAAGTTCAATTCTTGAGCATCAATAAAAAGGGAAGCTGTGTGGTTTTGGAATGGTATCTTGTCATTTACCCTATTTGCAACTCTCCTTTTTCTCAGTAACTCAGGGTACATATGCTTTGAACTTTTTCCTCATGGTAATGGCTTGGGTTTGTCCTATCCCTATAAAGAATATTAAAAAATATCATGCTTTCTACTCAACAATGTATGCTCATAGCCACCCTCCTATTAGTATTGTTTTGATGAATAGTGAGTCATTTAAGAAAAGAATTTATTTCTACAGTTAGGATTTCACTCATTTATTTAGCGTAGGATGGAACACTTTGAATTTAGATTAAAAAATAGAAATAATTAAATGCCTTTTACTAAAAAACTTTGTTTTTATATTTTGTTTTATATTTAGGGTGATTTTGAGGGAATATTTTTAAGTATGTAAGAATGGTGAGATACAGCTGTTTGCTGACTGAACCGTGGTGTTGTAATCTTGGTGTGAGTCTCTGGCACCTCCTCCCAAGAGCTCGTTTGTTCCCCTCTCATGTTTTAATTTTCTCTTTAGCATTTGGTCATGCTTACTACTGATTACAACTTCTTATTATTTCTTTCTTCCTTCACTAGATCGAGGAGTGGATTTTTGACTGTTTTGTTCACCACTTTATCCCCAACACCTAGAATAATACTTGATACCTAGTAGATGCTTGGTTTTGTTGTGTGAGCAAAGGCAGTAAAGGCCACTGATTGTTGGAAATATGCTATCTAGCTAGCTAGCTTCAGACAAGGGGCCTGGCGAGACTAGGCCACAGAACAGGTAAATTTTCTTAGACATGGAAGGAAAGAGGACAAGAAAAGTTTGAATCCAGGAGCCCTGAAGTTACCCCTGAAGAGTGTCGTGTGAGAGACAACAGATGCTGAGTGGCGCAGCAGTAGGGAATGGGGAGGAAAGACACAGCAGGACCACCTGGGTCAGCTACCTTTCCCTTCTGCCTGGTGGTAACTTTCAATTCCTATTTTAATATGATGGTAATGTACAGAACGTGGAAATACGTGTGGTCTAATATGGAGAGAATGAACTGGATCATACCCAAGTGGGGATAACGTTGATCTCCAGTATTTTTATATATATATGTGTGTGTGTGTGTGTGTGTGTGTGTGTGTGTGTGTGTGTATATGTATGTATATGTATTTTTTTTTTGAGTCGGGGTCTCGGTCTGTCACCCAGGCTGGAATGCCATGGTGCGATCTCGGCTCACCGTGACCTCTGCCTCCTGGGTTCAAGCGATTCTCCTGCCTCAGCCTCCCAAGTAGCTGGGATTACACAGGCACCCACCACGATGCCCAGCTAATTTTTTGTATTTTTAGTAGAGACGGGGTTTCCCCATGTTGGCCAGGCTGGTCTCAAACTCCAGACCTCAGGTGATCACCTGCCTTGGCCTCCCAAAGTGCTGGGATTACAGGCCTGATCCACCATGCCTGCCTGTGTTAGATATTTTTATTTCAGAGTTTTATTTTGAGGCTACCTATTTAGAATGTGTGATAATATTATTTAAACCACATCAACCAATGGCTAGAAGCCTATTGTGTTAAAATCATTCTTAATTGAGAAATAGTTCTAGTAGTTTTAATTACTTACCAGATGGATATTTGTTATCAAAATAACAAATGACTGAATGACTCAGAGACATATAATATCCATTACCACATTGCAAGCCAATAGAATAATTAATTTTTATTTTTTTCATGCCCTTTGCTTCTCTACACTTATTTATAATACAAATACAGTGGTTAATACAAAACTCACGTTATCATGTATATTTTTAGTATTTGTTTAGTATCCCTTGGTACATAGGCCTTATTTACAAACAGTGTCACATAATGCTGTTTGAATATAAAATAAGCATTCCTGATGAAGTTTATGTATAGGATGAACAAGTTAAACTTGCAGGACATGTTAAGATTGTATTATAAGCAGAATATGATGCTTTTGCTTAGGCAAAAAGATGTTGTTCTATCGTACTTTTTTGCTAATGCTCCTTTTTATGAGAGGAAGTCTACATGGTGGAATTCGAGTAGACGGGCACATATTACTGACATTAATATCCTTTCATTATGTGTGGTCAAATGAAACTATGTTTTATAGCTCTCTGTTGAGAGCAGCATCAAGGTGTAGGAGAAGCTTTTTCCTTTTATCTTTTTAGAATGTCTTCCAATGATTAGAATGTTCATGACGATAAATCAGCAGCAAATTTCATTATTTACTATACCTTTCAAATAGGGCAAGTGTAGTGGTCATGGTGGTGCTGAGAAGGGGCAGGGCGTTCTGAATTATTAAAGATATTTCAGGTGTTTAAATTGAGGCTGTTAGCTGAAAACATAATCTGTTCCCAAGGATCACTGGTGTCATTTTTTAAATGCTCATAAATCTGGTTTAAGTTCGGCTCTAAAATCCCTGATGAACCCAGATATGTGAGTTTGTTGCCACCGTAGCCCCAATAGACTCCTGCGTCAGGAGGAATTTGGTCTCAGGATTAGATATTTAGTCAGAGTTGTTTCAACTGGCTACATAAAATCCAATTGGGATCAATTGAACTCAGCAAGCTAACTATCCTGTACTGAATTTGAATTTTAGGCATTTCTAAAGCATAGAAGGTTTAACCATCCAAGTGCTGTGTTCTTGGCCTGTGTCCATCTGAGGGAGGTTAAGTTCTTTCAGTTCCAGCCCTTCATGACTTTATTCCAAGTAGACAGACTTACCTTATTGAAGACTGAACTAATTATTATTTTTCACATAACAAATCAAATCAGACTGACATGGAGATGAATCATATTAAGATTATATGCACACCTTCAAGCCGTGCTTTTTGTTCTTTTCTCTAGTATGACTTCTGAGATTCAGCTTGAAACTCAGTCAACAGTGTTAATGACATTGGCTGCCCCTGACAGTTCTTGTTGTGAAGGGTGGGTGTTACTATCCAGTATCTTTGGGGGAAAAAGAACCCTAAAATGGATTTTTAAATGAATTTTAATAGTCATAAAAAGTCTAATATTGATGGCAAGGGGAAATGGATTTTGTATTACAGACAATATAGAGCATTACAGAGCAGAAGAATAAAGCGAAAAATTATAGTTGCCTTTATTGAACCTGCTAATACAAATGGACTTCTAATAAGAATTCCAGTACATTACACATATCAGTGAAAATATTGTACTTTTTTTCAGATGATATTTTCTCTTACTTGAAGGGAATAGAGCTTAGGGAATTAAGAAATAGCATGAGATTCTTGAGGCCTCACTTTACACCCCCCGGTGTGTAACAAAGGAAAATCCAATGTAATTTTCTGCTTTAGTTTCTTATCCTTTATAAAACATCACCAGCTGTTTCCTGGTGCATACTTGAGGAAAAAGAATTTCTATCTTGAAAATTATTTCTTCTGAGAACTGTGAAATACTATATAAATATTACTTTGAGAATAATGCGAGAAGATTTAAATTGTTTCTTTTCTCAACTATTAGATGCAGTAAAATGTAGGAAATTTGCCCACAGTCTTCATAATCTTATCTTGGTGGGATGTTGGAATTGGCTATCTTTTTGGATTCCCTGTTTCTAAGGATCCATTGTAAAACTATATGGTTCACAACAGGTTTCCAAAAATTGCCATCCAATGGCAGTGGATATCTGTATGAGCCTGAAAAGAGGGGTTCTATCCAATTCTATGGTGATTGTGAGAGAGGACTCCTGTTCTTAATGAATTGCTCATCATAATGGCACTTGGATGCACTTACTGAGGAGCATCAGAATCCACAGGCACCTCCTGCTTTCAAACACCTGACTTGCTGTAGGCTTTGCCACCTCACTTTGGGAATGGGCACCATATGGGTTGGCTGTGTCCCCACCCAAATCTCATCTTGAATTGTAGCTTCTATCATCCCCGTATGTCATGGGAGGGACCTGGTAGGAGGTAATTAAATCATAGGGGTGGGTTTTTCCCATGCTGTTCTCATGATAGTGAATGAGTCTCATGAGATCTGATAGTTTTATAAAGGGCAGTTCCCCTGCACACGCTCTCTTGCCTGCTGCCATGTAAGACATGCCTTTGGTCCTCCTTTGCCTTCCACCATGATTGTGAGGCCTCCCCAGCCATGTGGAACTGTGAGTCCATCAAACCTCTTTTTCTTTATAAATTACCCAGTTTCGGGTATGTCTTTATCAGCAGTGTGAGAACAGACTAATAAAGGCACTGAGAGGTGCAAATTGTCAACTGACAGAAAGTGCATCAGATATACCACCAAATATTGGTGTGATAAAAGGTAAGTTTTATGGTTTTACTTTGCTAATAAGGTTGCTGTTATAGCAAATGTAATGAAAGAGAAATAAGTGATGTGGCACTGAAAGCATGAAAGTTATTAAATGGACATGACTCATAGTTCTGCCAGCTTTGCTTCTTTCTGGAACTCATCCCTGATTAATCTCGTTTTGCTATGGTAAGGATTTGATGATTTGTTAAAGAGATCTTTGAATAGAAAGATCTTTGAATAAACAGGACTGATACTAAACTCTTTAGTCTACTTCTGTATAAAGATTACATATAATTTGTCTCATTGGGATAAGAGTCAAGGTCAAGGACACATGCACACACCAGTCATGCTCCACTGATTATGGCTGGGTGCTGGAATTTACCTTACGCAGGTGAAGTCCTACAGAATCACAGACTTCACAGTTAGAAGGGGCCTTTGAGATTATATATATATATATGGTCTCATATATATATATATATATATATTTTTTTTTTTTTTTTTTTTTTTTTTTGAGATGGAGTCTTGCACTGTCACCCAGGCTGGAGTGCAGTGGCATGATCTCCGCTCACTGCAACCTCTGCCTCCTGAGTTCAAGCAATTCTCCTGCCTCACCCTCCCGAGTAGCTGGGATTACAGGCACCTGCCACTATGCCCAGCTAATTTTTTGTATTTTTAGTACAGACGGGATTTCACTATGTTGGCCAGGCTTGTGTTGAACTCCTGACCTCGTTTTTTAAATAAGAAAATGAGTTTCAGTAACTTGCTTGAGTCAGGGAGGTAGGTAATTGCGGTCTAGTAGTGGTAGCTCTCTTCACTCCTGCCCGGTCTGCTTGCTGTTTTCTCAAGTAACTGATGAATGCTAAACCATCCAAAATGATATAATCATCTGAAGTTTTATCAATCTGATGTTCATCTATGTTAGCAAATAACCTCTTCTAATATGTAAATATTCTAGGGAGAAATACTATCCTAGCTGCTAAGTTTTCGATGTGAGTTCGTTTAATAAGACTGTCTTTCACCTGATACCAGCTGAAATGAACATTGAGTGATGGAGGAAAAATAACTGCGGGTTAGTTCTCACAAGGAGGCAATAAGTCTTAGGAAATTGATGGGATGGGGAGAGAGCCCGAGGATGTCAAGAAGAGGGATATAAGAAATGAACATATGAAGGCACTAAAGACTAATTTTGGTACTTGTGCTTTTTCTGAGGTTAGACTTGTAGTGCCATTTTTCCACATGAAGGGTAACACACTTGTTTTACACTTACTGAATGCTGAAGAGAGGAAGGTGGTTCCTGCAGTTTTGTGGTTACAGTGCATGTAACTTCCTGTCCCCCCCACCCCCCATATAGTAATTTGTTCTTACCAAGTTTTTCAAATGTTTTAGAGTTGTCAGGCTACAGCTGAAAAATGTTTTGCACTACTTGAGTAGTGCATCAAAAATTAAACACCCCTACTCAGGACACAAAATGAAAGTAGAATCTTAATAGAAGCTTCTCTATTTGTTCTCAGTAATGATCTTTTATTTTACAGCAGCATGTTTAGGATTACGGGAATGCTGGTTTTGCTTTTTATGTTCACACAACAACACAGGAGCCATCTGCTGCAATGAAATTAGCAAAGTCAAATTGTGTGTTCTTTAGGGACTCATTTTAAAAACCATTAAAGACAGATTGACAACACACTTCATACGATTTTATGAATCTTGTCATGGGTAGTCTGTTAGAGTAACATGAATTCAGATGCGTCTTCTTTTAGGTCTGTAAAGCTCGTAACGGATTTTAATCCTGCTATTACTACTGAAAACCTATTAAAATGGCTTGATCGTTAGAAATTCTTAGTGGTGTGCTCTGGGAATTTGGATATAAAGGCCCATGTTTTTCAGAATAAAGTTAACTTTAGTTACATAATACCTTATAGCTATAGGGTTTACTAAGTCCTATGTGGAGAGGCCAAAAAATTTTTTTTAAGAATTACTGAAATTGTGGTAGAGACTTTACGTTCTTCTTTTGCGCTGAAAGGAGTTGGGCTCTGGCAGGGTTCCTGCTACTGTCATTAGGGTTAGGAGGAGGAATAAGTGCTGGTGTTCAATTGCACAGTGGGGTGACTATGGTTAACAATAGTGTATATTTCAAAATAGCTAGAAGAGAGGATTTTGAATGTTCTTACAAAGAAATGATAACTGTGGGAGGTGATGGATATGCTAAATGCCTTGATTTGATTTTTATAATACATGCATGTATTGAAGCATCACGATACCCCATAAATACACATGATTATTATATGTCAATTAAAACAACAAAACCAAATGACACACGAAGAAAACACGGCACAAATGGGAGAGCCGAGAGGGTTGGATGTGAGCAGGGACAAGAACCACAGCTGAGCATGAGGGCAGGGAGGCATAGACATACCTGCCCCCACACCCAGCCCCACCTCACTTGGGGGCTGCCAAGGTGTAAGAGGAGGTGTTTGTGCTTTCACACAGTGTATGATCTCCCTGAGGAGCTGTGAGGAAGGGAAGTGATTGTCCTCCTTTTATATATGGGGACATTGAGGTACCCACGGGCCAGATAACCCAAGGGGAGTCAGAACTCAGACCGTAACTGGTAGAAAGAGAATCCAGCCTTTTAACTACTTAGTAGAGCATACTCTTTTTAAAAAGTTTATTCCTGCTAGTCTGAATTGCTATAATCTTGAGGTACAACATATTAACAAACTGGTCATTGCTCGCAAATTGCCAGTTTCCCAGTGGAACAGTTGTGAACTTTTGATTGGCTTCTTTATAAACATAGGATATAAATAATTATGCTAGATTATGGTTTAATTAGCATAGCTTCTGCAAACTTTAATTGTGCCCATTCATATTCTGGGCTGAACTTTCTATCATGGTTAATAACTTTACTAAAGCCCATAGTGTCTGTATGAATTGTAGCCATATGGCTGGAGCAATAATCGAGTGGACAATAGTCCAGATTAATATCATGCTGATACCCATGGGTTACACCAAGTTAAATGAAACATCTTGAGGTCATCGCATCTCAGTGTGGAGTTGTTTATTTACTTATCCATGTATACAAGCTTTTAAGACTTGACTATTATTTACATGAAAGTTGATACCAATAAGGACGATTAGAGAGATCAACAAATCAATCTCAGTGGTAAAAAGGCACAACCTGAAAATGTAATGGATTTATAGTTCTTAAAAGTGGAAAGAAGTAATATTTTCCCCATGAATAACAATAAAGAGATGGCTATTTAACCAGATAGCTTACTCCCAGCTTGATTGGTTACTGGTGTAACAAATCTAAAATGGAAGTGTTTTCCTCAGTTATTGACAACTCCTCTGTCAGTATCCTTTAGGAAGAGTGTTTCTCAAAGTGATATTCTTGAGCCCCTTCAGGTGGTCTGTGAGTTAAATAATGTTTATATGATTAGGCTACTTTTGTGCCTGGCATGAACCAAATTTTAGTGATACTTTTATTTAGAGATGAGTTCATTGATGTTTCATCTTCATGTATCTCTGATGAAAATATTTTCGGCAGTTAAGCAGATAAGGAAGGTAGCCCCTAGGGCATCAGGGCTTTTACAGATGCACACTCCTAACTCCAGGGTAAGGCAGCTGCCTTCAGAGAAAGGAACAGTTGTCTGGTGTTGGCTTTTAACATAATGGCTTTCCCACGCTGAAAGTGATGCTTTTGATGCAGGTGAAACAGAGGGTCGGAAACAGGCATGTATATATATACCTTTCATAATATACACACACAGTCCTTTTGTTTGGTAATGTTTAGTTACTAGCAAGTAGTAAGAGAATGCTTCCCTCTTGAATGCTTTGGCATAGCTACCAACAGGAAAGAAAACGGGCATGAGGATAGAGGAGAAGCAGAAAGAGGATGAAATGAGGACTTACTGATAAAGCATTCTAAGCATTACACACATAAGTATGTGTGTAAAATTGAACAGATTCCCAATGCGTTTTCATGGAAGTAAAGTTCATCTGTGAAAACCAGGTTCAGAACTCCCACTCTAACATGTCAATGTCAACCTCAACTCTCCAAGGGTTCCACAATTCCTTTCCTCATTGCCTCCTAGGGAAAAAATTCTTTGTTTTAATTTGTCTTTGACAGCTATACAAATTATGCTATATGTATTTCAGCACATTTGTGTTCCCAGTGTACTTGGATCACATGATGGAGAGAAAACGCAGGTTAGCCATGGAAGGAAAGAGACTGGATCAGTGCCTCTCCTTAGGACCACCAGCGGCCTGTTCCTCCTGGGGCCCTGTCCATCTCTACAGGTATAAACTTGAGTTTGGTAGTCAGTCCATGACTGAAACAAATAGAAGGTTTTGGCCTAAAATGTATTGACACTTATGCCCACAAATGGATGTTTCTATGCTTCTATGTATCACTGCTGCTTAAAATTTTTGCTTTTAAATGATGAAAGTTTAATTAGTGGAAATTTTTTAAATAAGTAGTTTAAATCTTGAGTTTTAAATCCAGTAGGAAACCTCACACTCAGTTTTTCACTTTTAGTAAGAGGATTTTCTTAAGGCATGAGGTATATTAATAGGATGTTTGAATCTCTGGATCTGTATTAGTGCTTTATCCTACTCAAAGCACTTGGAATGTATGCATTTCATTTAGATGAGTATATACACATTTCTGCTATACTACTGAAACTACTCACAACATTTGTTACAATTGGTGATGAATCAGCACAATTAAAAGCATCTAACCGTCACCTAAAGTGACATTTTAGTTGTCTATGATTTTTCAAGTAAAGAATGTCTTTCCCCATGCTGAGTCATTACAAATAACTCCTTTATTTCTGTTCCCTTTCCCCTCAAATGGCTCATGTCCACATCAACAAGGTAAGGAAACATCTATGACCCCGACTATGAAACATAGAAGCAGCTAATTCTGACTACATTGAAGCAGAGCACACACAATTTAAAAGAAGCATAAGGAAATATACAACAAACATGCATAAAAACCTTATGCAACCACATCTGGGCCTTGCATTTATCACTCATTTTTATGACATTTTCTTCTTTCGAAAGAATAGGATGAACCCATGCTCAAAACCTTTCTAAAGCGTTTTGAAAATACAACTTTTTTGGTGGCACTTCAAAATAGGTTGGCACAAAACAAAAAGTGACATTTGGTCTCTGGTTTGTGAAGGAGCCATTGCCTCTCTCTCCTCCACGGTCTTAGGGATCCTAAGGAAGAGAAGTGAGTGTGCGACCGAGCTCAGGGCCCAGGCTGGTTCATGCTATTCTTGCTTTTCAGAATGGTGTCCTCGTAATGACCAGCTCCGGGGGCAGTAGCGGCTTCTAAGGGCAAGCCCTGTTGCTGGTAGCCGTAATTGACATTCCCACAAGGGAAGTGACGTAGCCTGAACAGAGGTACCTCCTTCATGTTGGTAGTCAGCGAAGAGGGCTCTAGGAGCAGTGAGGCCCCCGGAAGTCTCCCAGTTGCAATGTTAGGTGGGACAGTACAGCTTCCCTCCAGCCCCAGGTTACCTCTCTCATGTGGCTCCTTCTTTGCTAGAGGATTATTCTTTTTGGTGGGTTTCTCTGTAAACCAGGAGCCGTACGTTGGGTTCCACAAGCTGGTGGGCTTGTTTCTGGATCCCTGGACCTTGTGCAACTCCGAAGGGGGGTTGGACTGAGAGAATGCCATATTCACATGTCCCCCTTCCACAGCCAGCCCCCTAGGGACTCGAACAGAGACCTCTGCAACTGTGGGTTTCTTTGCAGCCTTGCCAGAGGAGGTGGTAGGCACAGGTGGTGGGGCAGCTGGGCTGCGCTCCTCCCCCCTTTTCGCCTGTTGAGAGACCAGGAGAGGAGGAACCCCCTCAGGGTCCTTGGGCCTCACGGGTACTTTCTCTTCCTCTTCTACAAGTGGACCGTATTCTATCGGCAAAGCGGTGTTGATTACATCTGGGTCCTGCCGTAGAAGAAATGATTAAAACTTTGACTCAGACACAAAAAATGTTGGCTCTAGAAGATACCTTAGAGATGATATTTAAACATATTCTGCAGATGAAGAAACCAGTATTTATTGAGAATATAGTAACTTATAGGCACTGGGGCATATTAAATGAATGGGAAGTCATCCTTATCCTCAAAGACCTTAGAGGGTAAGCGCTATAATGGAAGTGTGTATGGGTGCTTGGGACAGAGTGGAGCAGGAAAAGCTTTGCAGAGGAGGAGACGTTTGGCCAATTTTTAAAGATTAGTGGATTTTTAAAAAAAACATTAAAATTATTATTTGTATTATTCAGTCTAGTTCCACTAAAATTGTTCCAACTGGAAAAAAAAAAATCTTATGTGTTTAACTTCAATAGTGATGTGGGGGTGGTGGCTGGGGGAAGGAGGAGAGGAGACACGTGCCATGTTGGCCTACAGGGTTTATTTTTTGATCTCTTCCTAGCTGCTTTCCATTTCTATCTTGTTACTTTACACTTGATTATAAATTTTCGTGTGCCACATCGTCACATGTGCAGGTACCACAATGCATGTTTTGTTGTTGTTTTTGTTTTTTAGAGATAGTCTTGCTTAGTCGCCCAGGCTGGAGTGCCATGGCTCAATCCTGGTTCACTGTAACCTCTGCCTCGTGGGTTCAAGCCATTCTCCTGCCTCAGCCTCCTAAGTAGCTGGGATTACAGGCATGTACCCCACCCCCTGGCTAATTTTTGTATTTTCAGTAGAGACAAGGTTTCACCATGTTGGCCAGGCTGGTGTCGAACTCCTGACCTCAGGTGAGGCACCCGCCTCGGCCTCCCAGAGTGCTGGGATTGCAGGCATGAGCCTCTGCACCCAGCTTACAGGGGTTCTTTAGTCTGGATGTGAGGGACCCTTTGCGCAACCCTGGAAATGCTGAAGGCTGTGAGGAAAACCATTCACAAAAACAAGTTTGTGCTAGATCATTTTCACAGTAATAGATTAGGGAAAATTTGTGGAAGAAAAATTAAATTTGGAGAAATTCATTAATATGCAAATTGAGAAAAGACCGTTGTTACCTGAGTAACAGAAAAACACGAGTGTTCATATTAAAAGAGTTCAAAACTAAAAAGTAACTACCTTTGACTCATTCAAACATTCTTTAGTTCCCTGTTTTTTAGTAATTTCTATAGTGAATCATTTTAAATATGCTTGTGTAAAACTGCCTGCTTTTGGGGGGGGTGTGCCCGAGATGGCCAAATAGGAACAGCTCCAACTCCCAGTGTGAGTGACACAGAAGACAGGTGATTTCTACATTTTCAATTGAGGTACCGGGTTCATCTCACTGGGTCGTGTCGGACAGTTGGCGCTGGTCCGTGGGTGCAGCCTGACCAGCGAGAGCTGAAGCAAGGCGAGGCATTGCCTCACCTGGGAAGCACAAGGGGGAAGGGAATTCCTTCTCCTAGCCAAAGGAAATTGAGATGCACAACACCTGGAAAATCAGGTAACTCCCACCCTAATACTGTGCTTTACCAAGGGTCTTAGCAAACGGCACACCAGGAGATTATATCCCACACCTGGCCCAGAGGGTCCAGTGCCCACAGAGCCTCCTTCATTGCTAGCACAGCAGTCTGAGATCTAACTGCAAGGCGGCAGCAAGGCTGGGGGAGGGGCGCCCACCATTGCTGAGGCTTAAGTAGGTAAAGCCACCGGGAAGCTCGAATTGGGTGGAGCCCACCACAGCTCAAGGCCTGCCTGCCTCTGTAGACTCCTCCTCTGGGGACAGGTCATAGCTAAACAAAAAGCAGCAGAAACCTCGGCAGAGGTAAATGCCCCCGTCTGACAGCTTTGAAGAGAGCAGTGGATCTCCCAGCACAGAGTCTGAGATCTGAGAATGGACAGACTGCCTGCTCAAGTGGGTCCCTGACCCCTGAGTAGCCTAACTGGGAGACATCCCCCACTAGGTGCAGACTGACACCTCACATGGCAGGGTACACCCCTGAGATGAAGCTTCCAGAGCAAGAATCAGACAGCAACTGTCACTGTGCAGCAATATTCTATCTTCTGCAGCCTCCACTGCTGATACCCAGGCAAACAGGGTCTGGAGTGGACCTCAGGCAAACTCCAACAGACCTACAGCTGAGGGTCCTGACTGTTAGAAGGAAAACTAACAAACAGAAAGGACACCCACACCAAAACCCCATCAGTACGTCACCATCATCAAAGACCAAAGGCAGACAAAACCACAAAGATGGGGAAAAAGCAGTGCAGAAAAGCTGGAAATTCAAAAAATCAGAGCGCATCTCCCCCTCCAAAGGAACGGAGCTCATTGCCAGCAACGGAACAAAACTGGATGGAGAATGACTCTGACTAGTCGAGAGAAGAAGGCTTCAGTTGATCAAACTTCTCAGAGGTAAAGGAGGAACTACGTAACCAGCCCAAAGAAACTAAAAACCTTGAAAAAAGATTTGACAAATGGCTAACTAGAATAACCAATGTAGAGAAGTCCTTAAAAGAACTCATAGAGATGAAAACCATAACACGAGAACTACATGACAAATGCACAAGCTTCAGTAACCGACTCAATCAACTGGAAGAAAGAGTATCAGCGATTGAAGATCAAATGAATGAAATGAAGTGAGAAGTGTAGAGAAAGAAGAGTAAAAAGAAATGAACAAAGCCTCCAAGAAATACGAGATTATGTGAAAAGACCCAATCTATGTCTGATTGGTGTGCCTGAAAGTGAGGGGGAAAATGGAACCAAGTTGGAAAACACTCTGCAGGATATCATCCAGGAGAACTTCCCCAACCTAGTAGGGCAGGCCAACATTCAAATTCAGGAAATACAGAGAATGCCACAAAGATACTCCTCGAGAAGAGCAACTCCAAGACACATAATTGTCAGATTCACCAAAGTTGGAATGAAGGAAAAAATGTTAAGGGCAGCCAGAGAGAAAGGTCGGGTTACACACAAAGGGAAGCCCATCAGACTAACAGCAGATCTCTTGGCAGAAACTCTCCAAGCCAGAAGAGAGTGGGGGCCAATATTCAACATTCTCAAAGAAAAGAATTTTCAACCCAGAATTTCATATCCAGCCAAACTAAGTTTCATAAGTGAAGGAGAAATAAAATCCTTTACAGACAAGCAAATGCTTAGAGATTTTGTCACCACCAGGCCTGCCCTACAAGAGATCCTGAAGGAAGCACTAAACATGGAAAAGAACAACAGGTACCAGCCATTGCAAAAACATGTCAAAATATAAAGTCCATCGATGCTAGGAAGAAACTGCATCAACTAGTGAGCAAAATAACCAGCTAATATCATAATGACAGGATCAAGTTCACACATAACAATATTAACCTTAAATGTAAATGGACTAAGTGGTCCAATTAAAAGACAGACTGGCAAATTAGATAAAGAGTCAAGACCCATCAGTTTGCTGTATTCAGGAGACTCATCTCACATGCAGAGACACACATAGGCTCAAAATAAAGGGATGGAGGAAGATCTACCAAGCAAATGGAAAACAAAAAAAAGCAGGGGTTGCAATCCCAGTCTCTGATAAAACAGACTTTAGACCATCAAAGATCAAAAGAGATAAGGCCATTACATAATGGTAAAGGGATCAATTCATCAGGAAGAGCTAACTATCCTAAACATATATGCACCCAATACAGGAGCACCCAGATTCATAAAGCAAGTCCTTTGAGACTTACAAAAAGACTTAGACTCCCATACAATAATAATGGGAGACTTTAACACCCCACTGTCAACATCAATGAGACAGAAAGTCAACAAGGATATCCAGGAATTGACCTCAACTCTGCACCAAGCAGACCTAATAGACATCTACAGAACTCTCCATCCCAAATCAACAGAATATACATTCTTCTCAGCACCACATTGCACTTATTCCAAAATTGACCACACAGTTGGAAGTAAAGCACTCCTCAGCAAATGTAAAAGAACAGAAATTATAACAAACTGTCTCTCAGACCACAGTGCAATCAAACTAGAACTCAGGACTAAGAAACTCAATCAAAACCGCACAAGTACATGGAAAATGAACAACCTGCTCCTGAATGACTACTGGGTACATAATGAAATGAAGACAGAAATAAAGATGTTCTTTGAAACCAATGAGAACAAAGATACAACATACCAGAATCTCTGGGACACATTTAAAGCAGTGTGTAGAGGGAAATTTATAGCACTAAATGCCCACAAGAGAAAGCAGGAAACATCTAAAATTGACACCCTAGCATCACAATTAAAAGAACTAGGGAAGCAAGAGCAAACACATTCAAAAGCTAGCAGAAGGCAAGAAATAACTAATATCAGAGCAGAACTGAAGGAGATAGAGACACAAAAAACCCTCCAAAAAATCAGTGAATCCAGGAGCTGGTTTTTTGAAATGATCAACAAAATTGATAGACCACTAGCAAGACTAATAAAGAAGAAAAGAGAGAAGAATCAAATAGACATAATAAAAAATGATAAAGGAGATATCACCACCGATCCGACAGAAATACCAACTACCATCAGAGAATACTATAAACATCTCTATGCAAATAAACTAGAAAACCTAGAAGAAATGGATAATTTCCTGGACACTTACACTCTCCCAAGACTAAACCAGGAAGAAGTTGAATCCCTGAATAGACCAATAGCAGGCTCTGAAATTGAGGCAATAATAGCCTACCAACCAAAAAAAGTCCAGGACCAGATGGATTCACAGCCGAATGCTACCAGAGGTACAACGAGGAGCTGGTACCATTCCTTCTGAAACTATTCCAATCAATAGAAAAAGAGGGAATCCTCCCTAACTCATTTTATGAGGCCAACATCATCCTGATATCAAAGCCTGACAGAGATACAACAAAAAAAGAGAATTTTAGACCAATATCCCTGATGAACATCGATGCAAAAATCCTCAATAAAATACTGGCAAACCAAATCCAGCAGCACATCAAAAAGCTTATCCACCATGATCAAGTGGGCTTCATCCCTGGGATGCAAGGCTGGTTCAACATATGCAAATCAATAAACGTAATCCAGCATATAAACAGAACCAAAGACAAAAACCACATGATTATCTCAATAGATGCAGAAAAGGCCTTTGACAAAATTCAACAGCCCTTCATGCTAAAAACTCTCAATAAATTTGGTATTGATGGAACGTATCTCAAAATAATAAGAGCTATTTATGACAAACCCACAGCCATATCATACTGAATGGGCAAAAACTGGAAGCATTCCCTTTGAAATCTGGCACAAGACAGGGATGCCCTCTCTCACCACTCCTATTCAACATAGTGTTGGAACTTCTGGCTAGGGCAATCAGGCAAAAGAAATAAATAAAGGGTATTCAGTTAGGAAAAGAAGAAGTCAAATTGTCCCTGTTTGCAGATGACATGACTGTATATTTAGAAAACCCCATCCTCTCAGCCCAAAATCTCCTTAAGCTGTTAAACAACTTCAGCAAAGTCTCAGGATACAAAATCAATGTGCAAAAATCACAAGCATTCTTATACACCAGTAACAGACAAACAGAGAGCCAAATCATGAATGAACTCCCATTCACAATAGTTTCAAAGAGAATAAAATACCTAGGAATCCAACTTACAAGAGATGTAAAGGACCTCTTCAAGGAGAACTACAAACCACTGCTCAGTGAAATAAAAGAGGACACAAACAAATGGAAGAACATACCATGCTCATGGATAGGAAGAATCAATATTGTGAAAATGGCCATACTGCCCAAGGTAATTTATAGATTCAATGCCATCCCCATCAAGCTGCCAATGACTTTCTTCACAGAATTGGAAAAAACTGCTTTAAAGTTCATATGGAACCAACAAAGACCCTGCATTGCCAAGACAATCCTAAGCCAAAAGAACAAAGCTGGAGGCATCATGCTACCTGACTTCAAACTATACTACAAGGCTACAGTAACCAAAACAGCATGGAACTGGTACCAAAACAGAGATGTAGACCAATGGAACAGAAAAGAGCCCTCAGAAATAATACCACACATCTACAGCCATCTGATCTTTGACAAACCTGAGAGAAACAAGAAATGGGGAAAGGATTCCCTATTTAATAAATGGTGCTGGGAAAATTGGCTAGCCATAAGTAGAAAGCTGAAACTGGATCCTTTCCTTACTCCTTATATGAGAATTAATTCAAGATGGATTAGAGACTTAAATGTTAGATCTAAAACCATAAAAACCCTAGAATTAATTCAAGATGGATTAGAGACTTAAATGTTAGATCTAAAACCATAAAAACCCTAGAAGAAAACCTAGGTAATACCATTCAGGACATAGGCATGGGCAAGGACTTCATGTCTAAAACACTAAAAGCAATGGCAACAAAAGCCAAAATTGACAAATGAGATCTAATTAAAGAGTTTCTGCACAGCAAAAGAAACCACCATCAGAGTGAACAGACAACCTACAGAATGGGAGAAAATTTTTGCAATCTACTCATCTGACAAAGGGCTAATATCCAGAACCTATAAAAAACTCAATCAAATTTACAAGAAAAAACCAACCCTATCAAAAAGTGGGCAAAGGATATGAACAGACACTTCTCAAAAGAACACATTCATACAGCCAACAGACACATGAAAAAATGCTCATCATCACTTGCCATCAGAGAAATGCAAATCAAAACCACAATGAGATACCATCTTACACCAGTTAGAATGGCGATCATTAAAAAATCAGGAAACAACAGGTGCTGGAGAGGATGTGAAGAAATAGGAACACTTTTACACTGTTGGTGGGACTGTAAACTAGTTCAACCATTGTGGAAGACAGTGTGGCAATTCCTCAAGGATCTAGAACGAGAAATACCATTTGACCCAGCCATCCCATTACTGGGTATATACCCAAAGGATTATAAGTCATGCTGCTATAAAGACACATGCACACGTATGTTTATTGCGGCACTATTCACAATAGCAAAGACTTGGAATCAACCCAAATGTCCATCAGTGACAGACTGGATTAAGAAAATGTGGCACATATACACCATGGAATACTATGCAGCCATAAAAAAGGATGAGTTCGTGTCCTTTGTAGGGACATGGATGCAGCTGGAAACCATCATTCTCAGCAAACTATCACAAGAACAGAAAACCAAACACCGCATGTTCTCACTGATAGGTGGGAATTGAACAATGAGATCATTTGGACACAGGAAGGGGAACATCACACACCGGGTCCTATTGTGGGGAGGGGGTAGGGGGGAGGGATAGCATTAGGAGATATACCTAATGTAAATTAGGAGTTAATGGGTGCAGGACACCAACATGGCACATGTATACATATGTAAGAAACCTGCACGTTGTGCACATGTACCCTAGAACTTAAAGTATAACTAAAAAAAAAAAAAAAGATATACAACCTAAAAAAAAAAATAAAAAAGACTGCCTGCTTTTAAGAGGGATATTATAGACTATTGAGAAAAATACTCCTAAGAAGGTATGTATGTTTAAGTGGATGTATTCCATTCATATTACAACAAAATAACCTAAAGTCATTAAACAAAGTTCTCTGAAAGAACCCCCAATAACTTGACATAGGAAGTCTGTATAGATAAAAATGCCAGTTCACCCACCTGAGCTGAAAGGAGTAAGAGGATGGAGTAGTGAGGCTGGAAAATGACTACAGTTTGAAAAAAATGTCTGTCTTTAGTCACAGTGAAGAGGAGGGGATTTAAAGAAATAGTGGGTAGGCCGGGCACGATGGGTCACACTTGCAATCCCAGCACTTTGGGAGGCCGAGGTGGGTGGATTATGAGGTCAGGAGTTTGAGACCAGCCTGACCAACATGGAGAAACCCCGTCTCTACTAAAAATACAAAAAAGAAAAAAAAAAAAAAAAAAAAAAAAGCCAAGTGGGGTGACACACGCCTGCAATCCTGGTTACTCAGGTGTAAAGTGTGGTGACACACGCCCCACGCACGATCTGGCCGTTTACTCGGGGAGGCTGGAAGCAGGAGAATGCTTGAAAAAAAAAAAAAAAAAAAAAAAAAAAAAAAAAAAAAAAAAAAAAGCCAAGTGTGGTGACACACGCCTGCAATCCTGGTTACTCAGGAGGCTGAAGCAGGAGAATGCTTGAACCCAGGAGGTGGAGGCTGCAGTGAACAGAGATTGTACCACTGCACTCCAGCCTGGGTGACAGGGTGAGACTCTGTCTCAAAAAAAATAAAAAATAAAAATAAAAGAACATAAAATACTGACTCAAAAATACTCATTTTGTATTCACTCAAAACAAAAGCAACAATTTAGTCCAGACACAGTGGCTCATACCTGTAATCACAGCACTTTGGGAGGGCAAGGTAGGCGGATCATGAGGTCAGGAGTTGGAGACCAGCCTAGCCAACATAGGGAAACCCCATCTCTACTAAAAATACAAAAAAATTAGCCGAGTCTGGTGACACACCCCTGTAATCCTGGTTACTCAGGAGGCTGAGGCAGAAGAATCGCTTGAACCCAGGAGGTGGAGGCTGCAGTGAGCCAAGATGGCACCACTGCACTCCAGCCTGGGCAACAGAGCAAGACTGTCCCCAAAATTAAAATAAAATAAATAAATAGTGGCTTATTGACTCTTCTAAAATATTCTCAGAATTAGATATCCTGGCAGAATGAGAGCCAAGAGAGAGGGAAAGAAAGTGAACACAGGGAAGAGGAGATCATTGGACAGAACAAAGCCCTGAGCGGGCAACTGGTGATACTGGCGGCAAGGCTGGCCTTTTAAGGAGAGATGGGAAGGAGGGTGGTGAGGAATGGCGGCAGAGGCAGAGAAGTTTGTATCAGAGACAGGGAGAAAACGAGGTCATTCTCATATGATAATCTCCACCCTCTTGGTGAGGGAGGAAGCATAGCTGTCTGCTGAAAATGAGGGAGAGAAGCAAAAATTTCAAATCATTACTGAGGGAATGGGAGAGGGATCTATAGAGGAACCCACAGGATTGCTAGAAAAATGTCTGACTTAGACAAACTCTTCAGGCCTTAACTCCTCATCTATAAGGTGGGGATATTTTACATTCCTCAATAAGGATAAAACAAAATACACAAAAAGTGATTTGTACAGTATGAATGATACACAAGTATTATTGATGATGTCAAAATTTCTTCAGATTACTTTGAAATTTCATTCCCTTAATCCTCCTGACATACATAGTTGGACATATAATGTATCAATTATATGCATTTAATTATTTCACATGTTGTTATTTCTGCAGCCAGGCTCTAAACTATTTGCGAGCAGATGTGTTCCATACATCTGTGAAGCTTCAATTCTGGCTAATAAAACATTAGGTCCCCAGTAGGGACTTGGTAAATTCTTGTGGACTGGATTGATTCCCCAGTCTTACTGCGCGTCTGGCACTGTGCTGTGTGCTGGTGAATTTACTAGTATTATATTTTACAAAATGGGCAAATGGAGACACTAGTCATTCCATTTTAGACAAAATTAATTTTCACTATTGTGATCATAAATCTTATACTCTGGCTTGACCTATTTCATATTTCGGTATTTGCCATCTTTAAGACTTTTCCGTATAGAGTAAATGTTGATCAAGGGAAGAAAATGTTTCTACCTGGGTGCAGTATTCAATTCTCTCCAAAATGATGGCAAAGTTGGGCCTGTCTTCAGGCTGATGTTGCCAGCACTGAGTCATTATCCGGTATCTAAAAGAAGAAGCACATTAATTAAAATCAGGAGAAGCACAACAATGAAAAATATATTTTCTTCCAGCCCCAGGGTTGGAATGAATATGTTGAGGGTGGGAACGCATCTAGGCCCCATGTACTTGGCCTATGCTGCCCCCTGCTGATTGGTCAAGGAAGAGTGTGCAGGTGTAAAGGTATCTAACACAGACATCCTGATGTTTACGTTAACTACGGCTGCTCTCATTCCATTCCTGAATTAAAGCCACTTCGGGGACAGAATATTCCAATTACATTTCCCATCTGCGTTGCTTGTGGGAAGGAAGTGAGGGGTGCCAGGCAGGGCAGCAGACATTGCAGGGAATGGAAATCTTTAAAGTAGACACGGACATATGGTGTACGGCAGCAGGGCCTGGGCCACACGGGAGAGTCCACAGCCTGTAGCCAGACAATGGACACTTTTTCTGGGATGGCATCATTGCTTTTGAGGGCCTGGGAGACCCACCCATCTCATTGAAGTCGCAGTCACATTCCCATCTTGGGGCATATTAAAGGGAGGGCAGCTATCTACCCCTTCATCTTAAAGAAGCATATGTGACTCTGGATATTTTTTGAAAAGAAAAACTGCTTAGTAACTACTAGTAGAAAAGTTCCTAAGAGAGTCATACACAGGCCCAGGGCAGTTCTTGGGTGGGTCCATCCGGCCTCCACTGGTGACGAACTCCAGAACTTCCTGGTTGCTTTTGCTGGGATATGGCATATATCCGAGAGAAAAGATTTCCCACAGCAGCACTCCAAAGGACCTGGGCATGGGACACAGGACATGGAGATGGATATAGACACACCCACCCACATTCACTCACACACTCACACAGGCACACAGACATACAATTTCAACCCTTTTTTTTGTTTCATTATACCCTTGGCCATAATAGAGAACTCTTAAAACGTAGAAAACTTTTAAAAATAAGAAAATACTACATGTGATGCTCCCTTAAAAGACAACCACTGTTAATGTGTAAGTCGTTTCTGTGCTGAGATTTTTTTTCCACTTAGTCACAGTTATATTCAATATGCAATTTTGGACCTTGATTTTTCCGCACATTTCATTATAGCATAAATATTTTCCATGCCAGCACATATTATAAATAACATTCGGAATGGCTAATGGCTATAAAACATTCCATTGAGTAGTTGGTTTGCCTTATTTCCACATTGTTTTCAGTTTTCAAAATATTTAAAATACTATGATGAACATCTTTGTGCATTTTTTAAAGGGAAGATTTTAAGATAAAGGCTCTGAATTACTAGATTAGGAAGTACAGCCAGCTGATTCCGTAGTCTCTTGCAGTTCTCTGAGCTTCAGTTCCATCTATCAGATGCCCACTCATCAACTTCACTGGCCTATTTTAATAGGCAACTCAAATTTAACATGCCCAAATGGAACTCTTTCTGTACACACACCATCTCCTCCTTCATTCTTTTCCAACTCAGCAGCATCTCTGGTTATACGTTCAAGCCCAAAACCTAAGAGTCGTCCTTGATTCCATTCTCCCACACTCCTCCACTTCCCATCCAACAGTCAGCAGTCCTCTTAACTCTACTTTCAAGATAGGTCTTGAATCCAGATAGGATAATCTAGTAATTCAGGGTGGTTACTGAATTAAAATGTAGGATAGTTCTAGTAAAATAAATAGATCAAAAGAATATGAATGTTGACAAATTCTTGATACATACTATTTGGTTTCCAAATGTGTTATTCTGTTCATCTACCAGCACCATGTAAAAGCGTGGTAGACACACTCACCAGCATTGAGTATTCTTAATAACAACAACTTTTGCTGATTTTAAGGCAAAAAATGGTAGAATATTTTAAATTATGTTTATTGACTTGATAATTAACATGGTTGGATGTTTTCCCAAGTGTTTATTAATTCATTTCACTTTTTTCCTATGAATTGCTCATTTTTATGGTATCTATCAATTTTCTTTTTGATTTGTAGGCATTCTTTGTATGTCAGAGATGTTAACCTTTTATAAAAAATTCAAATGCTTTTATTAATTTCTTTCTTTTTTCTTCTTTTTTTTTTTGGAGATGTAGTCTTGCTGTTACTCAGGCTGGAGTGCAGTGGCGCCATCTCGGCTCACTGCAACCTCCACCTTCCAGGTTCAAGTTGATTGCCTGCCTCAGCCTCCCAAGTAGCTGGGATTATAGGTGCCCACCACAACGCCTAGCTAATTTTTGTATTTTTAGTAGAGACAGGGTTTCACCATGTTGGCCAGGCTGGTCTCGAACTCCTGACCGCAGGTGATCCTCCCACCTCAGCCTCCAAAGTGCTGGGATTACAGGTGTGAAACACCGCACCTGGCCTTAGTTACTTTCTAATGCTACTTTTTAGCATACCAAAGATTTTTATTTTGAGATAGTCAAACCTATTTTTTTAATGCCATGATTTCCTTTACTTTATAGTTATACAATCTTCCCTTCGCCAAAGATTAGATAAATATTTGCTATCTTCTTCTAGTTGTGTTTGTTTTTCCTCTCTTCTTAAATCTAGTTGGAATTTAATTTGGTGTCTAGTGTGAGGTAAGGACCTAAATTGATTTGCTTTTCAAATAATTACTCTTCTAACACTATGCATAAGATAATTTCCTCCTTACCCATTGACTCGCGATTAAAAACAGGTCTGTTTCTGGCGATATTTTCACTTCATCTATTTGTCTGCATCTTGCATTGATACCATTCTGTTTTACTTTTTGTGTATTTGTCTTAATATCTGATAAGGCATTTTTGTCTATTTCTCTTTAAAAAATATTTCTCATTTGTTGTTTTAAAAGCTTTATGAGATGAATTCTTCGTGTTCTAAAAGAATCACCTTTGATATTTTGATTAAAACTTTAAACCACTACTCTAATGATTAGCTTTTTGACAAAGACTATCTTTTAGTGTCTGACTGTAGTTTTCTGAGGTTAGCAAATATTACCACAAAAATTGTAGAGGAAAATAGTTCCTCCATCTTCTAAGAAACGTGGGGTGCTTTTATTGTCATCATCTGTGTGAAATTTCAAAGACTGTTTTGAGAAGGATTGGGCAAAGATATTTTCCCTATTTTTCAGGTGAGAAGGTTGAAGCAGAGGTTATTACACAACTAATCTGAGACAGACTGGAATACATTATTAGATCTCTTGATTTTGCTACCTACAAATTGCCTGGCACGTATATTCTTCCTTTCTGTTTGGCGATCTTACTTCCCTTCAAGGCAAAACTAACTAGGCAAAATCAAATGAGCAAGAAACTGGCAATAAGGCCTAAAGAATTACAGCTGTATGTTTTCCGCTTTTCTAGATACAGGTTATAGCATCCTTTGAGAGCACTAATAGAACTGCACATGGATATTTATTTTCTTAGAGTTCAAGGGAGCAATAAGTAGTATTGGTCATAGAACTTTGATAATTTCGAACAAGTAGGATTGTCCTATTTGCAAATAACAATACCAGATACCTAGTTAAATTTGAGTTCCAGATAAGCAACAAATAGTTTTTTTAGTATATGTATGCCCCAATATTTATACTAAAAAACTATTTGCTGTGCATCTGAAATTCAGTTTCACTGGCCATTTTGTATTTTATCTAGAAACCCTACAGATAGGGCAAATCTATATTTTGTATGCCAGATGGTTCTTTCATCACCTATAAGCCTGCCCTAAAAGGAGTGACAAAGTCCAAAGCTTTGCACCAGAGCATTTAAAATCAAATAAAGAGAAATAGATACATATATATATATATACACATTTAAAACTTCACTTTCTTTTTGTATTAAACTTGCTCTGCCTGAAATGATAGAAATAGCATACATCATTGCTGATTAAACTGTTAAACATTTGAATCAATGAAGATAACAATCTGATAAAAGATTTTAAAATAACAAGCTGCTCTGTGTCAGCCTTTAAAAGCCACATTTTTCTCCTTAATCATAACCTGAAAGGAGGTTATGATTAAAGAAAAAAAGCCATTGTGGAAGATGGTCTCCAGGTGTGATAGAGGGTATGCTCTTAGGAAAAGTGGGAGCCAAAAATTAATATCTTTAAATGTCCATCCAGCAGATTCCAAGATCTCACGCAGTTCTTTGAGCTTCAGTTTCATCTATCAGATGCCCACTCATTAGCTTCACTGGCCTATGTTAATAGGCAACTCAAATTTAACATGCCCAAACGGAACTCCTTCTGAACCCACACCATCTCCTTCTCCATTCTTTCCCAACTCAGCAGCACCTCTGGTTATGCATTTGTTCAAGCCCAAAACCCAGGAGTTGTCCTTGACTCCGTTATCCCACACCCCTCCACTTCCCATCCAACAGTCAGCAGTCCTGTTAACTCTACGTTCAAGATAGATCTTGAGGCTGGGCGCTGTGGCTCACGCCTGTAATCTCAGCACTTTGGGAGGCCGAGGTGGGCGGATCACTTGAGGTCAGGAGTTTGAGACCAGCCTGGCCAACATGGTGAAACTCCGTCTCTACTAAAAATACAAAAATTAGCTGGGTGTGGTAGCACAAGCCTGTAATCCCAGCTACTTGGGAGGCTGAGGTGAGAGGATTGTTTCAACCCAGGAGGCGGGGGTTGCAGTGAGCTGAGATGGCGCCACTGTACTCCAGCTTAGGTGACAGAACGAGACTCTGTCTCAAAAAAAAATAAAAGTCTTCAATCTGACTACTTTGCACTACCTCCACTGCCACCACCAAGCCACACCACTCCTCTCTTTCTCTCAGCTAGCAATGTGCAGGATTTTCTTAACTGGTTTCCTTCTTCACCTACCCGCCTCTAGTGTAAATTCAATGGCAGAGGGATTTTTTTTAAAAAAAGCAAAGATCATATCACACTCCTGCTTACAACCCTTCAACTGGCATCCCATGGTGTTTAGAATAAAATCCACATCCCCTCATCTGAGCTCCAAGGCCGTCTGTGTTGTGACCCATCTCTTCCACCCCTATTGGCCCTGGGCTCCCTTAGCTCCGACCATCAGGACTTGATTTAATTTCTCAGCAAGCAAGCTAGGCTCATTCCTGCCTCTGGCTGTTCACACTGGCTTTTCCTGCAGTCTGGAAAGCCCTTTTCCCAGATCTTTCCAAGGCCTGCCCTTTCTGTTTTTCAGGTATTGAAGTTACCTCCTGTGAGGAGCTTCCCCCCGCCCACCTTTGCCAAAAATCCCCCAGCTCCTCCTCCTTCTGCCTGATTGTCTTAGAGCACTTCCCAATCCCTGCAGCTATGTAATTTGTTTAAGCATTCCAATTGTGAAACAGTCAAAACTTTAAAAAGAACCAGAGTATCTATGTATCTAGATGTTAATCTTTTGCCTTATTTGTGTCAGCTCTCCCTTTCTTTATGAAGACTTAAAAGACAGGAAGACCCCACCTCCCTCTCTCCGCTCCCCTGAAGTTAGACTGTATCCTACCCTTGTATGTTTCACATTTTTAAACAATGCCTAAAAGCACGAACAATACTCTGTATTATAGACATTTTTTACATTGTAAAGTTATACATAAATGATATCCTACTCCTTTTTGTAATTTGCTTTTTCCCCACTGAACACTGTTTTTGAGATTTATCTATGTTGATACATGTAGGTTTAGTGTGTTCTTTTATACTGCTGAATAGTTTTCCATGATATAAGTAAACCACAGTTAATTTTTCCATCTCCTAGTTGAGGGGTAGTTGGGTTGGGTTTTGTTTTTATTTTTGTTTTGCTTTTTCTCGATTGTAAACAATGTTGCAAGTGAACATCCAGCGCCCAAGTCTATTTGTGTCATCTTCTCTCTAATACTTAAAAATAGGAGTGTTGGGTCACGGGATGTGCATGTGTTCGGGACAATTACTTAATTGCTTAAGTTATTCTCTGTCTCTGGATCCCATGGGTTGCTAGTGCTCTAACTTCACTGCATATCATATCAGAATCATCTGTTAAAACACAGATTGCGGAGTCCCACCCCTAGAGTTTCTGTTGTATTAGGCCTGAGGTGGGGGCTGAGGATTCGCAGTTCCCAGGTGGTGCTGATGGACCACACTTAGAGATCCACTGGGTTACGTTAAAACCAAATCTCACTGGTGTAAAAACAACAAAGGCTCTTGCTCTCATTATGTGACGCTGGTCAGAAAGGCAGCTCTGGCCACTCGTGGACACATCGTGTTATGACATGATCTCAGCACTGGGCTTTCAAAATGTGGAGGTTGTTCATTCATGCATTGTCTTCTTACGTTTCCTGTGGTGCTGTTAAGTGATTTGATGCCATTTGGATTCCTTATCTTTTATCACTAGTATTTTTTACTATTAATTTTTAAGTTTTTCTTCATGGAAGTTTGCAGGATCTTTATCACCATTGGCCTGAGGATATCCTTTTTTTTTTTTTTTTTTTTTTTTTTTTTTGAGAGACAGAGTCTTGCTCTGTTGCCGAGGCTAGAGTGATCTCGACTCACTGCAACCTCCGCCTCCCAGGTTCAAGCAATTCTCCTGCCTCAGCCTCCCAAGTAGCTGGGATTACAGGCACCCACCACCACACCCAGCTAATTTTTGTATTTTTAGTAGAGATGGGTTTCACCATCTTGGCCAGGCTGGTCTCGAACTCCTGACCTCATGATCCCCCCACGTTGGCCTCCCAAAGTGCTGGAATTTCAGGCATGAGCCACTGTGCCCAGCCAAGGATGTGCCCTTTTTATCCATGGTGATTGGCACTTGGTGAATTCTTTCATTCTGGAAATTTATGTCCTGTGCTAGGAAATCTTGAATGATTTCTCTGCTGTCTTTATTCTCTTCATTTCCTCTGTTCCTTCTCTCTGGGACTCCTATTTTGTCAGCTAATTGGACCTTTTGGTTTATACCCCTTAGTTTTTTAAGTAAAAAATTCTTATATTTTCCTATATTTCCCATTTCTTTTTTGGTTTATTTTCTGGAAGGTTTATTTAGCTTCACACTCCATCCTTTTCATTACTTTTACATTTCTGTCATCAAAGTTTTAAATAATAAGATTTGTTTTTTAGAACAGTTCAAACTTGGAAGAAACTGTGAATACAGAGTTCTCCTGTACCTCATACTCGATTCCTGCTACTTTTAGCATCACATTAGTATGATACAGTTGTTACAATTAATGAACCACAATTAAGGCATTATTGACTGAAGCCCATATTTTATTCAGCTTTCCTTAGTTTTCACTGAATGTCCTTTTTCTATTCCAGAATCCCGCTAGGATATCGCATTACATTGAATTCAATGTCCTGTTTCTTTAGGCTTCTCTTGACTATGACAACATCTCCGACTTTCCTTGCTTTTTATGACCTTGACAGGTTTGAGGATCTGGTCAGGGATTTTGTGGAATATTCCTCAACTGAGATTTGTCTGTTCTTCTCATGATTAGACTGTGGTTATAGGACATGGGGAGGAAGAAGTACCATTTTCATCACATCAGGGGTGCATACTGGCAACACGACCCAGTCCTGTTGTTGTTTTTGTTGTTGTTGTTATTATTATTATTATTATTTAAGATGGAGTTTTGCTTTTGTCGCCCAGGCTGCAGTAAAATTGCACAATCTCAGTTCACTACAACCTCCACCTCCCAGGTTCAAGCATTTCTCCTGCCTCAGCCTCCTGAGTAGCTGGGATTACAGGGGCCCACCACCATGCCCAGCTAATTTTTGTATTTTTAGTAGAGATGGGTTTCACCATGTTGGCAAGGCTGGTCTCGAACTCCTGACCTCAAGTGATCCACCTGCCTTGGCTTCCCAAAGAGCTAGGATTACAGGCATAAGCCATTGTGCTTGGCCCCTAGACTTATCACTGTTGAGGTGGACTTTGAGCACCTGGCTGAGGTTGTATTTGTCAGGTCTCTCCACTGTGAAGTTTCTTTTTCCTGTCTGCCCCAGCCCTATACTCTTTGGAAGAAAGTGAGAACACGCAGCCCACACAGGCTTCAGGGCAGCCCTACCCATCTCGAGGCTGCCTCTTATCACACTTGGATTTCCTTATCCTCCTAAAAGTATTGTTTAAAATAACCTTTTGTTGTCCATTTATGGTTGCAATAGTTTTTCTGATCTTTTGGAGGATATTATAGTTTTTAAAAAAAGTTTTCGTAAACTTTCTACATGTTTCTTCTTTCAAGTTCCTTTTTATATGTTTGTTTTCTTCAGATTAGAATATTTTCTCAAGTGTTTGTTGATTCTTGGTTGTCTGTTCATATTTTAAGACCGGGACATTAAGAAGCCATTGGAAAGTTCTGTGTAAGACATTGGCTGGTGGGCAGCTTGCTTGCTTGTTTCACTGGGTGCAATTTTCTGTAACTGCTGTAAAAACAAACAAACAAACAAACAAAAAACTACATGCTTGGTGGCTTAAAACAACATAAGTTCATTCTCTGAGAGTTCTGAAGGCCGGACTTCTGAAACTGGTATCACAGGACTGAAATCAAGGTGTCAGCAGGGCTGTGTCCCCTCCGGAGGCTCTAGGGGAGACTCTGTTCCCTGCTTCTTCTGGCTTCTGGTGGCTGCGGGACCTCCTTGAGTTGGGACCGCATCTCCAGTCTTGGCCTCTGTGCTCACACTGCCTCTTCTTTTGTGTGTATGAAATCTCCTGGTCCTTCTCCCTCATATGGATACTTGCGATGGCATTTAGGGTCCACCTAGATAATCCAGGACAGCTGCCCCACTCTAGGATCCTCAACTTCATCACATCTGCAAAGACCCATTTTTCTTATAAGGCAACAATTCTGGGCCTCTGGGATTAGGACGTCATACCTTCAGGCGGCCATTATTCAGCCCACTGCACCTGTGCCCCACTTGGCAGTGCTGTATCTGTAATTTTCTCTTCATCGGCCCTCCAAAGAGAAATGATCGGATCTCCTGCCCAGTTGCCAGTGTTCTTGGTGCTGAGGGGCCAGTGGGGGCCAGGACCAGAGAGAATTCAGTTCAGTCTCTTCAGGGAGAGAGCCCCAGTCTTGTGCTGATGGTAGATGAGGGACAGCCAGCAAGCTTCAGGGGTGAGGAGCTCAGCCACAGGATTTAGTTATTCCTTAAACAGACCTTTCATGAATTTTCCTGTTTGCTATACCTCCCCTTCTTTTCTTCCTCCCTCCCTCTCTTCTCTCTCCTCTCTTCTCTCCCCCTCCCTCCTACCCCCTCTTCCCTCCCCCGCTTTCTCTCTCTCTCTCTCTTTCTCCCTCTCTTGCTTGCCCAGGTTGGAGTGTATGGCATGATCATAGCTCACTGCAGCCTTGAATTCCTGGGCTCAAGTGATCCTCCCATCCAAGCTTCCAGAGTAGCTGGGACCACATGCGTGTACCGTGACACCTGGCTAATTTTTAAATTTTTGGTGGAGATGGGGCCTTTGCTATGCTACCCAGGCTGGTCTTGAACTCCTGGGCTCAAGCAGTCCTCCAGCTTCAGCCCACCAAAGTATTGGGATTACAGGTGTGAGCAACTGTGCCTGGCCTACACCCCTACTGTCAATTTCTGGGCCTTTCTGGGGCTCTTAGGCTGAAGGAACCAGCCCTGCTTCTGGATCTGGACTGTTGGTTTAGAGATCCACTTTCTAGTCTTCTCAGTAAGGTACCACGTGTTCATGACTTCTCAGTTTCCAAAATTTTGTCATTGTTGTGTCCTTACAGGGTTTAATGCAAATAAAAGACTCCCTTTATTGCGGGTGTGTGTGTGTGTGTGTACTTTGTGAAGGGCATGCGTTCAATCTGCCATTTAAAATTACATGTGACTGTTAATGTGTGGTCCTCCAGCCAGCAATGGCAGCATCACTCTGGGACTTGTTAGAAATGCAAATTCTCAGCTAGATCCCAGACCTTCTGAATCATAAATTCCCAGGGTAGGGTCCAATAATCTGAATTTTAACAAGTCTTTATGAATTCTGATATATGCTCACATTTGAGAACCACTGTTGTTGGGTGTATTGATTCTTCTCTTTTCCCTCCCTGCTAACACAGGGGCTCCCGGCTTAGAGTATGGAATCATTTGGCCCAGGAGCACCACCTTACGGCTGCAGGGATACCTGGAGGATGATAGCAGACTTACCATGTGTCTGTTTTAGAAGTGAATATTCCTTCCATGAAAGCCTCTGGGGGCATCCACTTAACTGGCAGCATCGCACAGCCTCCCTTTCTGTAGTAGCTCGCCCTGTGGGGAAGGAGAGGAAAACCAAACTAGGATCTGGAGATGGCACTAAGCATCCGCTCTGTCGGGAAAGTTGAGAAAGTGGGAACAATATAGTCTACCCATTAAAGGTCTGAAATTAACCAACGGTCCTTGGTGGTTCAGGAGGAGAGCAGGGGCATACAGATCTTTTAGTTAAGAACTTTGGTATCATTTAATAGAAGACAAAATAACCCATGAGAGGCATGAGAGGAATGATCTATGCAATGACTAAGATACGTGCTAGCAGATGTTTAGCTTTCCCTGTTGGGTTTTGTTTGTTACAGCTCACAATGAATAACATTACTGCAACCTTATAAGTATAGTGTGTTTCTGATGATCTGCAGTAATGCAAGATCCAAAATGGGAGAACTGAGAGCAGGGCTTGTGTCTTAATCATTTTGGATCCTCTGACACTCACAGCATTTAGTTCAGTGCAGGCAATCAACCAGTAATCTAGACAGCTGTGTGGACCCTGCCTGCCATGACACACCCAGACAAAAGACCACAGGGCTAGGCGTGGAGTTGGCTTGCAAGGTAGATGAGTTAATTTACTAGTTTTCATCAGTAATGTCTTTAATGCAACTCACTGATAAAAACCAATAAATTAACTCATCTGCCTGTTAGGCCAGTTGCATGTCTAGCCTGGTGTTCTCCTCTCTGAATGTGTTACAGGAGGCAGCTTCCTGCCAGCTGTTGACATTAATTAATTACCTCAGTAAATATGTACTGAATATTTAGTATGTATCAAGTACTCTGCCATGTGCTGAGGACATAAATAGGCCAGTCTCTGTCTCCCAAGGATATTGTTTGGTGGAAGAAATGGATATATATGCATTGCAATATAGAACAACACATACAGTAATGCAGGTATGTGCAAGGCCCAGTGACACAAATGAAGAATGGATTCATTCTACTTGAGCAGGGGTCAGGGACGGGGAAAGCTTCACAGAAGGGCACTGATGGAGCTGAGGAGGAAAGATGCTCTCCCAGAAGACCATTCCTGACCCGTGCCATTGCACAAAGTATAGAGTAGGTGGGGAACGAAGGACTGTAGATAACTTCGGGTGGTTGAAGCCTGGAGCTGGGAGCTGTCAGAGCTGAGCCTGGGAAGGAAAAGTCAGATAACAGAGGGCCTGAGGAGTCATGCTGCAGCATTTGTATTTGAAATGCGAGGCAGTCCCAGGGTATTCTTAGGAAGGAGAGGAAGGAACGCTGAGCTTGTGGGTAGCGTTAGAAGGTGAAGTGGAGCAAAGGAGAGGAGTACGACAGATAGCAGTGGTAGACGCTCCAGAAACGTCTTTACTACATCTTCCATGTGCTGCTGCCCCGTGGTAACGTGACAGCCTCAGCATGCTCACCCCTCTGGGGACTGTTAACCATGTTTGACTGAGGCCTTGAGGGGAGGTGTCTGGATCAGTCTGACTTACTCTCCAAAGAGTTAAAGCTCCATATAACCACTGCTCCTCTCTCTACCCCTGTGAGTTAGGGAAGGGGTCATCCCATGCAAGGACGGACTTGCTCACCTCACATAGCAAGTCAGTGTTGTAAATAATCAGGGGAAAAAAAGGAACTAGGGGCTGGGAAGAGAAGAGTGAGCAAAAGTACAATTAAAGTAGTATTAGCTTTTAAAATTGAAGAAAATGTTTTTAAATGCAGCCTTGAAAATGTGGCAGGGAAAAAAAAGTAAGGCTGTGTTAGGTACTGATGGGTTCTGCACTGTACTCCACATCTCCTGGGGTGGCTAAAGCTGAGCAATGAGCTAGGGCCTGCATTCTGCCCGATCTGGGATGCAGGTGCTTGGGGTGATAGAAGCCATAGCCACTTAGAATTCCTGAGGACTGAGAAGAGGAGTTGAGGAAGTTCAATAAAGTTCGCTTTGAAGGTCTTTCCACATCAGGTATCCAAGTTATCCCATGCCTCAGAGCATGGCCGGATTAGAGTTGGAACCGATGGACAACCTAATTAAGAACTTGGTGTTGGCTGGGCATGGTGGCTCACACCTGTAATCCCAGCACTTTGGGAAGCTGTGGTGGGCAGATCAACTGAGGTTGGGAGTTTGAGACCAGCCTGACCAACATGGAGAAACCTCATCTCTACTAAAAATACAAAAAATTAGCCGGGCATGGTGGCGCAGTAATCCCAGCTACTCAGGAGGCTGAGGCAGGAGAATTGCTTGAACTCGGGAGGCGGGGGTTGTGGTGAGCCGAGATCGCGCCATTGCACTCCAGCCTGGGCAATAAGAGCAAAACTCCGTCTCAAAAAAAAAAAAAAAAAAAAAAAAAGAACTTGGTGTCAATTATTGCAGGAAGTGTGATCCTGGATTTAGGCCTTCAGGCATGGTCACTAGTTCAGGTTTCCCATATCCTGAAAAGGAACTTAATGAAATTTTATGTGGAAAGTTGACAGGGTACCAGGAGATGATGTAAGGGACAAGCAGCCACACCCCATTCGCTTGAGGGGCTGAGGTGGAAGAGACAGGCCTCAAGGGGTGAGGCAGTCTTTACTCACCTGTAGATGTCTCGGGCCATCCCGAAGTCTCCAATCTTGGCCACTCTTCCAGGGCCTGGACAGGTCAAGAGGCAGTTTCTGGCCGCAATGTCTCTGGGAAGAAAGAAAATGCATGTCCTAATTTTATCCCTAGGAAGATAAGTATACTACGTCCATCACTAGGATTTTATCTCCAAGCTGAAGTTTAAATAGTTCCTTCTCCTCCCTATATTTCCTTTAGTATAGTATTCTTCAGTGTGAGAGACACAGCCTTAACAATTCTAGGCCTCACAACTACAGAGAAATGGAAAAGGATTAGGGGAAATGATTAAAAATGTTGAATGGGGCAATCATAATGAAATGCAATACACTAAGAACTAGGATTTATTGGCCTTTTACTATGTGCTAAGTGTTGTTGTAAGTGCTTCATATATAATTCTCACAACAACCCTATAAGACACAAGGTGCTATTACTGTCCTCATTTTATTTTTTAAAAAGTAAGCTAAAAGTAGATAACATAGGGTCATAAGGAATGTTATTTGGCCTTAGGCAGATTTGGAACAAACCACTGGCTGGTTTCTGCCAGTTGTTTGGAAAAGTGTTTTAGAACACCATGACTTCCCTGAAATCAAATTCAAGTAGATTAAGATATTTACAAATATTTCTAGTTTTTTGTTTTGTTTTGTTTTGAGACGGAGTCTTGCGCTGTCGCCCAGGCTGGAGTGCAGTGGCGCGATCTTGGCTCACTGCAACCTCTGCCTCCCGGGTTCAAGCAATTCTACTTCACCCTCCCAAGTAGCTGGAATTACAGGCATGTAGCACCACACCTGGCTAGTTTTTTGTATTTTTAGTAGAGACAGGGTTTCATCAAGTTGGCCAGGCTGATCTTGAACTCCCGACCTCAGGCGATCCACTTGCCTCGGCCTCCCAAAGTTATTATTATTATTATTATTATTATTATTATTATTATTTTAAATAAGCCATTATGGTTCTTTTGTCCATGATTTTATCTAAAGCCTTTGCTAAGCTACATGGCTGAAGAATCGCTTCTTTCAGGTGATAAAAAGTTGTCATGTCTGCTGTTGACTCTAGATGACCTGCTTTCCTGTGGCCTGTGCCTGAGGCATGGTCAACCATTGTCCAAGACTCATCAGCTTCTACTGTCTGACTGCTTCCCGTTCTGGTCATGCATGTAGGAATGAGGGATACAGCCAGAAGAAATCTAGGATGGGTCTCTAATAATATTAAGGTTCCTGTGCAGAAAAAAACAAGATGTACTTAGGGAGCACAGCTGCTGTTTTCATGTTCAACTGGTTTCATGATGGTTCTGATCCTAGGCTGAGAAAAGACTTAGAGAATCAACTGGCTGCCAGGATAGTATTTAAAAAATAGGATCTTGATTGGGGATCATGGCTGAGGGTACAAGAATAATGGGTTCAGGTAGGAGATTCATGTTGTTAATACTGCTGACCTGATCCAGAAGGTTTAAGTTGAATTTTGAGGTGGTGTATAAAATGCCCCCATAAAACCATACACGCATAACACATATGACATCAAAAAGGAAGAAAAATAGTTGGCTGTATAGCCATTAATTCTCAAGAGAAATATAGCAAAGTAGACCAGGAATAATATTTATGGCTCCAGGAAAGTCTTTACACTGATGCGTATGGAATGGTTGCTTTAAAAAGTGATCGTGAATTTCATGGCAAGAAGGTAAATGCAATATACAGAACATACCAAGAGTTGGGAGAATGACACATCATTCATGAAATGGCAATAAACCATGTCCAAAGGAAAAAGATCTAATTTTTTTAAAAAATGGAAGCATGTGGATCTGGTAAGGAAGTTCCACTCTGAATTCCAAAAGCGTAAAAGTATACATGTGTGGAAGTCCATGAATCTTAAGAGCAGATAAAGGGTGGAGGGAGAGAGAATTCGAGGCAACTCTGTTGTGGGTAGGTACCATAGACCTCTTAGCTAGTTAGAACATGTAAAAGACGTTTTTTCCATACAAATGACCAAATTACCCCAGAAGAAAAGCTTTGATTGAGATGGACAATTTCTGCCAGAAGTTTTCTTTTGCTTAAAACAGATCATCTGATACCTTCTTGATTTGGTGTTTGACAATTTAATTTCTTAAAAAGGAGAAAAGAGCAATAAACAATTGCTCTGGGATCTAATTCCAACCTTCAGTAACTATTTCTAGGTATGGAAGTGACAGGAGTCTTGAGGGAATGTAATCCTGTTAACATCATAACAACAGAGCATTGGGTATCATCGAAATGTCTTGTGGCTGTAGGAAAGCAGATGTCAAAAGGTCAGAGGACAAATGGAAATGATCCCTCAGCCAGAGAATCTGTATGCTCTGGTGACCAACGTGGGCAGAGATCCAAAAAAAAGAAAAACAAAGGAGAAAAGATCCCAATGCTAAGTGAAGGAAGACATCTGGTCACCAAGGTGACACAGGTTGCTCTCAGAGGAGTCCACACTTAAAGCACATGGACGAAAGATGGAAAGATGACTCTAATAAAGGATGACTTCAAAACGAGCACAGCTTTGTCTCGACTGAGTAATGGAATGGCAAAGCCCAGAGTTGAGATTTATGGAAAGTTCTGGGTACAACGCAAAGGACAAGAACAGGGCTGGGGAGCGGGGGAAAGGGCTGAAAAATGACCTTAAAAAAAGAACTGATACACTCTTAGAAGCAGCAGATGGTGGAGCTGCTCCTGGCTCCTTTTTTGCTTTCATTATTTCTATGAAGCAGCATGACCTGCAAGTTGGAAAGGGTTAGAAGCTAGAGGGAGAACTGAAGGCCAAAAGGATGAAGTGACAGTAAGAGGATAAACTCTTCTGAGAGTTGATTGCCTCATGTTAGGAGTGACTTTGGAACTTAGGCAGGTGTACTTCCTGACCCCTCGTTTCCCCGTTTTTATTAGGGAGAAAGCATAGCTTGTTATATATTTACATAATTTTCTATTTCTTTCTTTTCTTTTCTTTTGAGATGGAGTTTCGCTCTTGTTGCTCAGGCTGGAGTGTAATGGCGTGATTTCGGCTCACCACAACCTCCGCCTCCTGGGTTCAAGTGATTCTCCTGCCTCAGCCTCCCAGGTTGCTGGGATTACAGGCATCCTCCCCGACCATGCCCGGCTAATTTTGTATTTTTAATAGAGATGGGGTTTCTCCATGTTGGTCAGGCTGGTCTCGAACTCCCAACCTCACATGATCCTCCCTCCTCGGCCTCCCAAAGTGCATGATAAAATTACAGGCATGATAATTTTCTATTTTAAGCTCTTACAGCATCTCTCGTTTCCTATTTTGTACTTACATATTTTAATGATTATGAACATGCCTTAAACTCTTTGAAGACATGTGTTAATAAATTATTGTGAGTTCACCAAGTTATTATTTACTACATTAGAGGCAAATCATTAAGGAAGAGCTCTGCAAAAAGCCTGCTGATCTGTTTTAGTTTTCTGATTTCAAGTCATCAGGTTTCACAAGGAAAGACATACATGATATATGATGTTCATAGCATGATGTCCCAGTCCCTACAGCTTTTAAACACAAGAATGATTATAATAGAAGAAATGAAGTATAGAAGCAATGAAAATCATCATTATGCTTCATTTCAGAGTATTTTAGAAAAAAATAATATATCCAACAAACATTGTGTCCCCATTATATGCCAGGTATACAAAGATGAATACAACAGCATCCTTGCCTGTAAACCACCCATTGTCAAAATGCAATTCCTTAACTTCCCCATATGGAGCCCACTTTTCTATGGGGGGGAAGCCTTAAAGTGATATGGGACTTGAACATTCAAGATACAGGCAGGGGGCCTCACAGGAGGTTAAGAATTAACTTATAGGTCTCCAGCCCTGGCAAGGATATTTTATAACACCTGTTTTAGGTAAGGGGCAAGTGAAACCCTGATAGAATAAGTTACCATCTCAAAGACAAAGCTGAAGGGGCCAGGAGCCATCGCTCATGCCTGAAATCCTAGCACTTCAGGAGGCCGAGGTGGGAGGATTACTTGAGCCCAGAAATTCGAGACCAACCTGGGCAACAAAGTGAGACCCTGTCTCTCACAAAAACAACAAACCAAAGCTGAATCATCCTACATCCAAACATCCCTGGAGGGAGACCTAGTGATGTGAGCCCTTGAGATCTGCAGGAAAGCACACAGACAGCGACAGGATGACAGGAAGAGCACGGTCACTTTGACTCACCGGTGGATGAAGTGGTTTTCCTCCAAATACTGACAGCCACAGGCAATGTCCCGAGCCACGTGCAGAAGGTCCAGCATGGCCAGGGAGGAGGGCTGGCTCTGTGGGGTGAGAGAAGTGGGCCACTGACGAGGAGCTTGTCAGTGAGAGGAGGGAAATCGGAAACACTGGCTTCCAGTGCTCACAAGGAGGCAGACCGTGAACGTGCAGCTACACCAGGGGCCTTGGCCCTGGCTGCATATTGGAAATCACCTGGAGGCATCTGAAAGAATTTGGATTCCTGGGCCTCAACCCAGACCTCTCTAAGTGGGCACAGCATTTGTATATTTGAAATCTTCCCAGGTAATGTGATGCTAGCGTGCAGCGAAGGCTCGGAGCACCCAGACTCTGGGAAGCCAGGTTGGAGCAGGTGTTCTTTCGTTTTAATTTATTGTGCACATTCTCTCACCCCAATCTTCATAAGCATTTGAATACCCCCAATTTATAAACAAGTTTGGGAGGAAACCACGGGGGAATAGGGCAGTTTTTAAAATCCTCGATTTAAATGTCTTAAAATATTTCTTAAAACTAATTTTCTTCAAGCAGATCCAGCGCTAAAATTGATTGAAAAAGAAAAGCTTTTGGGAAATGCTGGGCAATTATGAGCTATCGCAAGCTTTTCTGCATGAGGTCTCTCTCATGCAAAAGGAGATGTCACCTCCCTACCCCTCTGGGGACATCCCATCTTGGCTTCCTGGACAGCCTTGCTGAGCACAATGAAGCCTTTTCAGAAGGAGACATCCCATCTTGGCCTCTCTTTTAATTCCTAAATCCCTGACGTGTGCGGCAGCTCAGCCTCATGCAGTGTCCGAGTCACTATGTTGTTCCATGTTGATTTCACCATTTCCCCAAGTGACGTTGTTGAAGTTCCAGAGACAGGGATCTCACCCTCCCTCAGCACCCAGCACACGCACACTCTGGGGGTTCAGTGAGTGTTGGGCGGCTGATTGGTTGATTACAGCCCCAGGCCAGGATTTACCTGGAGGAACGTGATTCACCTACCTACTCAGGAAAGCTCATGCAGGTAGGGTGTCAGATCCACCCCTTTAGGGCTGCCCCAAGAAAGGTGTTGAAGCTGGTGACTCTTGAGCACCTGGGCAAACTCCCTGCAGGAAATTCATGCTTGTAGCTCTCCTGTTTTGCTCTTCTTTCAAAGGGTGGGCTGAGGACTGGGCTCTTTAGTCCTGAGATGCTCACAGGGAAGTCACCTAGCCAGGTGGCAGCAGTGGAACCAGGTGGGGTCTGGGTACAGGCTTAGCCTGCTGGGGATTTTCTCTGCCATAGATCAGGGCCTCCCCAGGACTCTGTGGAGCAATGGCCTGGGTCTGGTGGAGGCAGAACAGTCTTGCTTCTCTAGGCCATGCTTCAGTTCTAGGGGATAAAACGGAGAGTGGATAGTACCCCTACTGGTGCCTGACATTCCCCAGAGCACACACATGATCTGCTGTGTGGTACGTCTGGAAGAGAAGGTGATCTCCATATTAAAGATGAGAAGGCTGAGGGCTCAGAGAGGCTAAGTGACTCACCCCAGGTCACACAGCTAATAAGAGTGGAGCCAAAGCTGCCCGGAGATGGGCTTTAAGGATCTGGGTCAGGAGAGGCATCCTCCCTCCTCCTTGGGAGAGGATCTAAGGAGTTAAAATGGAAGAGAGAGTGCCTGAGCGGGGACGGAGTGTATGTGAATACGGTGCCCAACGCACAGCGAATGCGGAGTACAGCACCCACAACGGCAAACACCACACTTCAGTGGACCATCGAGCCGACCCGGGCTGCAGCCTGCTGGCCCCTTCCAGGCCATGTGGTCTGGGGCTGGCTGCTCAGCCTCTCAGAGCCACAGTTTAATTTGTGACAGTGGCGTGGGACTGTCGGCCTCCCTGGGTTGTCAGAAGCACGATGCCAGCAGCCTCGGGCAGTGCCTCATCAGGGGACCCGAGGTATTGAGGGGTTGCCACATGGGAGGCCAGGGGGACTCGGAAAACAGCTCCTTGTGTCTGGCTCTCCAGAGGCCTCCTCAGGAGCAGAGGTACCCCCTCTGCCCCTAACGAGAAATAAATACCTTTTCGCTCTTCAGGAACGTGCCCTCTGTCCCTACCAGAGCAGGCCCTGGTCCTAGCTGTGCTAGAGCCTTCAGGAAGATTCTCTTCCTGCCGGTATCTTTGCGTCTTAGTGCGCATCACTCAGGATGCAAGGGCCATAGATGTCTCGTAAGCCCCAGGAGCCTGGAGCGCTGTGGGGACTAAATCTCTCCGGGCATTAACTCATGGGCCAGGCTGATGTGACTCCCTGTCCTTGGCTGCTCAGAGCAGATTAACTGCTCCACTAATGAGCGTGCGCAGGGCAGGCGGTCAGCAAGCATGGGTTATGGGGGGTGTGTGGTGTGTACGTGTCTGTGGTGTGCGTGTATGTGGTGTGTGCGTGTGGTGCGTGTTGTGTATATATGCGTGTGGAGTGTGTGTTTTGTGCATGTGTTGTGTATATATATGTGTGTGGGGTGTGTGTGTGGGGGTGTGTGTGGTGTGGTGTGTATATGTTTGTGTTTTGTGTATTGTGTGGTATGTGTAGGGTGTGTGAGGTGTGCGTGGTGTGTATGTGTGTGTGGGTGTATGTGTGTCTATGTGGTATATATGTGTGGTGTGTCTGTGTGTGTAGTGTGTGGTGTGTATATGTCTGTGTGGTATATATGATGTGTGTTGTATATGGGTGTGTGGTGTGTGCGTGGCATGTGTGATTGTGTGGTGTGTGCGTGAGTGTATGTGGTATATGGTGTGGGTGTGTGTGGTGTGTGTATGGCATGTGTGATGTGTCTGGTGTGTGTGTGAGTATATGTATGTGGTATATATGTGGTGTGTGTGGCGGGCGTGTGTGCGGAGTGTGTTGTGTATATGTGAGGTGTGTGTGTATGTGTAGTGTATGTGGTATATGTCTATGTGGTGTGTTTGTGTGTGGGGGGCGTGTGTGTAGTGTGTGCTGAGGCAGGAGAATCACTTGAACCGGGTAGTGTAGTGTGTGTGTTGTGTGTATGTGTGTGGTGTGTTTTGTGTGTGTGTTGTGTTTAGATGTGTGTATGTTTTGTGTATGTAATGTACGTGTGTGGTGTGTGTTTTTTGTGTGTTGTGAATATGTGTGGTGCCTGTGATGTGAGTTGTGTATATGCATGTGGTGTGTATGTGTGTTTTTTTGTGTGTGGCATGGGTTGTGTATGTCTGGGAGGGGCTGTGGGCATGGGTGGGGTGGGGGTGGGAGGACCTGTGGACATTGGCAAACCCAATGCTGAATCTAGACTCGCAGAGCATCGCCAGCCAGTGCACCCATCTGCATCCCTCCTGGGGCAAAGAGTTGGAATCAGGATTTTATCCCCATCTGCCACTGGAGAGCGGCACTTCCTCGGACCCAGCTGTTCTCATGGCCATGGTTGTGGGCCTTGCTATGGGTGCTCCCCATGGTGGGTTTGCGGGATGGAATTGGAAGATCAAGTAGGCGTGGGTGCTGCTTGATGGGAATGATCAGAGTCTCTGCTGCCCGCCCGTGTGGATGAGAGTCCAGGGAGGGAGTGCCGCGGCTCTGAGGGCTGTCTGTGCATGGGTTCTTCTGAGAGCACATGTGAGTGGGAGGCCCCTAGGGCACTGGTGTTCCCTTCAGGGATGCCCTTTAGGTCAGTATCCTACTTTTACTGTTGAGAAAACAGGAGTGATTTGTTTGGTATCACAGCTTCTGAGGGGCTATTCCCAAAGGATAATATATTCTAAAAATAAAATAGAATAATATTGAGATTGCTTCCTTTCTAAAGCATTAATAGCTTCTCCCTAAGTATTCAGAGATGAACCATCACAGGACAAAGGGTAGGAATCCTTTTGCCAAGTGAAAAACAGAATAGGATTTTTCTTTTTCTTTTTTTTTTTTTTTTTTGAGGTGGAGTCTCGCTCGGTTGCCCAGGCTGGAGTGCAATGACGCAGCTCACCGCAACCTCTGCCTCTCAGGTTCAAGCGATTCTCCTGCCTCAGCCTCCCGAGTGCTGGGATTACAGGTGCCCGCCACCAGGCCTGGCTAATTTTTGTATTTTTAAAGTAGAGATGGGGTTTCACCACGTTGGCCAGGCTGGTCTCGAACTCCTGACCTCAGGCGATCTGCCCGCCTCAGACTCCTAAAGTGCTGGGATTACAGGTGTGAGACACTGTGCCCGGCAGATGTTTTAAAATTGATGCATATAAAGATGAGAGGGAATGATAAAAAAGAGGCAACGAATGCAGACGGGGAACATAAACAAAGTGCAGAAGAAGCCCACTTTGAAAAGCGGTGAGGAATGGCCAGGTGCAACGGTTCATGTCTGTAATCCCAGCACTTTGGGAGGCCGAGGCGGGCAGATCACCTGAGGTCAGGCGTTTGAGACCAGCCTGGCCAACCTGGTGAAACCCTGTCTTTACTAAAGATACACAAATTAGCCAGGCATGGTGGCACATGCCTGTAATCCCAGCTACTCGGGAGGCTGAGGCAGGAGAATCACTTGAGCCGGGGAGGCAGAGGTTGCAGTGAAGCGAGATTGGGCCACAGAGCCTGGGCAACAGAGCCAGACTCCATCTCAAAAAAAAAAAAAAAAAAAAAAAAGCAGCGAGAAGTCCCCACTTTTCCTTGGCACCAGATGTCCCTTATGTGTTTGGAGCCAGCATTGCCATCGTTGGTCTCTTGCCTGTGGACTGTGGACCTCTGGAATCCAATAAGCCAACTGCATTCTGAATGTCTTCCATACAGCCACTACCCACAGGCATTGCCATGTCCCAAATAGTCATGGACACTGTTGTGATTAATGACCCACACCTTTATAAAGAGATTACTGAATTCTTAATGGCTTTTGTCATTATTGACTGAATTCATGGATACTAAAGTACAGCTCTTACCTATCCCTGGCATATAGGAAGCCCTGCATAAATATTTACTGAATAAATATTGGGTCTGTAGAATTTTTTTGACATTAAAAAGGGATCTTCATTCCCGAAGAGGTGGAGTCCTGGGACCAAGTGCTGTTTTCATCTGTACCCACGCATTTAGTTTCCATGACAGGCACGGCTGACCTGGGCATCCACTCTGTCTACCGCATCTGCACGTCTGTTCTGTCATTTCATGTTTGCACAGATGTTGTTGGAGGCCAGAGCCTTTTATCCCATCTCAAAGGGCCTTTGATCCTGATCTAAGGTCTGTGGAGCCACTGAGCTCCAGAACTGGCAGGAAGTGAGGACAGAGACCTTGTCTGATTCTGCACCCCAAGCCTGGTGCCTGCACACAGTAGGTCATCAGGGAACCCCTGGGAGTATCAGGGTGATTCCAACAAGTGAATCAGGTGGAATTCAGGCCTCTGAAGTCCGAGTTTCAGCATCTGGAGGCATACCTCCACCCACTTTCTCTTCACAGCACGTTTCTCCATCCCTCATGTCCCTTGGCCGATTCACCCTCTTTTATCCTGTGTAGGATTTACTGATATTAGTCCTGTCTGTATGCTGGAAATCACATTCCTTTTTCACAGTCCACTGAATCCTTATCTTACAAAGTTGGATTTTGTGACCCTGAGAATCTGTGCAGGAAGCCCAGCTAAGCCCCAGGGAAGCTGCTGCCACCAACACATCCGCATTGGTGGCTCTGGAGGACCACAATTGGACATTTGAAATCAGCCAAGGATCCCAGGAAGGACAGCTCACCTGGGCCTGGTGGGTATATGGGAGGCAGGGAGGACCATGACTGGGGTGCTGCTGGAGTGTGCCTGGTTGGCAATGAGAGCCACACAGAGGAAAAGCGGGGCCAGGGGTTGAAAGAGTAGATTGGGTGAGGGTGGGACTCTGGCCCTGAGAAGTGGCTCTTCCAAGGGCAGGCCCCCTCCCCACTGTGGGCGACCCTCAGGTAGTGCCTGCTGTTAGAGGGCAGAACGTGGGGACAGGCTCCTGTTCAGACTCTCCAAGGGCGGCACTCTGGGTTGGGGGTGGTGAGAGATTGAATGATCTGCCTTTCCTTGCTGGACTTTGTTCTTTGTAATAATATTGGAATCATCTTTCATCATCAAAGGAGAGAGATGCCTTTGTGTTTGAGAGAGGGAGAGAGAAAGGGGAAGAGAGAGAGAGGGGAAGAGAGAGAGAGAGAGAGAGAGAGAGAAGGCCCACTCCTCACTCCTGCCCTCTCCTGCCCCTGAAGTCCTTGAACTTGCCAAGTGCTGGGCTCCCAGACTCCCTTTGCAAAGTCTCTCTCCTTTGCATACATACGACTTTCTCTTCTTGAGCCTCAGGAAGGTCCAGCGGGAGAACCAGGGCTGTGCCTCTCCCCAAAGTGTGATACCACGTGTCCCCCACTGACAGCAGTGCTGCTGAGAATCTCAGGGCATGAGGGTCAAAGGCTCTGCCCTCCTAGGTGGTGGTGGGAAAGCCAGTGAATCTGATGCTTGTACCCTGGCAGAGATGCCGGGATGCCTGGCAGTGTTGGCTTTAAGCACCCAACCTCATCTTGATGGTTTACAGTTTCCCAGAGGGGACCACTGGATAAGCAGTAAGTTGGAGAGAGCACTGAATCAGGAGTCATAAGGCCTGAGTTCTAGTCCCAGCTCTTCCACTTCCTGTGTGGCCACGGCAAGTCCCATAATCTCTCTGGGCCACAGCTTTCTCATCCATAGAACTGGGGAGAGATCTGCATCGTCTGTTCACAGGGTGGTGTTGAGAAATGTGAAAGGTCTGAGGAGGATGCTAGCTGACGAGGGCTCTTATGAGATAGGAGTACTCTTTATCTCCCTGCTCCCTGCCCAGTCCTCCTGCCAGGTATGCTCCGGTGCACACACATTCCTCTTCTGAAGGGGTAAGACAGTATTCTTCTTAGATACCGAGATGGGTCACCCAGTGGCTAAGGTGAAGGTATTCTACATGGATCCTGACTGAAGGTGGAGATCAGAACAGCCATGACCTTGCAGGGCTTCCATCACCACTTTGAGTCCCTGTGAGCAGTGTGGTCAGGTTGGGCTTTCTGGAACCACTGGCTGTTGGTCCTTCCCTGCTTTCCTGGGGGCGGGAGGGTGGCCGCTGCTTTTACTGTGCAAGGCTTCCCTGTGATCCCCACAGTACAGTGGTTCCTGGAGGAAGCCTAGATCCTAACCCTGGGGCCTGCTCAGTTCCAGTTCCTGGTACCCAGGGCCTGCTGAAGACCTGCAGACCAAGCATGGGCAGCTGGGCTCTGGGTCTGCCCAGGGTGCTATGTTTAATAATTTAGAACCACCTTCGAGACGTTCTAGTCCAATCCTCAAATCTCACCCGTGAGTTTACCCAGGTTAAAAGTTTAAGACTGCCCTAAACCACATGGGTGTCTAATGGCCAAGTTGGGGCTGGAGCTTGGGATTCCTGGGTCCACCCTGGGTATCTTCACTTCCCAAGCTCTGTTAACCATAAGATGTGTGTAGCACCTTCCTAAATATGAGTTTGGAATGTCCAGGCATTATTATCCCTACTTGAGACATGAGGACAGTGGGCTCTGAATGAGTAACTGCAGAGTGACCTGCCCGGGTCAGTTGCTTGAGTAGTGACATGGCTGGCATGAAAGTTCCCCTCTGTGTTTGTCTCTAGTTTGGTTTTCCAGAGTCAGCAGGCCGTGAGAATGGATCCAGGCTATAGAATGCAGATAAGGTTTGGATTTGTGTCCCTGCCCAAATCTTACCTTGAATTGTAATCCCCATTGTTGGAGGAGGGGCCTGGTGGGAGGTGAGTGGATCATGGGTGGATTTCCCCCTTACTGTTCTCATGATAGTGAGTGAGTTCTCATGAGATCTAGTTGTTTAAAAGTGTATAGCACTTCCCCCTTCATTCCCTTCTTTCTGCTCCAGCCATGTCAGATGTGCCTCCTTCCCCTTCACCTTCTGCCATGATTGTAAGTTTCCTGAGGCCTCCCCAGCCATGCTTCCTGTACAGCCTGCAGAACTATGAACCAATTAAACCTCTTTCTTTATAAATTATTCAGTGTCAGGTAGTTCTTATATAAATGAAAGAATGGACTAATACAAATGCATTGCAGGAGCCTTGAACAAGCTCCTTGGGCCTGGGGCTTAGCAATCATCTACCTCTGTCTTCTGTTCATTCTCTTCCAGTTAGTCACCCCCCTATCCAAGCCTAAAGTTGACTCCCTGGGTTCCACTGAGGAACTTGCTACCCAGGCTGCCCACTCTTGCTCCTTCCATCCTTGCTCCTGTCCTTGGCACAACAACTGCAGCAAAGACTGGTTCTCACTCACCGGGCGAGGGCGGGTCTCTCGGAGGAAGGACTTGAGGTCTCCTCCTGCCATGAGCTCCAGTAGGATAAACCGGGGCAGGGCTTGCAGGCTCACCCCGATGCAGCGAACGATGTTCTGGTGGTTGAATTTGCTGCAGAGCAGAGTGGGGTATAACCAAAATTAGCGGAGTCTGGGAAAATCTTAAATTGGGGGGAACAGGATACAAAGTTACATTTTCAGCAGCTACAATGTATAACTGCATTCTGTAAATAGGGGAAGCAGGGGTCCCGGGCTGAGCCTAAACCCAGAATCTCGCTGGTGAGCAGGTGGGAAGAACCAGAGCAGGCTCCACAGGAGTTCCGTTTGCAGGAGAGGGGCTGGAGGTGTGAGGCTGTTGCTCAGGCACTTGGGTGAGTAAGTGTCTCGGGGGCAGGACGGTGTCTTTCTCAGATACTGGTGCACGGACTGGGCACTGGAATTCATGGTCAATTTCTCCCAGGAAGGTCTCAGGTAGAAGGTGAAGCAAAACAACTGCTTCTAAGAGAGACTGGGTGAGACTTGCCAGGTGACAGCGTGTGAAACAGAGACAGGAAAAGGGGATGGCCTCATGAGTCCATCAGTTTTCTGTGGATTCCTCATGGAGGGGACCAAGACTTGGGTTTTCTTGTTAACATGATCCCTTTAGAACACACAGGCAGTGGGGCCTAGGAATTCCACATGGGCCAACATGTGCATGCATGTGTGTGCATACACATACATGTACACCCCCCCAAGTGTTAAAAGACTGGGTGATTAGACACCAACATATAATGGTTAGTTATCACCAAGTAGTAAGATTGAGCGATTTGGGTCTTCTTCAATATAATCTCATACTTGCCAAGTTTTATTCATAATCAGGAATTACATGTATCATCAGAAAATAAATGTTATTTTGTGTGTCCTCCTGTGACTCCAGACCTCACAGCCATATCACTCACACTGCCTGGCCTTGTTACCCCTGCCACTTCCACCAAGGGGACATCCCAATCTGCCCCCACTGGTCAGGATGTTCAGAGAGTCTTCCTGGTGTGACGGGGGCCATGAGCCCCCACCTGATCTTGAGGTCAAACATCTGCCTCCTCCTTGAGGGGATCTGCTGCCACTGTGGACGCCCTCAGGAGCCACAGGCACTGAGACTCTCAGCTTAAATACAGACCCTGGAACCTCAAGTCAAAAGGTGCAGCCAGCTGAGACTCAGCCCTGCTGATGGGAGCCTAGGATGGGGTAGCCTTCCATCATATTAGGAGCACATTTACTGGGATTGGTGAAGGGTCTGGGAGGGAGATTGTATCTTGTACTGTCAAAGTCTAGCATGTTCCATTTCTTAAGAAAAAGTGAGGGGAGAAGAACCAATGGAGAACAGCAGGGAACTGGTTGCAGACCGTGACATCGGTGGGATTATTAGGCCACACAGATTTTGTTTCTGAAACAACCACCAGGGGTTGTTCCAGTCTGGTAAGAAGTGTCTAGAATGTTTGGAAGTCTCCTACTGGAGAAAAGGGGACATGCTGGGGACAACACCATTTCCCTTAGAGACATCGATGTGTTAGAAACCTCTCCAGGTTCTTTGGGGCAGTGGGGAGTTGGGGTGAGGGTGTCTCTCTGTGGCCTTACCTGATGATCAGGGCTTCCATGAGGAAATCTAGTTCGTCCTGTTCTGAGCACACCTCAGGCAGCGTCTGGGCAGAGAAGGGGAAGGTGGGGAGGAGGAGGAGGCTGTGAGCTGACAGCCACAGCCTACAGAGTCTGCAAGCCAAGGGCAGGCTCAAGAGTGAGCCACTTCTTACCTTCACAGCCACTTGCAGAGGACTTGGGTCGTTGGGCACTCCGGACACCTGGCCTTCATACACCTCCCCAAAGGCGCCATGGCCCAGACCCCTGTGCAAAGGAGAATACAAGATGAGACAGAGTCAAACAGGCCACAGTAATGAGGCAGCTGGGGCTCCTGAGCCCGGGGCTCACATTTAGTGGACAAACACAAGAGGCAGGGGATAACATACACACTCAGGAGTAACACCCTCAACACGGCTGTGCTATGCAATCCCGGACTTCCAGTTCTTCATCTGAAAACTGGAAAGAAGGATTCTGACCAGGGACTCATGACAATGGTCAAATGTTTATTCATTCAATCAGTAGTTATTGAGTCTGATATTTGCCAGGGACACAGGGGTGTATGAACCATGGCTTTTCCCCGGGGAGGCTCATGCTCCTTTAGGACAGACATATCGCGGGGAGGGACTGGCTGGGGAGTGTTGCCAGTGAGTGACAGAGGAAGGTACAGTTGCTCTAGATACTCAGAGGAGGGGCCCTTTGCTTCCCTGCTCCCCTGGAGGAAAGCAGGGCCAGGAAGCCTTGGAGAGAGCATACCTCAATGAATTTTGAGGAGAGCCCTGGTTCTCCTCTCATTGTATAAACTCCATAAACATAGAGGAGTTAATATAAACCAACACACATGGCCCTGAATGTCAAGGCTGGTCCTCCTAGGAGGGCTGGGGGTGCCCACAGAGAGGGCTCTGCTGACCTTTTGTGGCTAGAGGAGTCTGTGATGCTGTGATAACATTTAGATCCTAGACTGCAGCCCCTCTCCTCCCAGGACGGCAGCAGGGCGCTCACCGAATGAGGGTGATGTTTTTCCGCGGCACCTCCTTCAGGTCACTGATGGAGGAGGTCTTGCCAGCAAAGCAGTAATTGGGGTTGTAGTCGGTCATGATGGTTGAGGTGCGGAGCTTGCTCAGCTTGTACTCAGGGCTCTGCAGCTCCATCTGCATGGCTTGCAGCTCCTGGTGCTTCCGACGGTATACTGCAGATGGATGGTCAGCTGCAACATGGCCTGGACCAGGCAGCCTGGCCGTTGAAGCACTACACAGGCCACTTCCTACAGGAAGCCTCCCTGGATCTCCATATCCTCCCCTGAGCTCTGAACCTTTCCATCATGCTTAGAAATACTAACAAAATGATTCTAGATGTGAAGGTGTGTCTTTAATTGAAACATGATTTAAAGTAAATGTAAAACTAAAAATCACAAATACAGAAAAGAATTATTTGTATTATACAGGGCAGAGTCATGTTAGTCTGGGTCCTCCAAGAAGCAGACTGGAGACGGGATTAGACCCAAGATGGTCTGCAGATTTTATTAGAAGAAATGCCCATGAGAGGAAATGGGGAGGGAGCCAGGGAAGGCTGGGCGAACCAGCAGACCGTGTTGCAAGTCTGACCCCATGTGAACGAGGGAGGGAGGGAAGGTTGGGTGGAAGCACCCTGGGTGCCATGCAGCCTAAGGAATTTTCAGCAATGCCCTAAGGGGTTCTGGAGCCAAAGTCAGTCATCAGAGGAGTCCCACGGCTCCCAGGAATTGGCCTGCCTTAGTATTTCTGCTGTGCTCAGCCACGGGGTAGGGCAGCTTCAGTGCAATCACAGCAGTGGATTTGAGGGTGCAGCTGGGATCCTGGTGAATTGTGTTTCCTATAGTTGGAGAACTGCCAAGCCGCAGAGTTGGAGAAGAGCCACATAATGAAAAGATCTCTAAACTGGTGTCTGGGGATCTGTGCTCTAATTCCGCCTCTTGTTACTTACAAGCTGAGCCGTGAGGACCAGGTCACAGGCCCTCTTTGGACAGTAGTTTCCCTCTCTGTAAGCAGGGATGGTAACTCCTGCCCTGTTTCCCTAACCACTCCCACTCCCCATCCCCAGGGTTGTCAATGAAATGAATTCACCAACATAAAATGGTTTTGAAAAGTTCTAAAGAGCTCTACCAATGTGAATGACCATTATCACTCCTACGTGTGAGGATGTTCTGGAAGGCAAACTCCATGGGAGCCAGAACAAAATTGTGATTCAGAGGGTAGATTCTGTGTATAAAGCCCAGCCCCCCGACACACGGGCCAGGGCAAACGAGTCACCCACTATGTGCTCAGTTCCCTCCTCTATGCTATGGACCGACCATGATCAGATTAGGGTTACTTGAGGATCGAATGAACTGAAATGTGTTAATTGCTGAGCATGTAGTAACCATGCAACAAGTGTTAGCTCCTATTATTCTGTCCCTTTGAGGGATGGCACCATATGAGGACACAGTGTGTGCTGCCATCTCCCTTCTACCGGAAGATCCCTTCGCCTGCAGGGGCCTGGCCTGCAAGGGCTCCCAGGAGCCTTTCCCTCTGCCCTTTTCAAGCCTCTGCCCATCTGTACTGGGCATGTCTCTGCCAGCAGTAAGGGCTGGTTGGGACCACACTGAGCTCTCTGTGACCTGCAGGTCAGCTCACCTTGGCTCACAGGCTGAACAGAAATATACTCAGAAACCGATTTTCCCACCTTTCTGCCTGGAGGGTGGTGGAGGGCTGGTTTGGAGAAGAGTGAGCTAGTGCATTGCACAGGGTGGGAGCCAAACGGGAGCTGTGCCGGCGGAAGCACATGGGAGCTAGAAGTGATGTCTAGGGGTGGGGGCAAGCTTTCATCATCGTGATGAACACTGAAGAGAGCTCCCCACCCCCTGATCAGCCAGAGGATACACACGGGGCTGAGGTGCAGAATCAGGGGCTCCTCAGGGAACTGCAGCTGCTCTGGCGGGGGGAAGGTTCGGAGCTTCGGTTTTGGCTTGGCCTGGGCTTCCCTAATCACCACCCCACCCAATTCCAGGGACTAGCATAACGAAGTGACACCCTGGCACCCGTGGCACAGCCTGAGACACTATTCAGTTCTGCCTTCCCGCCCCCTTGGGAGTCCCTGGGGCTCTGTGCACTCACCAATCATGACGCCGGAGAAAGCCAGGACCAGGGCAGCCACGAGGGCAGAGGTCACCACGGAGAGGATCAGTGAGAGTGGCAGGTGCGGCTCCGGGGTGGGCGACACTGGAAGACAGGTCCCAGTGGGGCACTGACAACCACACCCGTTCTCCTTTGAGCTGGTCCCAAGTCAAAAATAACCTCTCCAGCTGAGACAAAAACTACCTGCTCCCTCCCATCGCTGGAGACCTTGTCACACTTCTCTTTTCAGAGAATCATGAGCAGGACCAGACTCATCCTGGTTTTACAAGCTTTTAGCTGTAGCTTTTGAGTGGAGGGAAATTTTTTTTTTTTTTTGAGACGGAGTCTCACTCTGTCGCCCAGGCTGGAGTGCAGTGGCCGGATCTCAGCTCACTGCAAGCTCCGCCTCCCGGGTTCACGCCATTCTCCTGCCTCAGCCTCCGGAGTAGCTGGGACTACAGGTGTGAGTGGAGGGAAATTTAACAGGGATGAATATCAATGGCGGGACGTAGGTTCAAGACACGAGCTGCACAACTACAGGGTGAGGATGGAAGGTGAAACGAAAGTAGATCTGGAAGAGAGGTGGGGGCCGCAGGTGACCAAACAACAGGGTGCGCTCTAAGTAACCCCCTCTGAGGCTAAATTACTTCCCTGTGGCCCTGAGGCACTGGGCTTAGAGTGGGGAGGGGGCTGGTGCCCTCTGCTGGCCATACCACACGGAGGCATCATGCTTGGTACTGGACACTACATTTCAAAAGGGACATCGACAATGGAACACATGCAGAAGAGGGACACCGGTGCAGTGGGGGGAGGAGACACAAAACTGCATCTTGTATGAACTGCTGCAAACAAACAGGTTATTTAATCTGAAGAAGAGTTGAAGGAGGAGGATTGGGCCAGGTGCGGTGGCTCATGCCTGTAATCCCAGCACTTTGGGAGGCCAAGGCGGGTGGATCACCTGAGGTCAGGAGGAGTTCGAGACCAGCCTGGCCAACATGGTGAAACCCTGTCTCTACTGAAAATATGAAAATTAGCCTGGCATAGTCACAGGTGCCTGTAGTCCCAGCTACTCGGGAGGCTGAGGCAGGAGAATCGCTTGAATCTGGGAGGTGGAGGTTGCAGTGAGCCAATCCATATCTCCATAATGATATGGAGACCATATCATTGCACTCTAGCCCAGGCAACAGGAGTGAAACTCTGCCAAAAAAAAGAAAAGGAGGAGCACTGTCTTCAAACACTGCACATGAAAAGCTGCTGCTGTAAGGAAACCTAGGAGAGGAAGGTTAAGGGGACAGGGCTCCGGCTCTGAAACTGCCCAAGGGAACAGAGTACCTTAGGAGCAGTGAGATCCCTGTCACCGGGCATGTTTAAGTGGGGGCAGAATGGCCCCTCAGTGGGGATGGTATTCTATACTAGAGGACTTTTAAGACTCCTTCAGGAGCCATGGCCCACCTTTTACACAGGGGTCAGAGCGCTTGAGCTGTCGCAGGTAGGGGAGGTAAGAAAGCTTACGAAACCGAATCCAGGGTGTCCTGGAACCCAGAAACCACTTGTGGTCATGCGCCAAATCTCAGGCTGTCTGCCCCTCTGCCTCGCCCGGCCCCGCCCCCTTACCAATGCAGGAGACGCCATCCTCTGCCAGCACTGTCCCGTGGTCACAGAAGCAGATGACCTTGTGGCTTTCAGTGTCCATGTGACATTCGTCTACCTCACAGTGACTGCAGTTTAGATAATGCTTAATATTCACTTCCCCATGGCCTTCCATCACTGGTGACAAGGAGGGAGGGTCAGTCATGGCCCGAGCCTGCTTCCCCACTCCCAGCCTCAGTACTGTGTCTCCAGGTGGTCACTGTGGGTGCTCTGGTCCCTGTTCCTAGGTCCCATAGCCACTGGAAGCACAACTGTGTAGGGGAGTCTTCCTGTGCATATGGAGAGTGCGGTGGAGGCAGCTGGCATGGGTGCCTATGGATGTTTGCATTTGTGCCGGTGGTGGGAGGAAGCGCACACATGTGATCTTTAGGTTGGCTGGTGCAGGTATTGGGCTATTGTTGTTACCTTTCCTAGGATTCTGCCTCTGCATTCATATTAAAGCACACATCCTGACTTCCAGAAAATGTGGTGACCTGCGCTATAGGAAGCTTGCCTGCCAGGGACCCATAATTGTGCCTCTGTATCCTGGATACACGTCAGAGACTCTGAGGTTTTAGCTTGGTGGGAGGACTGACCTAAGGAAGTTTGTTCTGCTGCCTGGAAGAGGGGCTACCTTTTAAAGCTGGGGTGTACAGGATGCCCAGTGGACTGATGAAGGAAACCCCATCTTCCCCATCCATTTCGGGGTCATTGTTTGAGGCTGCATTGCCGCCTGAGTAGCAAACCAGAGCAGAGTTTAACATGGGGGGTGGGTGCCCAAATCAACACACATGCACGTCAGCGGGGCATGCAGCTCTGGCCAAAGTTAGGGGGTCACTGGGGCTTCAGGGATAGGGATGCGGGGAGGGAAGGGAGGCTCAGGGCACAGAGGCTGCACGTGGGATTTGGCCCAGTAGATGCTGGGTGTGTGGCCACTTTCCCCTCAGGTCCAGGCCAGCTCCGATGGAGGAGCGGCCTCTACCACTCTGCTGGGGGCCCACTAGGAAGTGGTTAATGTGAGCAAGAGTCCAAAAAGTTCTAGTCCTTCTAGGCTGGGATACGCCCGTGGTGCCTCTCCCACGACTGGTCAGGATGAGGAGTTGCTCTCCAGCCCCACTGGGTCAGGGTTGGGGTGTGGCGGGGTGTGGGGATTGCGGGAGATGAGCCCCTGTACCCTAAGGCTCCTGTCCCTCTTTTCACCTGGGGCTGGGCTATATTTGGGCTCCCCCCTCGGGCTCCTCCCACCCACCCAGCTTGGAAAAGAAGAGCATGTGGTTAACACAAGCATCTTACACACAGCGTCAAAGCAAAACACAGACATGAACACCACAGAGCATGCATGCATTCGTCCTAATCTGTGGGGAGCGGGGAGCCATCGTCTCCCAGCCTCTCAGCTTCAGAAGGCTCTGCTGACTGTGCTCTGAAGCCCAGATGAGGCAGCTGGGGTCAATGGCCGGCTGCTTGCCGAAGGGCTGGGCTAAGCCTGCCTGCAGTTGCCCTCGGGAGTAGCTCCCGTCAGCAGGAACAGCAGCGCCTTTCAGGAAGCTGGTGGGCTGGGGTAGGGAGCAGGAGTGAGGAGTCCATGAAACCACAAACCAGTCCCTTCAGGAGCTGGCTTGGCCAGGTCATCCAAGGGAGGCTGGGGGAGTCCTTACGGGTGACTCAGAGACTAGTCTGGAAAGCCAAAGCCTCTTTATCATCGACTTTGGGGGAGATCAAGAATCACATGGGATCTTGATGTTGTCACTGAGGAAGCCTGGAGGCAGGATGCTGGCTCGAGAGCCAACACCCTGCCTCTGGCAGGTCCAGTGGAGAGGGAGGCGTGCAGTCACATCACAGTCCACACTTGGGCAGGCCAGGGGAGGGCCGGGAGAGGGCAGGGAGGTGAGGAGCCTAGGACTAAGGGGGAGGGAGTGACACCTTGAACACGAATCATCTTTACCTATATATCCTCCGCCTCCTCCACCTGAGGAGCACCCCCCTCCACCCCCTCCGAAACCCCCTCTTGTCTCCCACCCCCACTTCTTCATGGCCTGGGGGCAGGAATGTCCTCCGGTGGCACCCTCCAGCAAAGATTTTCCGGCCCAGAGCAAGGAAGTGTTATCATTCCAGCCACCTCCACCACCTGCGGGAAGAGATAGGGAACCCACGTGAGGATGCTGGCCAGAAGGATGCAGGATGCCTTGGAGGGCACCTGCACCAGCTCCAGCTCCCGGGGCCCATCTTCAGTAGGAAAACCACAGTAGGAAAACCAGGAGGCTGCTTGCCCTAGGGAGACCTGTTTGGCCACAGCTGAGTACACCCAGATGAGAGCGTGCCTTGTACCCCTGCTTCCTGCCAGTCCTCTCTGGCTCAAACGGAGGGGCTGTGCTTGGTTAAGGATCGGGGGAGGTGGGCAGACAGGCAGCATGGTGACTAAACTCGTTCCTCTATCTTCTCATCATGTCAGCCAAGCCCCATAGCACTGGACCTTCATTTCATTAACTGCCTCCCATCCTAACAAGAAATGGGACTCATCAGTCTTTGAGCAGCCAAATGTCAAAACCCTGCACTAAAGTTCCTTGCAGGAATCCTGGACTAGGCACCACAGAGCCCACTGCTGTCTATGAAACCATGGGCAAGAATGCCCATTCTGAGCCTGTGTTTCTTCACTTGTAGCTTGGGGATAATAAGACCCAGCTCATGGGGTTGATGTAGGATCAAGGGAGACAGTGAATGTATGAAATGCTCCACAAACTGCCCAGGGTGAGGAGTGTCAGGGGCTTGAGAGGCAGAACACATGCGTGCAGACAGCCTCACACCTCGGCTCAGCCTGCTTAGAGCTTCTCCAGGGCCAGGCTCTCAGGAACCGCTCCAAGGTCAGGAGCAGAAGCCCTGGTCAGTGGTGGGCGATGCCCTGGCAACAAAGGCAGCCTCGGGGCTGTGCTTCCCAATGACTGGGGCTGCTTTGGGCTCTTGCAAAGGAAGCTATCTACAGAGCCGAGGTTGAGTGTAGCCACAGGTTGACCACAAGAAATCTCTTCCGCTAACCTTTGAGATTCCAGGACATCCCCTATCTGTACAGTTCCATAGGACATTTGAACAGACATCTACAGTTGTCTCTTAGTATCTGTGGAGGATTGGTTCCAGGATCCCTCCATCACACCAAAATAAATGTCCCTTTATATAAAGTGGCATAGTATTTGCACATTCTCCCATAAAAAAAAATCATCTCTAGATTACATATAATACCCAATACAGGGTAAATCCTATGTAATAGTTATTGTGATTGTTTAGGGATTAAGTCTGTACATGTTCAGTAAAGACACAATCATCTTTTTTTTTTTTTTTTTGAATATTTTCGATCTGTGGTTGGTTGAATCCAACGAACACAGAACTGATGGATAGGAAAGGGTGACTGTATCCTAAAAACCGTAAAACCCTTTCTGCTGCAGCGATGATGTGTGGTGGGGACCTGGACATTGACGGTGGAAGGTGGAAACAGCAGTGTGTGTGTCTGCCGGAGCCCTGCGGGTGAACCGGCCTGGCAGGGTTTCTGGAAGCACTTGTGGCCGAGATTCCTTGGGACCCAGAGGGACCTGTAGGTGGGATAACTATCTTGCTAGAAAGAGGAAGCCAGGTTTTGAAAATGAAGCTGAGGTCAGGAACAAGCTTGAATCTAGAATGGGGACAAGCAGAGCTGAGGCGAGGCCATCAGGCAAGCTGGGGGGACTTTGTCAGCCATGAAGTCTGCAGGGGTGGGTGCTGAGCTTGGGTTTCGCTGTCCTCCCTTCTGCTCTCAGAGGAGGGTGTGGGCCCATCAAGGCTGTTGTCATGTGGCAGAGGGAAGGCCCCTTAGGTGCGACAGGGGCCAGAAGTTGGCTCTGGTGTTTGTGCAGGGCTGTGAGCAAGTGCATAATAAATAAATCAGAACGAGATGGTGGAGACCATGTGCTGTGCTTTCATCCTGCTCAGCCCCCAGCTGAGGAGGTTTCTGACCCCACACCCATCTTGCAGCCTTCGAACAAATGTGTGGAAAGGAAAATAACCCATATCAAAATCAGAACAATGGTGTTTTAAAAATACGAATTGAGTCTGGCCAGACGCAGTGGCTCACGCATGTAATCCCAGCACTTTGGGAGGCCGAGGCAGGCAGATCACTTGAGGTCAGGAGATCGAGACCAGCCTGGCCAACACGTTAAAACCCCAACTCTACTAAAAATACAAAAATTAGCTGGGTGTGGTGGTGTGTGCCTGTAATCCCAGCTACTCGGGAGGCTGAGGCAGGAGAATCGCTTGAACCCACGAGTCAGAGGTGGCAGAGTCGAGATCGTGCCACTGCGCTCCAGCCTGGCGACAGAACAAGACTCTGTCGCAAAAACAAACAAACAAACAAACAAAATTGTCTCCATCACTAAACAGCTCAACCATGTTGAGAAAAAAAAAAGTCATCAGGCCTTGGTCAGCCCATTGGCTCTCCTGTAAAACAGGAATGGTATCCGCCTGGAAGCCTGCAGGGTTGTTTTGACAGCACACGTGCAACAGAGGCGGAGGTGCTTCAGGGTTTCTCAGGTGCTGGGCCTTGGTAGGGGTGTTGTGAACGTCACTGGAGAACCTCATGGTGGATCCATGACTGTTTCTACTCTTCTATCTCTAGCTGTCTCTCAATTGAGAGACAGTTTGCACATTTGTTTTAATTAATCCCAAACCTTAAATGCCTTCTAAGATCCTCCCACAGTCTGATTGTGTGGAAAGGAAAATACAAAAAGGAATTGCATTTTCTGTCTTTAGGGGTGGCTGACTTTAGAGGAATCAGGGAACTGATACTCTCTTCCCTGCCTGTCTCGCATTTTTGTGCTTCTGGCTCCCACAAATGAAGGAAGAGAGCTCAGCCGTAGAGAGTCAAGAATCAAGAAGGAGATTTTCCAGTGGGGTATGCTTGGGTCTGGCAGCCCTGGGCCTGGAGGTCTGTACCATAGGGGTCTAGGGGGCTTGACATTGCCCAGAATTTTTTCATCTGCTCACATCTTAACTGGGGGGCCCATCTGCCCCTGGAGGAAGAAGAAATCTCCGGGGGAGGCTCTAACAGTTGCATGTTGGTAAAACCCAGGGAGGGTCAGCTGGCTGATTGACGGCTGCTCCCTGCCTCACTTTCTCAGTGACCTTCTATAAGTCCAAGCTCTAGGTCAGCAGGACGGCCTGCAGGGCTCCCAGGGTGCTGCCTACCCTCCCACCCTGGATATTGGGACCAATATCCAGAGCTCCCAGCATCCCAGGTGCCAGTGACTAAGATGCCCTCAGGCATGCGATGGCATCAGGGCCCAGCTGAAAGCCTGGGAGAGGTTCTGGGAAAGGGCATGCTTGCGGTGCTTTACCTGCGGCTCCGGAATTGCCGTTCAGCCCTAGAACCGAGGAGTTATTCTCCAGTCTCTCTGGGTGGAACGTGTCTGTCTTGGCCCCATAGGCCCTGCCGCCACCTCCGGCTGCAATGATCAGGGGCACCGGCACTCCATCCTTCATCTGACCAGGGAGACGTTGAGACATTGAGAAACCCAGCTGTGCTTCCCCGTGGAGCCCCCAAGCCCTGGTTAACTCAGCCTGACTGAGGGTTTGCTGGGCAGTGGGGTGACCTGGTGACCTCTCAGTGGTCTGAGGTGGTTTGCGGGCTCTGAACCCTTGTTACAATAGCCCATTGGCTCCACAAGCTTCTCTATCAGTCAGGGTTCAACCAGAGAAGCAAAACCTATATACCAAAAGCAAAATATGTATACCAGGAGGTGCGGGTTGATCTTAGAGGCTGCTTCCTCTGCTTCCTCCAGCTCCTTTCCTGAAGCTCCTCAGACTGGCCTCAGAGGTCTGGATGCTGGTGATTAGAAGCAGGTCTCTCTGTACTCTCTCTCCCTCATTCTTAGGGGTCTCTGACTCTGGCCCCCAAAGATTCAAGATTAAGCCCTCAGCATCATAGTCCTGTGGGAGGACCTAGCAGGTGGCCTCGGTCTTCAGTTTCTGGCCTGGCGGTGATGATGTCAGAAAAGTCCATCTTAGCACAGAGAGCTCGTCCAGGAGGGCACAGTAGGACCCTCTGAAAGTAGGATGGCAAAGGCTGTGCATGGTGAAACTGGGCTGCTGTATCCGTAAGAGAAGAGTCTACCCTTTCCTGGACAGACAGACTCTATATCGCTCTGGATCTCAGTCTGCTCATCTTTATTTTTTAATTCTTTTATCGGTTTTAGAGACAGGGTCTTGCTCTGTGCTCGGGCTGGAGTACTATGGCATAATCACAGCTCATTGTAGCCTTGAACTCCTGGGCTCAAGCGATCCTCCTGCCTCAGCTTCCCAAGTAGCTAGGACTACAGGTGTAAACCACCACAAGTGGTTAATTAAAAAATTTTTTTTTGGTAGAGACAAGGTTTTGCTATGTTGCCCAAGCTGATCACAAATTCCTGACCTCAAGCGATTCTCTTGCCTCGGCCTCCCAAAATGCTAGGACTGCAGGAATGAGCTACTGCACCTGGCCCTGCTCATCTTTAAATGGGGATAAGAGCATCTGAGGTGTTTCTGTCCCACGGCTGTCATGAGGCTCTAACATCGCAGATTCACAGAAACCTGGTGGAAATCTGGCGGTGCAGACCTTACCTTAAATACATAGGTGGCTCCACCCCCTCCTCCTCCTCCTCCTGCCCACTCATGCACGCTTCTGTTCACACGGATTTCTTCTTCTATCACATTGTTCTCTCCAATGCAGACTTTCTGGATTAACTGGTTTGTCTGTAGAAACAAAAAGCACGTTAGGTTTGTGGCCAAACTGAAGTTCTCCACTTTGCAGCAGACAGAACTTCTATGCTTAAAAACAGGATCGGACTCTCTTTTTTTTTTTGAGATGGAGTCTCACTCTGGCACCCAGACTGGAGTGCAGTGGCGTGACCTCAGCTCGCTGCAACCTCTGCCTGCTGGGTTCAAGCAATTCTCCTGCCTCTGCCTCCCGAGTAGCTGGGACTACAGGCGCACGCCACTATGCCCAGCTAATTTTTTGTATTTTTAGTGGAGATGGGGTTTCACCATGCTGGCCAGGCTCATCTCGAACTCCTGGCCTCATGATCCGCCCACCTCAGCCTCCCAAAGTGCTGGGATTACAGGCGTGAGCCACCACACCTGGCTAGGATCTGACTCTTTCTCAACTTACAGTTGAATTTAGGAGGCAGAAAAATACACTAATAACTGTCCCTCTGGGCAGTGTTAGGGAAGGACCGCAAGGATGGCTTAGACAGAAAATGCTAGGAGAAACTGGGAGCGAGAGAGCAAGGTTTTACTGCTGTGAGGACTGCCTGTAGGAGGCGACTTTTAGTTGAGCCTTGAAGGATAGGGAGGTTTTTTTTTTGTTTTGTTTGTTTGTTTTTCACAGAGAGTAGGGCAAAGTTATGTCATTGCAAGAACAAAGAGTGGCCTGAGCCCAGAGGGAAGTGGGTGAATGGGGTGTGTAGGGGAAAAGCACAAGGGTCTCTTTGGCCCAGAAGTCTATCAGGACAGAGAGATTGTCCAGGATGACCTGTTTCGATCCTGTGGGATGAAGAGATCCGAGAAAGAATGGGAAAGTCGTATGTGGTGAGATGGGGCTGGAGGGAGCGTAAATTAGGTGGGTAGAGAGAATTGAACTGAACAGTCTGATCGTGGCTAGAGGCCTTGAAGGCACTGTGAGGAGTGGACCTCATTCTCTACGACAGCCATTCTCTCACTGAGAGCCATCGAGGTTTTCTGAGAAGTCACAGCTCTGAAGCATCAGGAGGAGAGAAAAAACCCACAAAGGCCAGACTCAAGTTTTATTCCCAGTTCTTCTCTGGGAAAATCAGTTCTCCCTTTTGGACATCTCATTCCTCCTAGCTAATGTTCCATTTCTTCCCTCCGGAATCCCTGGCACAGCCCTCTGCTTGCCTTGTAGAGTGAGCCCTGCAATCAGGTAGTCTGGATTCTCCACCCACCCCGGGAAACTGTGACAGGGGCCCTTGATCTCTCATCCTCCAGTGTGGCTGGGAATAAAGACGACACAGGTCATTGTGGCATTTACTGAGGGTAGTACAAGTAAGGCGTCTAGTGGAGTGCCTCATGTACAGTGGGAACTGAGTAAGTGGCTGCTGTTCTTATCTGTTTTTTGAGACAGAGTCTTACTCCATGCGATGGCACGATCTCGGCCCACTGCAACTTCTGCCTCCCGGGTTCAAACAATTCTGGTGTCTCAGCCTCCCGAGCAGCTGTGACTACAGGTGTGCACCACCATGCCCCGCTAATTTTTGTATTTTTAGTAGAGGAGGGGTTTTGCCATGTTGGCCAGGCTGGTCTTGAACGCCTGACCTCAGGTGATCCGCCCGCCTCGGCCTCCCAAAGTACCGGGATTACAGGTGTGAGCCACTGTGCCCAGCCAGCTGCTGTTCTAATTTAGATTCACTTCTGGGCCCACATATGCTCCTGGTTGGGGCTAAGGTATTAGAGAGCCCTCAAGATTGTGCTGGAGATTTCTGTAACAGAATCCTGGAATCCCTGAAGAAGGAGGATGGTACTTCAAAAAACAGCCACGCCTGCTTGTCGGCCACCACAGCTCAGACGAATTCTTCAAACATCAGCCTGACCTCGGAGGAAAGTAACTTTTCTTTCACTTAATAGAAAAAAAGCCAGTAAAACATCACATTTCCATCGATGCTGCTTCGTAACCAGCCAGTGGATGCAGCCATTCTTCTTGAGCCACTTCTTAGGCTAAAGCACTCACGGGTGCCGGCAATGAGTACTACAGAAATTTCCAGATAAATAGCCGAGAAGCAATTTGTTCCATGGCATTTTGGATTTAATGATGGAAATAATTTGATATTTCTTAGAGTGGATTTAGTGTGGGTGGAAGGCGCTGAATTGCTATTGTAGAGGGCTGGCCTTTCCCGTACGTATGTGCAGCTATGTCCTGGCCTGGGGGGAGACTCCCGGGAGGAGCCTGCTCACTGCCACCTGGCACAGGCATGAGTTGCAAGGAATGTGCCCTGAGGGTTGGTCCTGGGGATGAGCTGTCAGCTGGGCAGAGCACAGGATTCTGGGTCCAGTCTGGGTTGTTGTTTTTTTTTTTTCTTTTGAGACAGGGTCTCACTCTGTCACCCAGGCTGGAGTGCAGTGGCGGGATCATAGCTCACTGTAGCCACGAACTCCTGGGCTCAAGTCATCATCCTGCCTTAGTCTCCGGAGTAGCTGGGACTACAGGCACAAGCTACCGGGCTTGACTAACTTTTCTTTTTTCTTTTTTTTAGAGACAGGGTCTTGCTATGTTGCCCAGACTGGTCTCTGACTCCTGGCTTCAAGTAGTTCTCTTGCCTCAGCCTCCTGAGTAGCTGGGAGTACAGGTATGAACTACCATGCTCGACTAATTTATTTATTTGTTTATTTATTTATTTGAGACAGGGTATTGCTATGTTGCCCAGGCTAGTTTCTAACTAAGTGATTCTCCTGATTCAGCGTTCTCCAAGTGTGGGATTATAGGCATGAGCCATCACACCCTGCTCAGTCTGGGTTCTTGATGGCTCTGCCAGAGATTTGCTGGGCTATACTAGGTGAGGCACCCCGCCTCCCTGGACTTGTCTCCTCATCTGGAGATGGAGGGGCTGCCCAGTCTGAACCAGCGGTGCTAAGAAGGTCCACCCCCTCAGCCTCTGCTCCATCTCCTCTCGTGGCTGGTGGGCAGCAGTGGGACCTATGGGATGCCCTCCCCTCGTGAACAGATCTGGAGATTGCTGGGATAGGGAGGAGAGAGCCGTGGGGCTTGAGGATGGGCTTCCCTGTAGTTAGAGCCTGGACCCATGCTCATCACCCCGCCCCTGCTTCTGGTGTCTCCTTTAGATCAGGTGGGGGTGGGGAGCGGTCAAGGCTCTTGCTGGACCAGTAGCAGCGTTCGGAGGAGCTGCTGCCCTTTCCTCCCCTGACTTCCAGGACTCCCCATCGTCTTGTATCCTCTCTTACGTCCCTGGTTCCTCTTTTTCGTCCCCCTTTGCTGGTTCCTCTTCTTTTCCTGACCTCTAAATGTTGAGGGTCCCTTAAGTTCAGTCCTCGCTTTCTTCTCTATCTGTACTGCATCCTAGGCAATCTCATCCTGTCTCAACTTTATGCTAATTTCTCCCATATTTATATCTATTTATATCCCCAGCCTGGACCTCTCTCCTGAACTCCAGTGGCCCATTTCCCATCGTCCACCTGTCTGCCTGTGGCTGTCTACCAGGCCTCTACAACTCAGCATGTCTGATATTGAACTCCTGATCTTACCCCCAAATTTGCTCCTTCCACAGTGTTCCCTAAGTCACGTGATGGCAGCTCCCTTCTTCCAGTGGCTCAGGCACAATTTTTGGAGTCATCCTTGACTCTTTTCTTTCTCTTAATTTCTCAATCAATCTGGCAGAAAATCCTTTTGGATTTGACTTTCAAATTACACCCAGGATTCAACCACTTTTCATCCCCTCCACTGTTACAATCCTAGTCTAAGCCATCATCATCTCTTGCCAGGATTAATGCCGTAGCCCTTGAATTCACTGTCTTGACCCTTCCCCTGTGTCCATAGATTCTTCAATGGTAGATTCTTCACACTGCAGCCAGAGAGAGCTTTTTAATACACATACCACATTATGTCACCATTTGCCTCAAAACCCTCCTATGGCTCCAACATGTCTTAAAGTGGCCTGATCCAGTCCTATTACCTCTGCCTCATCTCTTACCTACCCTTCCTTTTGCTCCCTCTCCTCCAGCCTGAGTGTTCCTTGAGCATTGACGAACCTCTGGGACGTGGCCTTTGCTGGGGTCACTGTTTCCCCAGATATTCCCCCTCCTCCAAATTTAAGTTCCTTGAGAGCAAATATTTTTCTTTTGTTCACCAATATATCCCAAGTTCCTGTAACAGGGATGGCACAAAGTAGGTGCTCAATAAATATTGGTTAAATACATTTGAATGAATTGAGTGCCGTCTGGATTGTGGGCTGGCTCTTCATAATATCTGTCTTGCAGGGGATGGTAATGGTGGGATTTAACATTTAGAACAGACTTGGCGGCATAGGGGACATTTGGAAATGTCTGGAGGCTTTTGTGATTGTCATTTCTGGGGGCTGTTACTGGCGCCAAGTGAGCAGAGGATAAGGATGCTGCTAAACATCCTGTAATACACAGGACAGACTCCCACCTCTAGCCACAAAGAATTACCTGCTCCAAAATGCCAATAATGCCACTGTTGAGAAAGCCTGATTTAGACTCATGCCACCAGGGGAGGTTTGGAAGGAACTGGAGAAGCAAGGGCTGAGGGCTGTGTGTGGGCACATGTGTTGCAGTTAAGGGTGGGGAGGAGGATTCTAGCAGCAGCTGGAGCCCATTTCCAGCACAGGAGCTCCAGCGTGGCCAGGTACATAGAAGGGCAACTCCCCACTGCCCCCATAGATGTGCAGTTGAACCAGCAAAGCTGCCACATCCGGCAGTTTAATTATTTTTTATTTTTATTTATTTTTATGACAGAGTCTTGCTCTGTTGCCCAGGCTAGAGTGCAGTGGTATGATCTTGACTCACTGCAACCTCTGGCTCCCGGGTTCAAGTGATTCTTGTGCCTCAGCCTCCCAAGTAGCTGAGACTACAGGTGTGCGCCACTAGCTTGGCTAATTTTTGTATTTTTAGTATATACATGGTTTCACTGTGTTGGCCAGGCTGGTCTTGAACTTCTGACCTCAAGTGATCCTCCCGCTTTGGCCTTCCAATGTGCTGGGATTACAGGTATGAGCCACTGCACCCTGCCCCTGCAGTTTAATTCTTCGAGTCCACTTCATTCTCTTGAGAATTGTGTCTAGACACCATTTTTTCTGCCTAGGGAGAACTGGAGATGGAGGTAGTGCCTGACAAGGGCCATTTTCCCCCCTTTCCAAATGCCTGCTCAGGGGTGGAGGTGTGAAGCCACAGGGAAGACGAGTTACTCTCCCCACGTGCCCCCGCTATGCCTTGCCCGACCAGCAGAGGGAGCTGCCCTCTGTCCCTGGCCGAGAATCGCCTCCTCCCGCCTGCTTGGGAACTTCCTGTGCGTCCACAAAGTTTGAAAGCTAGTAGGTTGATTAACAAAAATAATAAAGTGCAGCAACCCCGAGGAACAACTAGATTTCAATTGAATTTTTAAAAAAGACGCGGTCCTGTGAAAAGACATAACTGATTACAGTCCAATCAAGTGAAAGTCCGTTGCAGAAGATAATGCAATCTTTCTGCTTAGATGAAAGAATTACATTAGCACTCAATAAATTCCTGTGAAAATTACAGCAGCCTGCAATTTAATGGCTTAATATATTATATTAGGTTGGAAAGTCCCAATTATAGTTGCTAAATAAAAGTTGGAGTTGAGACATTTTTTTATGCAAAAGGTTGCACTAGCTAAGCTTACTCCTATCGTTTCGCCTTAACCCCGAAGGGGCAGAAGGGAAAGGCTGAACTCTACTTTTCATGCTTCCTCAGCTCCTGGTCCAGAGCCTGGTTCTTAGGAGCCCTGAATTTATTTTGTGGAAGTAAACTGCTTTCTTGGTAGCCCCTCTTCCCATATCTCTCTGCCAAGGATGCTCTCATATAAGTTTCTGGAGAAGGATCCGGGGGTCCTGGGTGCTAGAACATGCCTCAGCCCCTTTTCCCAAGCAAAAGCTGTGATTCAGGTGAGGGAGGGTGGGGCCTGACCCAACCAGGAGATTCACCCTGCAGGGTGCTGAGTTCCTGCTAGGATGGCCAGCCCTGCCAGGTCCTGCCTCCCCCCAGCACAGGCAAGAGGTGAACTACTGGGGTGCTGGGAGTTTGCACGACTGCTGTTTAATTACTCTTTGCTGTCTCATTCTCCTGGTATGAACTTCCAGGAGGAGGGTGTTGAGTGCTGGTGCCTCCAAGAGGCCTCCCCGGAGCCTGAGAGAGTGCAGATGAGAAACCCCTGCTCTGGGCACTTACACTGGGGCAGGCGTCCTCTCCCTGCTGCCCAACCAGGATGTACAGCGTGTCGTCTTTCTCCAGGTTGAAGATGCCCAGCACAGACACGCCGTGGGACCGCATCATGGTATTCTTCCCGCCTTTCCCGCCAGCAGCTCCGTAGCCCGAGATGCTGTAATGGGACAAAGAACGTCGGCTCCCGCTGTGGTATGAAGACTCTCCCCTTTCCTGCCAACCCAGCAGCTTCCAGTGGGCTGAGCACATCCCCGTCATGGTCTGAGGGTTCTCCCCCATATCAGTCCCTGCAGAAAGGGATTCCTCTCCCCGTCTTCAGGAGAGGATGGTCAAGTTTAGAGAGGGAGAGGGAGTTGCCTTAGTCACAGAACTAGGAAGGTGAAGGACTAGTAAAGGGTGCAAGAGAGAAAGAGAGGAAAAGGGCAGGGAGGAGGGAGGGAAGAAGGGAGAGAAGGAGGGAAGAAGGGAGAGAAGGAGGGGAGAGAGAGAGGGAAACAGCAGAGAGAGAGAGAGAGAGAGAGAGAGAAGACTATATGAATGTGGCATATTGGGGTGATGGCTTTCTGAATACCTAGGATTTCCTCTTTATGGTTTTCTCTCCTTGTCCCAGATCAATGGACTCATGTGACCTTAGACAAGTAACTTCCCTATTCCTCATCTATAATATGGGGATAATAATTGAACTTGCCTCCTAGCCTACATGTGTTATGAGGATTAAAGAAATTAAGACATGTGGTCTTAGAATTGTGACTAATAAACACTCAATAAGTATTACTTAATTATTATTATTATTATTAATGATGGTAGTAGCCATAATGGACTTGGTACAAAGTTGTAAAGTCTCTCCATGGGGTCTGGAAACAAGGAGGTTCGCACAGAATGATTGAGGAAAGCAGTGTGTATGAGCCGACTGTCTATTCCCATCCCACCAGTAACTCCTTCTGGAGCAATATGTGTGCAGACAACAAACAACCCATCAGGATGAAAATAAAAACAGAGCGTGGGGATGGGAGGTGATTTCTGCTGCCTCTTAGGTTGCGGCAATGAAGTCAAGCAAGGATAGGGAAAAAAAGAACTCTCTTCTGAAGTATATCAGAAGAGCGACATGTCTGGAAGACAGCTAGCGCACCAGCTAACAAATGGGTCCCCAGAGACCAGCTGCCAGGGTACAGGACTCAGGAGACTTTCACATCCATGTGTATTCAGATCCAAGGTCTTTTATGAAAAACCAGGAAGAGATTCAAGGCAGTTTTGCCCATGTGCATACACAGTAGCTCCTTTATCTACAGTTCCAGGAAATGTCCCTTCTTCCCAGTGTGTGAGGGGCTCCCAGAGCTCTCGCAAGGCAGAGCCCATGGCCCTTCTGCAAAGGCTTTTTGCGAACATAGCAGGCAAGGAACTGAGGTCTTCATGAAATGCAAATGGAGAGTCTAGTGCCCATTGCCCTGGTGGGTGCCTGGGCATTGATGTTTATCAAATGTTGGGAGGGGTGTAAGGCTTTGTGGACCTGAGACAGCTCCAGGCTCTTCAAGAACTCACAAAGAAACTGGGGAGATGATCTTCATGATGAAAAGAGAAGTCTCCCCATAGGGTGGCTACATTGAGGAGACGAAGTGGAGGGCTCTGGGGCTCCCTGATCAGATGGGGCCATTTCCTGCCCCTGTGCCCTCTCTGAGCCCCAGCCCCTTCCCTAGTAAGAGAAGAATCATTTTCATTCCAAACAACACAATAGTCCAACACAAGGAGCTCATGGGTGAAAGCCCTGGGGAAGCTGCGAATCTCTGGCCAAAGTAAGGGTCGTCAGGTGCTTAGGGCCAGGAGGGAGATGGGGGACTGCAACAGGTGGTTCTGGGGTTTGGGGATGGGGTGAGGAAGGCTGATGTTGGCTTCATGTGGAGCTTGCAGATGGGTAGGGCTCTGAGACAAGCAGAAAGAGGTGGTGGGAATTGGGGCTAGTGGGAATTGGGGCTAGTGGGAACGGAAGTGAAGCAGCAGGGAGCCTCTGGTATGTCTGGCTGCAGCAGGTGGATGGAGTGGGAAGCTGAGGGCTGTAGGTCTGGAGAGGGCTGTGGGCTGATTACCAGCATCCTCCAATGTGCCAGGCATGATGCATGCCCACAGGCACACGGCATCACCCGATAGCCATAAACAACAAATGTTATTAATCTCATTTGACAAACGAGGAAACTGAGGCTCAGAGGCACTAAGTAACTCATCTGAGGCCACACAGTCAGTGGCTGGCTATGGTCCAAACCCTTGCACATCCCCTCTTAGAGGTCATTTCCTCCCCAGTGTGCTGCTGGGAAGCACAAAGAGAGGGGTATGAGAAGCTATTCGCCCCTCCTAATTCCCAGACGCTCAGCCAAACACTCCCTCCTGATTCATTAGAAATGGACAAGGTGATAACGATAATTAAAAGGCTGAGAAAAAGGCAGGCTTATTGGTGAAAGGTAAGAGGAGGCAGCATTATTTAGCTCAGTGAACCTGGGTAGGGGACGATGTGGCGGCTTCCTGTAGTCTGGGGACAGCAGTGTGGATGGGTCCCAACTCTGACCTGCTCACTTCCCCAGGTTTCTGGGGCCTGGTCAGGCTGCATAAAAAAGTCATCTCCACCTGAAGATGTGGTTTGCTTGGGAAACTTCTGCCCAAGACGAAGTCCTCAACCTCTCCACTCCTGCTGTGGTTGAGAGGTAAGCATCACGCTGCCCATTCCTTTTGGCATCATTTGCATAGTCATTTGCATCCACCATGCATTATGAATCATTCTGAACTCTTTCGTATGTTTAAATTTAGCCAAATTATTATATTTTAGACATTGTTTGTTCCTAACTCCTTTTACCCTTCCTAAGCCTTCTTTGCTATTTTTCCCACCCTGCTCCCCTCAACCACCTTTGAAAGCCAGCCCCATCTATGTCTTGACCTAGTTCTTGATGGTGAGGTGGGATGGAAAAAGCCCTGGGCTCCAAGTCATCTGCTAGTTCTTGCCCCCGTTCTTCTGACTGTGTGACCTGAGGCAACATGGTCCATGTCTCAGAGCCTCAACTTCCACTACTGAGGAAGAAAATGAAGACAAGAACCCCTGCTCTCATGGGCATACAAAACGAATCTGAGAAGACTGCAAACCCATACAAAGCACAGGGCGAGACCGGGGCTGGGGTCAGCTTTCTAGATTCCAAAGCAGACAGTAGAGCTTGGCGAGCAGGTGTCCGTGGCTGGGTTGTACTTTCCTGGATAGTGGCCTCAGCCCCACATTTCCAACCCAGATGAGAGGCTGGCTTAAAGTCAGGGGGAGCAGGTAGCTGCCTGCCTGAATTAATTGCAGGGGTCCTAGAAGGAGTAGCTCCCTCATCAGTCCCCTGAAGCCTAAAATTCCACCATTAGAGCTTCACTGCTCTGGAAGCTTCTAGTTGCTACTACAGGGCTGATTGCCTTCAGAGTGGGATGTGCCACAGGTAGAAAAGCAAGGGCTTGAATGCAGACAGACCTGGATCCAAATCCCAGCTCTGCCACTCAGGGCCAGGAGTAGGCTGAGCCCAGCGAGGTGCCTCCCTCCCAGGGAGGACCTTGCACTCTATTGACCCTGAGAGGAAGCACCTCCTTAAATTTTCTGCCCAAGGTGCTTTGCTTACCTCTCCCTGGTCCTGACCCTGCCAGTGTTACTCACTAGCTGTGTGACCTTGGGTAGGTTATTTACCCTCTCTGAGCCCAGATTCCTCATGTATAAAAAGGGGATAATAATACCTACCTTGGAGGGCTGTTATGAGAATTAAATGAGATGATGCTTATAAGGGAACTACTTCAGAGCCCAGAGGATAGCCAGTGAGTGACAAATGGCAGCTGCTGTCATCCTGTGCCCCCATGGGTGAGCCTGTCCAATCCTTCTCCGGGGGTGACTTCTGGGATGCAGAAGGCAACCAAGTGGGTGAACCAGGGCATGGCCAAGGGGGTTTGGGGTCAAGGCTGTTCAGTTTCACCCAGAGCCCACTTCTGTGTAAAGCACAGGACAACCTTAGCACTTCTGAAGACTCCTGCCCCCTGTGAATCACGTTACACAAACTCATGCTATGATAATAGCCTCAGCCTGCCTCTTCGAAGCTTTCTCCCCATCCCTTGTAAACAATTTATTTTTGATGGTTGAGAAACAACAAGAAATTAATATACCTGCCACTCAAGTGGGGAAAATGACTCACAGTGATTCCAATTTACTGGAAATTACAAGATACTGCTCTCAACGAGCTGATGCTGTAATTTTTTTGTTTTTCCTCATCCAAATCCATGTCCCCTGGTCAGAATAGATGTTTATTGGGTTTGTGTTTTGTATTATTGACTGCGAGCCATTGTTACCTGATGTAATTGAGTTGTGAATCTTTTTTAAATAAAGAATTAGCAGCAAATCAAAGTGACTGCCTGCCGGATCCTGAAATGAGCGCACAGCTGGTGTGTAGCACAACCACAGTGTCCACACCCACATGGGAGATCCTGGGGGAGAGAGTGGACTCCCACTCAGAAAAACCGAAGTGCCCCATTCCTTTCTGGCACACCCTCCGGAGGAGCGGGAGAGCAGCACCTTGCTGTGGGCTCTGCCTTTAACTCCCCGTGGGATCCTGGGCAAGGTCCTTTTCTCTCCTGTTTCTCAGTTTCCTCATGTGTGAAATCAGGATGGTGAGGTCTGTCCTACCCACCCTGCAGGGTTATTGTGATAACACATGATGCGTGTGAGTGCAGATGGAGATTGGACAGCGGGAGATTTCTGATCAGGTATATAGTGTTATATAGTATATAGTTGTATTATCCAGATAGGGGTCAGGGTTGAAGGGCTCAATTGTGGAGGCAGATGCTTTTCAGTGGGGCCGGCCCAGGTTCCACTCTTGTTGTGTCAATGAGCAAGGTTCATGCTCTGTTTCTCCCTCAGCACCTTCCTGGCCAGTGTAGCCCTAAGTGCCTCGAAACACCTGAGCTTGCAGGGACTTCAGTGACCTCTCTCCATAACTTCTCGCTCTGCAGATGGAGCCTCTGGAGAGGAGGGAAGACAACTTTCTAAGTCACATGGAGCATTGGTGGTGGAGGTTGAACTCAAACTTAATTCTGCCTGCAGCCCATCCATCTTTGCCTAATTCCTCCATCTCTGACATTCCCTGGTCTGTGCCCTTTACAGCGATGGCTATCCATACAATTACTTTGGCAATTAATCATGCCTGTGACATCTCTCCTACTATTGTCTAGAGCTTGATTGGCATTGTGGACTGTTATTAAACTTTTCTGTCCTGTGGTCTTTCTAGAGACTATGAGGCTCCAGAGTCTCAGGCCTTTTCTACCAGTCTAGTCAGTGCCTGGCACACAGCAGGAGTGTTATGGCTCAGTGCCTGAAGTATGGTAGGACTTCATGGCTCAGTGTCCTGTACACAGTTGGGGCTGTATGACTCAGTGCCCTGCACACAGCCGGGCTTCATGGCTCAGTGCCCTGCACACAGTAGGGGCTCCATGGCTCAGTGCCTCCATGGCTCAGTGCCCTGCACACAGTTGGGGCTATATGGCTCAGTGCCCTGCACACAGTAGGGGCTTTATGGTTTAGTGCCCTGCACATGTTAGGGGCTGTATGGCCCAGTGCCCTGCACACCGTAGGGGCTCCATAGCCTGAGTGTCTGCACATGCAGGGCCCATGGCTCAGTGCCCTGCACAGTAGGGGCTCCATGGCCCAGTGCCCTGCACACACAGTAGGGGCTCATGGCTCAGTGCCCTGCACACAGTTAGGGCTGTATGGCCCAAAGTGCCCTACACACAGTAGGCTCCATAGCTCAGTGCCCTGCACACAGTAGGAGCTCCATGGCTCAGTGCCCTGCACACAGTAGGGGCTCCATGGCTCAGTACCCTGCACACAGTAGGGGCTCCATGGCTCAGTGCCCTGCACACAGCTGGGGCTCCATGGCTCAGTGCCCTGCACATAGTAGGGGCTCTATGGCTCAGTGCCCTGCACACAGTAGGGCTCCATGGCTATTTGTGGAGTTGAATGATGGTGTTATCTGGCTGCACACGCTGGTGCCCCAGGTAAGGAAATTAGTGCCATTGGTAGAGACCATCAGGAATGGCTGTGGTCCAGGTCAGCTGGCTCCAGCTGGGACCTGGGGCCTCTTGTCTGTTATGTCTGAAGAGCAGGTGAGCTGTGTGAGGACTGCCATCAGCAGCAATGGGCTATGCTTGACAAATGGTGTTGTATGCAATCTGTGTGTGTGTGGTAGTGGGTGGGGAGGAGGTGGGGGCAGGACCGCGGGCTGAGAAGGATGCTGGTCCTAGACAGGTAGGAAGGCAGGTTGGGCTGGAGGGGGAGAGAGGGATGAAGGAGGGGAGAAGTCAGGGAGAGAGAGGGGGTGGACTGGGCTAAGTGCTGGTGCCTCCGCCTGGGGCAGACCACCCGTGGGCTCTCACTGAGTCCCCCGACAGACCTCTCAGAGCTGGGTTGTACCATTGTCTGTCTCCATTTTATGACAACACTGAGGATGCTGTCCCCCTCCCCAGCACAAACCCCATAATCCACGTTCTTCTTGTGGCACTGCAGTGGCCTCCCACGCTCCCATCCGCTCCAGCCACCCACCCTCTAGACACCATGGTCACTCAGCACCAGCGCCCAGAGGCCCCCTGATCAGGGCCTCTCGCTGCTGCCCTAGCCTTGCCCGTCCTCAGCCACACACGTGGGAGAGTGGCTGTGCTCCTTGTCCTTGCTTACTCAGCCCACGCCAGAGTGTGGATGTAGTCTCAGCGTTGTCCCCGACTCCACATTCACTCAGTCCTCAACTTACGCTGATCCCACCTCCTGAACACCTCTGGGCCTGTCCCCTGCACCTGACCCTGTCCTGGCTTAGTCCTTTTGACCCTGGCCTGAGTGACAGTGACTACCTTCCATCTGCTCTCCCCACCTCCAGGCCGTTTCTCTCACTTCCAACCTCACGCTGTCACCAGGGGGAGTAAGAGGCATTTGGGGATAACACTGAAGCCCCAGGACCTGGCCTTGCTGCCTCCAGCCTCGGCTCCCCCAGACCAGCTTTGCCCAACTTCTCAGCAGCAGTACCAACTTCTTGTGCTCACTGCAGGCTCTGGCCACCCGCTTCTTTGTAGATAATGCTTAGGGCCTTCGAACTTAACCCAGGTGCCCATCTCCTGGCAGGAGCCATTCACAAGCTCAGCCTTTCCCTGGCCTCCGCAGCAGTGCCTTGTGTAAACCTCCACTGTGGTTCTCTCTACACCCCATGGAGATGCCTGTGCACACACCACCACACCATTGGCAGCAGTGCCTCTGGGGCAGGGCTGGATCTTAATCACCTTTGCACACTTGGTGTCAGGCACGGCATCCTAATGGGAGCTTACTATGGTTCGCTGAGATCTGCAGAGCAGGGGGAAAATGAAGCCCAGGAACCTGGACACACGGACTGCATCACCTGTCAGAGGAAGTGGTAAGTCCAGGGCAGGGAAAGCAGGACATGGTGGGTGGAGGAGATGCGGGTTCCAGGGCTGCACCCAAGCCCCCATGCCAGCCTGCTGTCTCCTCCTGCCTGCCCTGCCCCCCGCTTCCTCTCCCTCTTTCTGGGCCCTTCCTTTGGGGAGGTGGGCAAAGCTATAGAGGGTGGGAGGTGGGCCCAGGATAAGTTTACCAGCTAAGAGTGGGGGTGTTTCCAACTGTGTACATCCTGGAGGAGGCCCCAGGCAGTGGTGGTCCCCCCTTGGCATGAAGCTGGGGCTTGGCCACATTTGCTCCCTTCCCTTCATCTCCCCAACAGTGGGCAGAGAAGTCAGCGGAGCGGTCCTAGTGCCAGGCCTCGGTGGCAGCCATGCCTCCAGGATGGGTGGGTTCACTAGGGCTCGGCTCCCACCTTTCTGTGTCCAAGCACCTTTTTCTCACGTCCTCTGGTGTGTCTTGTGTTTTTTTCAACAGATGAACTGCACTTATTAAATAGCAATAACTACTATGGAGAAAAAGTCTTCCAGAGAAAGGGTGCTGACTTCTTGGTCGATTCTGACTTGGGGACATTTTGAAGTGGTCTAAAAATCAAATCATTAACTGCCTGCTTCTTAGATTACTGAGTTATGTGACCAGTAGACTCAGGTCATCTAAGACCTGAGTCTCTTCCAAGGCCAAGGAGGAGGTGAGGGTCAGGAATATCTGTTAGAACCTTTATTTAGTTAAAACACAAGTATTCAAAAACAACAATGACTGGCCGGGTGTGGTGGCTCACATCTATAATCCCAGCACTTTGGGAGGCCAAGGCAGGAGGATCACTTGAGGCCAGGAGTTTGAGACCAGCCTGGCCAACATGGTGAAACCCTGTCTCTACTAAAATTACAAAAATCAGATCATGCCTGTAATTGCAGCTACTCGAGAGGCTGAGGTTGGAGAATTGCTTGCACCTGGGAGGCGGAGGTTGCAGTGAGCTGAGGTGGCACCACTGCCCTCCAGCCTGGGCAACAGAGCGTGACTCTGTCTCAAAAACAGCAGTGACAAAAACCCCAACTGAGTGGCTTTTGGTTTTGGTTCTTCCATTTTGATGTGGTCCTATCTTAGGCCAGACCAAAATGTCTCCTTCACTAATTTGGACACTTCAAACTGGCTGCTTCAACAGAGGCAAAATTGCCAGACAGTGCTGGGCCCGGAGCTGGCCTCGGTCTCAATATTTCTAAGAGATGAGTGGAGACGGCTTTCTGATTTTGGCTGGGATTCTATCAACGTGCTGTGGAAATACTGTGGCACTTCATGCAGATCAGAAACCTGACTTGACTTAGATATGGCTGTGATTAATAATAAATGGGAAAATGAATTAATTATTATTTAATAAGTGTAGTTCATCTGGCAGTCCAAATTTTTCAGAACACAGGGCTCATCTGAGGAAGTCAAAGAGAGATCTTTGGAGACAGGAAAAGTCAGACACTAATGCGTATGGGGTGGGTGTGTTTGGAAACCCTGCCTGGCTGCTGCCTGCTGCTGGATAGCAGCGTTGCTTCAGCTGATTTCTCCGCCCGTGGGCCAGGGAGCACCCACCACGTGTAAGCATTGTGCCAGGCGCTATATATCACCTTTACAGCCCCTGCCTCTCACAGATGGGGAATCAGAGTCTCAAGAGATTAACTGACCTGTGCAAGTTTGGAAGTGAGCTTGATTCACACTGTCTCGGGGGAACACAGCCCAAGAGAATCCCCATGCAAGGGATCTCCTGACAGTGTGTGTCCCCCTCTGGGGCACAGGGAGCAGAGGAATTCTGGCCAAGCTGGCATTGGAGTTGCCCTGGGCAGGGGTAGGGCAATGGGCTCTTCTGGGGGCTTACTGTTGGGGTTCCTGTGCGCCTCCCAGCTGCTCTGCTTTCTCCTTCGTATTGCTTTTTGTATATGGGGTATGTTGGCCAATATCCCTTCAGGAGGCTGGACCCCTCTCATAGCCTCTCATTTCCAGAGGCTTCCAGGAGGTAGGTGGTGGGCGATTCCTATGCCCTCCTTCCTTTCCTGTCCCTTCTGCCCTCTGCATGCCTCCCAGTGTCCAGGCATGGGCTTTAGTAGAAAGACTTAGAGCCAGAGCGCCCTGGATTTGAATCCCAGCTCCATCACCGATTGTGCAGCCTTACATGTGTTGCTAAGCTCCTCCGACTCCAGGGTCCTCGCATGGAAACATGGGAACACCAACAATAACGCCACCCACCCTACGCTAAAGCAGGAGCAACACCTGTGGGTCCTTAGCAAGTATTCATCCCTCCTCTCCAGGAGTCCTCTCCTCCCTGCCCCTGCCCCACGGAGGCTTGGCTCAGTAGGAAGGGGAGGTCTGGCTTGTTCGTGGTAGCAGGGCCAGGGGTGGTCCGGTGTCTTCCGGGATATTTACTGGGGGCGTGTGGGCACTGTAGCAGCTAATCTGATTGTAGCCCAATCTTGTTACAGCATTTCTGCCCAGAGTGCCATTTAAAAAGCACTTAGGGCTGTCCCCGTAACACATTTACCCTGAGGCCCCAGGGATGGGGCTGCCACAGGAAATGTTAACCTGGAGAGAGAAAACAGGGCAACTTGAGAAGCCCCTCTCCTTCCCAGGAGGCCCAGGATGTGGTGGATGCTGGAGGCTGCAGGAAGGGGAGGGGCGCTCATTTCCCATTGTTTCAGCCCCCGGAGGACATCGCTCCCACAAGGCATAGTGGTTCTGCTTTCCTTTTAACATGCCCTGCCATGCACCGTGGAGGGGCTGCATGAGGCGCTGCCCCAGATCTCCGGAGGTGGAGGCTACTTCTGGATGTGTAACTGTGGGGAGGCTCCTGACTCTCTGAGCCTCAGTGTCCTCATTTGTAAAATGAGGATGGTGGCACTAGCCTTGCCTAGTCATAGAGCTCATTTAGGGGCTACCCAGGTTTATCTAAGTCCAAGACTTGATTGAGCTCAGAGGTTCTAAAAGGCTGCATCGACATCAACTTGTTAGAACTGTCAGTTCTCAGCGCCCACTCCAGACCTGCAGAACCAGAAGCTCCAGGAGGGGCTCTTGCAATCAGGGTTTCCACCAGGCCTCCAATCTTACCATTAGCTTCATTTGACGCCATGGCCTCAAAGTGCTCAAGTGGAGCTGGATCTCCTTGAGCCTGGCCCTGCTCTAAGGGAATACTGGGGGCTGGGGAAGGGTTGGGGCTGAGAAGAGCGTTCCAGCACAGTTTGCTTTGCTTACCAACAGGGAAGGCCCAGGAAAGGAGGTGCAAGGATAAGAGCATCAGTTTCAGGTGCATTGTGTTTCTGTTTCCTAAACATTTTACATGCATGCCTGATTTGAAGAGCATTAAGCAATATTCAATGAACAGGCCACCATAATTATCCTTATTAGCAATAATTCTGAAGCTAGCTCATGCATGCATACCACCTCCAGCAAGAGCCTGTGAGTTTCTTGAGGACAAAGGACACATCTTCTTTTGTTACCATATTTCACTATCCCAAATCTCCCCATCTCCAACCTCTACACCCCACTATGGGCCTGAGTCTGTGGCCTTTGAACCACGGCACGCCTGGGCACCCTGGGAGCATGTACCCATAGGCAAGACTCCAGGCCTCTTCAGGAGGGGTGGTCTCCCCCCCTCCCCCTCTCCCATACGCACCTGTAGGTGTCGGTGGCTGGCACCTTCCAGATCTGGATGCCCTTCAGGGGGCCCTCGCTCCCCACCTCCACGCTCAGGTTGGAGTTCTGGTAGGCGTTGTTGCACTGCGCCTGGGTGGGACCATGGGGTCCGCTGGCCCCACACGTGGTGAACAGCCAATGAACTGTGGCACAAGAGGAGAGGCAGTCACTCATGTGGCCAGGCCCTCCCTCCCCCAATGGGCCTCCCTGGGTGACCTCTGAGATGTCTGCTCCATGGCCCCAAACCCTCCATCCAAGATGGTACCAAGGTCAGGGCAAGAAACACCAATCAGCCATCAAACTGGAAACTTCCGTAGAAAGTCTACTAGGTACCAGACCCTGAGTCAGAGACAAAGATGGAGCAGACTTAAGATGGACCCTGGCCTTAAGAAGCTTACAGGCTTCTATGAGAGACCCAAAGGGATGCAACCAACAAAAATACAGGACAGCAAGAATAGCAAGCCACAGGAGGGCCCAGCCAACACTGCGCTTGGGGAGTTCCAGGAAGGGGAGAAAACCCCTGCAGGTGGGACAAGTGTGGGTAGTACCTGGGTCTTCTCCCAGGGTCTCACCGAGTCTAGCACGGTGCTGGGGAAACAACAGGTGCTCAATCTGTGCTATTGTTGACTGCAACTAACCTGCTCCCAAAGGCTTAGCATTGCATATAGGAGCCTCTTAGCTTGGAGACAATTGAAAAAGAGAATTGAAAGTTCTGTAATGCTATATTGGCCCAGGGACCCAGGCCGGTGGTGGGGGCAGGAAGCCCTGCACTCCCGGGCCATGGCTTGGCCTGCCTGTCAGGCGCTCCCTAACAGACCTGCAGCAAGGCAAGGCAGGGCTCAGGCTCCTTATTAAAACCAGCTTGCATTTGGAAATGCAATGAAAGCAGCTTTCAGGCTCTCTACGCAACAGAGTATAAGAAATGGAAAAACAGGTCAAATTTGTCTTTGGTGCATACTCCTCCTTTTCCCAGCCTCCCTCACCCACTTCCTGGTGTTCTGTGTCCCACCCAATGTCCTTAGGTGGCCTTCTGGGGGCTACACAAGAACACTCAGCACAAACTGCTCCCCCTACCCACCATGGGCCATTTCCTTTCAAACTTTCTATCTTTGAGCCAGACCAAACTTTGGGGAGTTGTCAGATCTCATATTGGCCAGAATTCTAACATTTTTACAACCTATAAAAACCTTTAAAAAGGTGTTGTTGATAAACTACTTTTACTTAAAATACAAAAATCTTACAAGATTGCAGAAATTCCCTTAAAAGAGAGATTAAGTTCAAGTCTAAGGAAAATGATGGAAACATTAATTTGGGTGTGCATAATTTTGCTCACTAAAACAAAGTGAAAACATTTCTGAAGACTGCACTAATTTAGTGATGCAAATATGAAAGCTTAACTTGGGTTGCTGATTATAAGCAATAGAATGAGACTGCTGTGGGCAGAGTTGCTAATCTGAAAACTGGGTCAGTTGTGGCAGGTTTTTGTCATGCTGCCTCTGGCCTGGAGTCTGGGAGATGGAAGTTCTGGTTGGGGTTCTAATGCATATGCTACTCAACATGGAGTCCTCAACACTTTTCTGGGCTTTTTTTTTTGTTGTTGGCAAAGGAAGATGTTGATTTCTATTTGGTTTCTGAATGGTCATTTCAAGGGCTAGAAGGTAATGGAGCCATTCACTTTGGGTGTGAATGGCTGATTGTTAGTTTTCTGATTTTTTGTTTGTTTGTTTGACACAGGGTCTCAGTCTTGCTCGGGCTGAGGGAAGTGGTGCAATCATGGCTCACTGCAGCCTCGAGTTTCTGGGCTGAAGCAATCTTCCTGCCTCAGCCTCCTGAGTAGCTGGGAGTACAGATCCATGCCACCAAGCCCAGCTAATTTTTAAAACTTTTTGTTGAAATGGGGGTCTCACTCTGTCACCCAGGCTGGAGTGCAGTGACACAATCATAGCTCACTGCAGCCTTGAAATCCTGGGCTCAAGTGATCCTCCTGCCTCAGCCTCCCGTAGTACTGGGATTATGGGCATGAATAACCATGCCCGGACTCTATTTTTATTATAAAGAGGGCAAACTTGCTAATTCAGACTCTTTATACAGGCATTTTTAGCAGAGCTAGTTAGGCCAGTTGCCCTTTTACCCACTCCTGTGCCCAAAATATATATGTGGGCTGTGCTACATCACCACGTGAGGGGTGACGTGGAAAGAACACAGACTTTGAAAGCAGCATAAACACCAGGGTCTGGGAGCAGCTTCATCATTTATTGATTAGGGGATCTTGATCTAGTTCCTTTGTCTGTAAAAGAGGTTGGATTGGCATATTAAAAAAAAGCAAGGGGGTAGGAAAGTTTGCCACCAAGTCCCAAACTCTAAAAATGTGAGTGTATCCTTGACTCCTGCCTGTACCCAAGGCTGGTGCTGTCCTGGACAGCAGGACATGTGGCCAGGGGAGTTTCTGTAAATATGGATCCCATGCCAACAGCACCTGGGAATTTAAAGTCAGTGGGTTGGAAAAGACCCCGCAATGCCAAGACAATCCTAAGCCAAAAGAACAAAGCTGGAGGCATCACACTACCTGACTTTAAACTATACTACAAGGCTACAGTAACCAAAACAGCATGGTACTGGTACCAAAACAGAGATATAGACCAATGGAACAGAACAGAGCCCTCAGAAATAATACCACACATCTACAGATCAGAGCCATCTGATCTTTGACAAACTTGACAAAAACAAGAAATGGGGAAAGGATTCCCTATTTAATAAATGGTGCTGGGAAAACTGGCTAGCCATAAGTAGAAAGCTGAAACTGGATCCTTTCCTTACTCCTTAGACGAGAATTAATTCAAGATGGATTAGAGACTTAAATGTTAGACCTAAAACCATAAAAACCCTAGAAGAAAACCTAGGGAATACCATACAGGACATAGGCATGGGCAAGGACTTCATGTCTAAAACACCAAAAGCAATGGCAACAAAAGCCAAAATTGACAAATGGGATCTAATTAAACTAAAGAGCTTCTGCACAGCAAAAGAAACTACCATCAGAGTGAACAGGCAACCTACAGAATGGGAGAAAATTTTTACAAACTACTCAGCTGACAAAGGATTAATATCCAGAACCTACAAAGAACTCAATCAAATTTACAGAAAAAAAACAAAGAACCCCATCAAGAAGTGGGAAAAGGATATGAACAGACACTTCTCAAAAGAACACATTCATACAGCCAACAGACACATGAAAAAATGCTCATCATCACTCACCATCAGAGAAATGCAAATCAAAACCACAATGAGATACCATCTCACACCAGTTAGAATGGTAATCATTAAAAAATCAGGAAACAACAGGTGCTGGAGAGGATGTGGAGAAATAGGAACATTTTTACACTGTTGGTGGGACTGTAAACTAGTTCAACCATTGTGGAAGACAGTGTGGTGATTCCTCAAGGATCTAAAACTAGACATACCATTTGACCCAGCCATCCCATTACAGGGTATATACCCAAAGGATTATAAGTCATGCTGCTATAAAGACACATGCATATGTATGTTTATTGCGACACTATTCACAATAGCAAAGACTTGGAATCAACCCAAATGTCCATCAGTGACAGACGGGATTAAGAAAATGTGGCACATATACACCATGGAATACTATGCAGCCATAAAAAAGGATGAGTTCGTGTCCTTTGTAGGGACATGGATACAGCTGGAAACCATCATTCTCAGCAAACTATCACAAGAACAGAAAACCAAATACCGCATGTTCTCACTGATAGGTGGGAATTGAACAATGAGATCACTTGGACACAGGAAGGGGAACATCACACACCGGGTCCTATTGTGGGGAGAGGGGAGGGGGTAGAGATAGCATCAGGAGATATACCTAATGTAAATGATGAGTTAATGGGTGCAGCACTCCAACATGGCACATGTATACATATGTAACAAACCTGCACATTGTGTACATGTACCCTAGAACTTAAAGTATAATACTAATAAAAAAAGATTAAACAAATCATTACAAAATAAAAAGGCATTTCACAGTGAAAAAAATAATAAAGTCAGTGGGTTGGGGAGGAGGAAGGGGGCAGGAAGAAAAATAAAGCCTCAGAAAAGAAGTTGGGAAATCCACTCCTCTCCTTATCTATAGTTCCTTGAAACCTGTTCTGCAGACCCAGGCTTTCCTTACAGCAAGTAGCCTGGGTGTGAGGGTGGCCTTATCAATCACAGGGCAGAAGCATGGCAGTTCAGTTAGTTAATTCAACCCTGAAAATGAGAGAATACATGTATTTATATTACATAGATAGGTAGATAGATAGATAAATAGATAGATAGATAGCTATGGTCTGACTGTGTCCCCACCCAAATCTCATCTTGAATTGTAGTTCCCATAATCCTCATGTGTCATGGGAGGGACCAGATGGAGATAATTGAATCATGGGGGAAGTTTTCCCCATACTGTTCTCATGATAGTGAGTGAGTTCGCACAAGATCTGATGGTTTGGTAAGGGGCTTCCCCTTTCACTGGGCACTCATTTTTCTCCTTCCTGCCATCATGAGAAGAAGGATGTGTTTTGCTTCCCCTTCAGCCATAACTGTAAGTTTCCTGAGGCCTCTCCAGCCATGCTGAACTGTGAGTCAATTAAACCTCTTTCCTTTATAAATTAGCCAGTCTCAGACATGTCTTTATTAGCAGCATGAGAATAGACTAATACATATATGAATACATATTCTCTCTATATATATGAATACATATATATGTGTGTGTATATATATATATATATTATTATTATTATTTTCTTCTCAATAGTGTGCTAGGGAAGAGATCTAAAGGTATGGGCTTGGCACACTACCTAAGCATCTCACCCTCAGTAGGAACCACTTCAGCCTAGGTTAAGATTATTCTAAGGGTTCTGAAATATTCCCAGAGATGCTGGGCTTCTAGTTCTGACAAGGTGAGACATCTGCTGAGGGAGGAAGAGGGGCTTAGGCTTTGGATTCAGATAGGCTGTTTTCTTGTTCTGGATTTTGCTGCTGGCCAGCTGCGAGACATAAGGTAGATTGTACAGCCTCTCTAAGCCTCAGTTTTTTAAATCTGAACAATTGGAGACTGTAAGACATACCACCTAGACTCTCTGTGAGAATT